TTATAAATTAAAAAAGTAATTTTATCTCTCTTGTGAAAAACTATCTACATTATTAAAAGATTGGGTGGAAGAGGCCTCTATATTGACTATATTACTACGTGTGTAGGCATATTAATCTCCTCTTGGTATCCTCAGAGGGGACCAATATGCCTGCTTATGGTTCGTCTAATCTAGCCTGTTTAGGTAACCGTATTACTAATCACGACACGTGATTAGTACCGGTAACTTCTATTCCTTTTAACAAATTTTATATTTTATATAATTATATTAAAAAAAATAATAGATCTACTTAAGATTATAAAGATATCGATGTAACGATACTGTACTGGAGGCAGCGGCTGCCTGAGGTTTCGTCTGATTGGTAGTTGTGGGTTAAGGCTTTATCACTAGTCTTCACTTGGAAGTGAAGTCGTTACTAGATCAAGTAGAATGTAGGTAAACTAATTGATAACTAAGTTGAGCACGAAGCTCCTAAACTATGAAACTACTCTGACTATATACTGAACAATAAAGGGGGCCCCTAGGAGCTTTCTGGCTCCTCAAGACTCCTTATCACGCGATTTCTGATGGTGCGTGCGCATACGATCTTCAGGTGACCAAGATCACATACTAATTCGATGAAATCTGATCGTGTTTGCACACGGCCTAAGCTCTCCTAATTAATCAGTTTGCTACCATCGTAACACCATCAATCCTAATGGTGAATCGTGACAATCGAATAGAATATTATTAATCTGGATTAGATTTGTTAATAAATTATTAACGAAGGTTTCTCTTTTCTTTTTGATAATATTTGTAATAATTTGTTTTAATAGATTTATTAAAGAAAAAATATAGTATATTTTTATAGATTGATACTATTTAGTTATTTGATATATATTGTTTATATCTGTTAAAGTGAATGGTTCCTGTGTAGCACGTGCACAGGGCACTAGTCCTATTAGGACTAGATTGGGAAGCTCTCTATAAGAGAGCTTCGCACTTCTATAGAACTTAGAAGAGAGATTAACCAACTAGACCAATATTACCTCAGTTCTGCCCTATCAGCTTCCCACTATTCCCTGTGTGAGGTCATTCCTTTTAACATAGATATATATTATAATCTCTACTGTTATCAAATATTAATAAAAGTAGTATTTAATCTTACTATTAGTCAATGAGAACATAAATATCTAGTATTCTAACACGCCCATATCAATGCCCCTGAATATTCTAGCACAGTGAGACACCACAAGGGCTATACTCCGTACATACCGCACATCTTTTCCCGGAATCCTAGATAGCGCCATATCATTCTTTTCAAAACGTTATCATTCTTATACATCATAATGGACGGTATTTTTTATTAGTTTATACTAGATCCGATAAGTCAGTCTAATCGAATTATTTGTAGATAGCAAGAAGGAAAAGCACGATATAACAAAGTCCTCCTTCTAGCACCCAACTCATCTGAATTAAAATTAATACCTCAATCATTCAATTCATTTGAATCACTATTCATATCTCATTCGTTATCCATCCATCCCATACCCAAAACCCACAACGCCAAATATTGAGATTACATTCAATAAAGCTAGAACCCCATTCCATCTGTACCTCGTTCTCGTTTGACTTTAACATCACTCTCATCCTTTATCAAAGCAGCAACAAATGATCTGAAGTAATCCACGAATGGCTTCAAACTTGTTTTCTCCCAATCCTGTATGCTCTTGCCCTCAATCTCTCCATTTTGAGGTGCAGTCCACTGATCAATTTCGCCTAGAAGTTGGGTAACGGTTGGTACAGCCAGGGGATCAAAATCCCCCACATGTCTAGTATCTATAGGGACACAAACTCTTCCGGTCCCAGGATGTACGACGAATGGACTCTTGAGTAAATGGTTGAGATGTTTACTAACTTCGATATCCAGTCTAGGGTATGTATATTCGAGAACAATATCTTGTTTCGCTTCTAGTAGAGCTCTTGGATCCAATCCTTTTGTGGTTTTTGCTAAGGCATCAATATCAGCCCATTTCGATGCTGATGAGCGTCCAGGAGAAGAGCTCCACTTTTTCCGTAAACTTTCATTCAAAGTTCTATCAGGTAGAAGCTGTAGTAATTTGTCGACTTTATCATCTTCCTCCCATGGATCTTGATCTTGGAGGATATCGTTCTGGAAGTGACCTTTAAGTATGTCAAGACTTCGTCTGCTAAGTGTCAATAGTTGAAACAGTTGTGACGTCAATGTACGTACAATACATGTGGATGTAAAGGTCTTTTCACGTTGACCTTTTTGGCAGTTTGCGCTCCACCTCGAATGAGTTCCAAGTATCCTGCGATGGCCCTCCTTTTCTGATCGTCCATTTGTCTAGCCTTTTTATCGCATACCCAAGCGTGAGCTCCTCTTCTTCCGGAGTATACCCACATGATATGTTTGAAGCCGAAGTCATCCCGTAGCGCAACATCAACCACTTTAATAGCCATTGTAATGAACTGCCAGCATTTGTTGCAAATATTTGCTTTGTCACAGCACGTTCTAATCTCGTCGTAATCGGTCAAATCGATATCGAAACATAATTCTTTGGCGATTGGTCGAAAGGCGGAGGATTTGCGAAGTGTTTTTCGATCCCGAGGATTTGTACTATATACTGGGCCAATTTCAAATCTGGATGGCATAAGACGAAGAACATCTTTACGTAGGCTAGGTTTGATTAGCTTGAGTGAGCCATAGGCATGTATTCACAACTTACAGATCGGAGGTTGAGAAGGCTTGATATCTCAGGTAGGCATCATTTTGAAGAGTAAAAGCAAATTCTCGATGTCCAAAATCAGTCGAAGGAGTTGGGGAATGATTTAGCCATTGGAATAAATGGCGCCAAGGGAAAAGTCTCTGGTAAAAGGATCGCATAACTTCGGGATCTGATGCTCGAGATGATGGCCCAATTTGTCTTGATATTTACTTAGCTTGCGAGTTCGGGACATCTCTTCCAACACTTACACTGGGGAAGCCGGAGCTTCAGGAGAACTCGACGCCTTTTTGTCTTTCGCATTTGTACTTGGAAATTCATCATCGGATTCAACATCTGCGAATAAATCCTCCAATTTGACCTCGGGCTTTGTAGCTGGTGTAGGTATAGCCTCGCCTTGTACTCCAGCGTCTGCCATTGTTATATCATCGTCATCATTCAACTCAGCGGCGTCCTTATTGGCCGAAATATCCTCTGCTTCTTGAATTATTTGGGCATCGTCGCCAGTTTCTTCGGTATCGAACATATTCTCTTGTGATTGTATTGTAGCTCCTTCGGGAGAAATAGAGTGTGGCATATTGTTGTTCGGATATGTATTCGCACTTCACAGTCTTTTGGTGAGAAATAAGTTTAGTTTTTTGAGCCGAAAATCAATTTAAACTTGGACGCGTCTCGACGCGATCATTCCTATTTTCGTGATTGCGCACTAAGATAAGCTGATAAGGTCAATGAATGGACGAACGAACTTACTCACAGCTTAGTCATAGCTTAGTCATTTCATCACCTTACCTAAGCTGATTTTATTCTCTAGTGCTCCATGGCTCCATTTTCAAATTCAAATTCAAAATCTAATAAATGATGAAGAATTTTACTATTTGCAAATCAATACATTGTGCTTTTCATCATTCAGCTTTTCATCTTTCCACCTTTCAAACCATGTAATAACTATAAATCTCAATGGAAGGAAACCCTAAACATTGAAATGTCAATAATTATTACCACGCCGTCGTGACTCCATTCCGGTGGAATGCAGTAACTACTTGCCCAGATGATATTATACTCATTACGCTTGGCCTGTTCCTTCCTTCTCAACTATGCCTTAGCTCGAGAAACAATGAAGAGAAGGTACTATGAGCGGCGGTGCTTCTATCATCCTCTCCCTCTACTTCTTCCAAATCCCCACTCAATATCCGCCACATCTCATATCAAATTAACCTTTTGAACCCTCGATAGACATATTCGTGATTATACACATGAATTTTGCATGTCATACGGAGTCGAACAACACAAATATCACCCTGCAGTTACGTGATTCCCTAGGCACAAATGTCAGATCTTTTTGACCTGAACATTGGGTTAGATTTCCCTTGCTTTCATTGCCTATCATGCTCTGCTATGTTCGATGCTAATATAATCTTATACAGCTCCCAAGGGAACGCTTGGTTTTCACTTTGGATCAAATATGAGGGCGAAGATTGGCCGGTGAGGTTTTCTGTCAAGTGCGAAGCTGCTTTGTCTCACAGACAGAGCTTTTTTTTCGACTTAGGCTTGCACTACCACCCCAATAACCCGATTTTCCTCGAGGACCGTTATAAAGACAGCTCTGTATTTTTAATGAGATGCCTACAAGGAGAATCTGTGTTAACAGTATTGAGGAGTCATGAGGAGAAGCGTTTCACGGACGAGGAGAAGGATAAATGGTCAAGGATGCTTATACATTTGTGTGCACTCTGCGAAAGGTGGGGGCTTCCCCATATTTTCAATGAAGCAACATATCAGTTTGCAATCCTGCAGGAGTCCCCATTGGTGCCTCCAGAACACATCGTGCTTATCTTCAAGGTTACAGTGCCCGGATCGAGTTTACGTCGATTAGCCGTTAATATGGTCATGAGTGAAAGAAATGATGGAATTGGAGAGGCTCGACTGCAAGCTTATTTGAGATATAAGAGCTTGTTCAGCGACGAAACAGAGCTTCTGGATGCCTTGCGGGAAAAACTTCAGCTTCCACTTAGCTCGGTGTTTTGGTATTCCGGCTTTATGAAACGGAGTGCATGGGCGATCTATTACATGAAAGTTTATTAAGAGGAGATAAGTATCTTTACCGTTATTTCATTCGTTCACACAACTTGGGGATTCACATTGTTCGGAGAAGTGTTGATTATCTGAAGGTGGCGCATGGCTACTTGTACCTGGAGTAATTGCTATAGGGATAGGCAACTCAGAATTTCAACACAGATTAGGGTGCATTATGAAATGATCAAGGTGACTTTGGTCATCTGAAAAGTCTTTGTGCATTCAATAAGCACTACGCTCCCTCTAATCCACTTAATATGTTGGCAGGTTTATGTAAACATTAATGACCAACCGACTAGAAGCCGAATCAGGCTGTTTAGTTCAATCATTGAGCAACCTATATACATGGCTACGGACCACGGTATGGGGACTTGCAAGTTGCAACCAGTGTTGGAGGCCATCCAACCAATTCTCCCCATGTATTATTCTCCTCTTAGATGCGAGGGTAAAAATAAACTGCCAATATACCAAGGGGCTTGATTAGTGCTATTAATTCCGCCTGGGAAACTGGTATTCATGTATAATTTGCAGTTCTTCATCGACCTTTATTTGTAAATTTTTATCCAGCTGTATTTCTCACCACTATTCGGTATGGCACTTGATCAATCTAATCTTACGACGAATAGAAACGGGAGACTGAGACTTTGAGTAAGTCAATCACAACATTGATCCACGCCCGTTTGATCATTACATGAGCGTCAGCACAGAGGTTTTGTGGAGGCCATGAACTGATTTACAATAACATACCAACACATCTTTATATATACTATGAAGTCATATATTATAACATGCCACGCAAAATTCATCATGTAATAACATTGAGTATCATTAAAGCTATATCATACAATATAACTTGGGTATCTTCTTACTCCACAAATGCAAAAACCTTAAAAGCTCTGAAGCAGCTAGAAACTCCTAAAAAAAAGCTTGTAAAGAGTCTCAGAACGTGGGCCTCACGCGCCACTAAACGCAAAATCCACCTTCTAATCCAGATATTATCTCTAGCACTTAAATGACTCCCATGACTCCCGCCAAGAGATCACCTATTTGCTGTCTCTTTTCTCCCTTAATCTTCCTACGCTTATTTCGCCTAGATCCCGGGCCACCAGCCTCCTCAAAAGTCTTTCCCTCATCCTGCTCCTGAGCTTGTTCACGTGTCCTAGTTTTAGCGGCAGGAATTTTGATACGAGTATATACATATCCCCTTGCTCCGACTCCTACGTTCCCGCTGGTGTATTTGAGAGATCTATCACTCATTCCTCCATCATAGAATGGTTGGTGTAAATCTGCGCGCGATGGTGTATATGATAGCTCTGGACCGAGACGAAGAGAAGTAACAGGAACCGCTGATATGATTTCACCAGAAACAATAGGAATCGAATCACCAACTTCTAGGCCAGCAGCACGCAAGTCCTCGTCATTGCGGAGTTCACTGATACGATTAAGAGAGGTGAGTGTGCGGAATTCCCAGGTTTCAAGCTCGCGAAATTCTTTACGACTGATATAATCCACAGCTTCAAAGTGAGAAAAGCCAGTTCGTCGGAGTTTAGCCCGGCCAGCAGGGGTTTGCTCCATCATTCTAACTCGCTGTTCAGCGTACAGATAAGCGCTATTTCGTGCTGATGTTGAAGAGGAAGTCGGATCTCCTGTAAGAAAGGCTGATAAATTTGCTCGGAGAATCATTGTAATCTTGGCTTTGTCCCACAAAGGTTTTGCAGCAGATCTTCGAACTGCTCTGACCTGTAAATACTGTTGTTAGAATTTGCTTGTCCCCAGTGCTGAGCAAGTTTGAACACAAAGGTCCGTGCTCAAACCATTACCGAGATCCTTTGAAGGAAAAAAGGGGTTCTGGAATCAATGAATTAACTTACGGGAAGACCAAGAGTAGTGCGCAAAGCCATAATGTGCTTCACACAGTCTGATTGTAAGATTTCAAGTAATCCTCCATCAGGGTGAACTTCCCAGCCAAGTCTTTCAGCTCCAAGTTGAGCCAATCCATTGAAACCGCAGTCAAGAACATCGAAAACAGCTAAAGCAGGAAAACGATTTAGGTGCTGAAAGCAATTGTTCGTAATCTCTTTAAAATTCCGGAGCTTTAGGATCCTCAGTACTTGGAATGCCTTTCCATTGATTGCTTCTTCACTCCAGGTTTTTATGACCCTGTCACCAAAGCTGGCGTCGAACGATTTACCGGTATTTCTGGAATGATGGACATGCTTAGGGTTGACGATCTCGAGTGCTACTAGATTAGTTATTGCAGATAACTCAACCATATCCGAAGTTTTGAAAGCAGTCGTGATGGATAAGTGCACAAGAAAGTCAAAACTTGTTGAACTAAGTGGCTTGGTATAGATAGATAAGGACGGAATTGGCTCTGCGATAGAACTGCAATAACGAAATTGGTTTAGAATAGCACCTTCGTGTCGATCGAGGACCTTTGAAAAGGCCTTCCAAGTATTAAAACTATAGACACATCTATGATAAAACCGTCAGTACAAGGTCTCGCTACCTTGGTATTGTAAGTCTTCAGGATAAGGTGTGCTGTGATAAGGTTTATGGGAGTTCCTTGTAAAGGTACTGGATTAAGGGCAGGCAATAAAAGACCCGAACTAACCTCTTGGACAACTCGCGCCAGAGAAACTCGAGTTGTAGCGAAGGTATGTACTGAATCTTTTCATATGTAATGTCACCAATATTCTTCACAATTGAATCAACTGAAAGTTGAATTAAACGTGGAACGCGGCGTTTCTTGCGTTTAAATTGTGCGACAATTGTTTCTTTAGCGGTAAATTCTTGATCGTCATCAGATTCTTCCCAATTTGCTTCTAGAAGTTCGCTGAAGGTTTGTTAGTTGCTGTTTCGTAGACTTGAAGGAAACCAGCATGCTGAGGAAACTTAAAGCTTACTCAAATTGATGATCCCAGCGATACTCCGAGACTTGAAGCTCCCGAGAAGTCGTTTCGTAAGACACTTGGCCAGAATCCGGATCAATTACCCGCCTAGGTCCATCTAACAAACCGCGGGGTAGAGGACGAGAGGGTTGAAGAAGAATAAGTCCTCGAGCGCGTTGGCTACTCTCACGGATGTAACCATTTATTCTCGTACTCAGTGACATTCTTTTGAAGGTTATACTTGTAACAGAGAGGCACAAAATGTGTGAAGATTGATGAAGTAACCGCGAAAATTCCTTCGGTACTTAATCCTGATAGCTATAGTCCCTTAGAATGCTTTAGACGATTGAAATTAGTGACTCTATTTCGCAAAGGGAGCTAGTAAAGCTCTTACGCTAACTGCTGAATGATATTGACAACTGCAGCTGCAGGAAGAGCACCGTCGAGCTTCGCTGTAAACTGTTTAAAACGAACTTACGATCCCAGAAGAGAAAAACTGAACCGATTGAGGATTTGACAGTAAGTGAGCGCAACTGAGGAGTCTGAGGACGAGAACAAACTTCCAGTAGATTGGAGCTTTTCGTAGCCAGACTGTTCAAATCGGCGGTTATGATTTCGAGGGAAACATGAAGGGATCAGAACAGTAATGGGTATTATAATTGCGACAACGCTCCAGGAGATAGAGTTCAATGGATATAATTGTATAGTAGCAGGAAAGTTTTAGTAGACCGAAATCGTGGACTCAAAAAATGGACAATAAAAAATCCAGCTCGTAGAAAGAGTCCTAAGAGCGTTCCATGCAAATACATGCGTATGAAAATAAATACGACCTCAGCAACATAATAATTCACAAAGTTGGATAGAATTGGATGTTTTGATACCGGGAAGACGGATGAGGCGGCAGTGAGGTTTCGATTAAGGTTATGGCAAGAGAATTGATGCCTGAGAAAAGTTGACTTGCTTCGCCTCTCCTCTCCTCAGGGTGTCTCGTGAAAGATTCCGAGAAGTCATATCATTCCATTAGCGTTATCTTTTCATTTTCATTTCTTTACTCACTCGGAGAGAAACTTAGAACAAACACGTTTGATGCGTGTTAAACGTGATGTGGCATGATGACTCAGCATCGCGTTGACCTTTTTCCGTGCTTGGCCACCACGCCGACCCATTTGGAAACATTCGAAGGGGAGAAAAGAAAATCTCAACGTGAAGAGGCTCCAAACATGCTAGTAATCTGTCGTTTACATACATACTTGTAATCGCCGGGGCGCTTATCGATCCGTCTAGTCACAGTAATATCTCATGTCTAGTACATCAACCCACTTTCGAGCGTGATTCAAGCAATGACAATTTATTGTAAGAAGACAATCAAACAACAAAAAATCCACTATCAAAAATAATTCACATCTAACCTCTATTCATCCCATTCCCACCTATCTAAAGCTCTCAATCCTAAAACCCATTCCTCAAATTATCATATTTACTCTCCGGGTACTCGAGACAATTATCACTTCCCTCTAGTATCCCCAAGACATCAACCACGTTATGGATTAAAGATTTTTCACGCTCGGGATGATCGGCTGATGATTCCCACCACTGTTTGAGTTAGATTAGTTATTTGATGGGAATGGATTGAGGATGAGAGGGGAAGTAAGGGATGGAGAAGAAGAAAAGAAAAGAAACATACCATGGCGCCACCGAGACCTCTTTCCTTGATATAATAAGCTTTTCTACGAGCGATTTCTACCGTGTCGTAGGTTATGAGAGTTTTTGTGTCTTCATTGTATGCTTTTATAGTTCATTAGCTTTTGGTTTCTATGTCATGACACTGATTCATCGACATAACACTCTATCCATAATTCTTCATCTTAATGCTGAGAAAGAAGACAAAGATTGAAAAAAGGTAGGGAAAGCAAAACAAGACAAACTCACAATAACTAGCACAAGTCTCCTCATCCACAATTTCTTCTGCTCCCTCCTGAGGTAACTTCTTAAAATCATGCACACCATTTTCCCAAGTGCCCTCTCCGACCCCATTAAACGGTTTTCCTAGACCCTCCGTTCCTTGAAACGCCCTCCCATAAATCGGCATCCCAAGTACAATTTTATGTCCCTGTACTCCTCTCGCTTCGTAAGCTCTCACCGCATGTTCCGTGTTAAATGGCGTGGAATCTGGATTACTTTCACTAGGATGTAGATTTGCCTGGTGTCCTGCAACGCTATCCCATGATCCCGCATAGTCGTAAGCCATTAGGTTCCAGAAATCAATATATTCGTTCATGCTGCGAACATCCATGTTATTGTAATTTTGAGGACCGGCGGGGCAAGCTACAGTGAGTTCGAAGTGGTGAAAGTTAGATAGAGTGCTGGAATAGCGATCCATGGCTTCCCTACATTCTCTCAAGAGAAGAACGTAATCCCGTGCTTCATCGGTGTTTTTAGGATATTCCCAATCGATATCAATCCCGTCAAACCCCAAATTCCTAATCAAATCCACCGCGCTCTCGGCAAATCTTCTCCTTCCACTCTCTGTAGAAGCTGGTTGAGCAAAATTAGATGAATAGGTCCAGCCACCAATACTGAGCAGAATCTTCAAGGAGCGATTTCGAGATTTGAGGATATTGAGTTGCTTCAAGCAGCCATATAAATTAGTGCCGACGTCATTCCAGGAATCTCCTTCGAAATGAATATCGGTATCGGCCCAGCCGTCAGTCATGTACACCTCGCCGGATTCCGGGCGAACATTGGCGAAAGCATAGAGGACGTGAGTTAATTTTTCGGCAGGAAGTTCCTGGGGAAAGTGTTTGCGGCCGTAAATTGCCCACTAAAATAGCTGTCAGTATTTTTTACCATAAAGCTTCATCATTTTGCCATCCTCCCTTCTTCAGATTGTGGTGCTGTGAATGGAAATCACGAGATTATCGTGTACACTTATACAGCGCCATATCATTGTCCCACCACGTCTCAAGATGGTATTTAGAACCAAATCCTCAATTCCAAATCCCGGACTTCAACAATATTTCCAACTTCAATCACCATTGCCCACCCCTTAAACCCCTTAAACCTCACCCACGAACCCCCAAGAAGATAAAGAACCACCAAACCAAACCTACATTAACAAAATACGCCACGGCGCGATATCCATCACCACCACCCATATTGTCACCCAAGCCCACGTCCTTATAATCCTCACTTATAATTTCCTTCCCCGCTTTACCCTCTTCACCCAACCCAAAATCAAGACCCGCTATATCCCACGTCCCAGGACCCTTTCGCAAGGTAATAAGTAGAGCGACAAAGGATAAGAATAAAGGGATACTGAAAAAAACAATCTTCTTGATAGACGCCACTTTGGATATCTTTTCTAAAAAATTCTTTGAAGTTAAGAAGGTGAGATGCTTTTATATATAAGTGATTTATTTCCGTTGAATGCGCATGTGGTGGAGTAAGGGTTAAGGTAAGGGTAGTATCTGAATCAAACAGCTGGGAAAAAGTGGCTTTGGTTGGTGGCAGATGTAAAGATCTTACCAATCCCCGCAGGGCTGAGTGAAGCTATGACGAATATAATACAAGGGTTGAGAGGGGCAGGTTGGCAACTTTGTACACGTTGATGCGCATATTTTGAGATTTCTGGGCATATTGTGATTGAATTTATTCAACTGGCTCAAGATGGTGGGTGGACGGGTAGATGGGTAAATTGTGGTATCATTTCATTCTTTGCTTATTCTATATACCTTCAGCTTTTTGCAATTGGCTCAACTGCAGTCACTTTGCCGTAAAGCAGATGACTACTACTCATCCTCGTAGCTCTTACAACCTTCCATATCCGGGAAATTCGGCATATCCATAACCTCACCAGATTCATATTCAATCCCGCTCCCATAAGAACTTAAATGCTTGGAATGAATCAGAATATTGATAATATTTATGGCTCGGAGTCTCGGATAACCCCACATTTCCGCCCCGCCATGTCTTTGCTTGAGAGTCTATCTGACCTGGCGCCACAGATGAGTATTGTGGCTGAGGCCGTTGCATTTATGGCACGTATTTTTGCTGGAAAGTGTCTTCAAAACCATACTCCGTATATACACAAGTATTCCTCTTATCATTCCTTTGGCATATTCTTTGGTGGCTGATACACCACCATCGACCTCTGCTTAATATCCTTACTTGAGCAAATCTCGGGATTCGGCAACAACTTTCTATAAGTTTCCTCCAGCGGATCCTGTCTCTGCCTCAAAAAGCTATGTATCCTCTCTTCCCGACTCCCAAATTCATACTTTGTCTCCTTCCTCCTCTGCCTCAAATCCTTACTCATCTTGTCGTGTAACGTGTCTCTCTGTTCCAAAAACTTCATCGAATAATTATCCAGTCGAGTCAATTGTCCTAGCCCACCTACCACAACAAAAATTGCGATCAACAAGACAAATGCGCCATTTGATAAAAATTGTGGTTCCTGTTGTCCTTTGGCATCGCGTTTGTACCATCTCTCCCAATCTTCCCATGTAGCATTCTGAGCAGGTCCTCCGGGACCCGCCCATCCACGATTATCACCATGTCTATCGCGAGGATCGAGAACATCAGGACATCCATTCCAGCCTGCGCCATATGTATCATATGCACTCCGTTTGACGGGATTAGAGAGGATATCGTTCGCTGCAATAATTAATCTATATCGTGATAATTTGGTGTCGTAGTCTAATCCATCGTTTGTATCAATGCCATGTTTATCCGGATGATAAAGTTTGACCAATTCGTAGAAACGTCGTTTGGAATATGGAGATCCTTTCTTTTGATTGAAGATCTGGTAGGGAGTTGGAACGGCATGTGCGGATGTCAATTCAGGCCATCGTAATCCTCCATGTTGATTTGCGCTTCGTCCATCGGATACTATGGCATATTTTCGTCGTCGGGAGAGGTATTGAGGTTGATGATTTTGCGATGTGAATGGATAAGATAGTGACGTCGTTGATATGTGGGACGATGCATAATAGCATTGCAGATTACTGCATGATGAGAGGAGAATTCCTGACTTCTTTAGCATACTGGAATTGAAGCAAAAGCCAGTTCAAATACTGGCACGATGTGACCATGTCGATGAGAAAGGATAGAGGACGTTGATAGTTTAGAGTTCCCTGGGTTACCGGTTACTGCTGTGGTATCGATATTGATGATTCCTCGGAAGCTTGTCTAGATCATTGAACTAAGTATGGTGACCCATTCAGACAATTTGCGACTATCAACTGAAAATTCATTATATCTCTCAAATTTCATTGCAAGTTTGGTATTAAGTTTAAACTGCCAAATGCTACATTATTGAGCACTAAGCTTCTTTATTAGAATGAATATTGTAATCTTCTCGTATCTGAGGACAAGTAGGTCATTTGATAGTTGCATCAATATTGGGTAGACACACAGTGACCAACCATTTGGAATCAGCAGGCGCATTTATACCGAAATCCGAGGAGTTAGGCTCATATGCTTAAGATTGTAAATACAGATTGTAGGTGAAGAGTAGAAAGGAAAGGATATTTCTAGCTCTTGTGTGATGAAATGGAGAATGGGAAGGTGATTGAGACGGCTGACAGAGGTAAAGAAGATGAAGGCTAAGAGAACAGAAATGGTACTTTTCTTCGCCATAGAGAAATGGCTGGAGCATAACAGAGGTGTAAGTATGAGTTAAAGCATACGATGATGTAGAGAGGAATTAGATTTTGATTTGGTGTAATGTATGGGTGGAGGTAAGGAAGATAGCTTGCTTTCTGTTCCCCAACTATTCTTACCCGTCTTCCTCTTAGGCCATTTCTATATACTAGACTTTCAACCTCTGGTATTCCGGTTACTCAGAGCATTTCGCTCTCTTCCCTTTGTGCATTTGCCTTCTTAACTTCAATTCACTATATTCCTCCAGCCCACTTCAATTCAACCAGTTGACATCTACCCCATCATCACAAACGCCACAATCCATATCCATCACCATCAAGAATACACGGATCGACCGTAGCACAAGTCTGCAAAGAGGACAGGGGTTGTACATCCGGGGTATAGCGACGAACCGACCGGTATATACATGAAACATCACAGGGAAGCTGCATGATTTTTGTAACACGGAAGGAAAATACAAAGACAAGTGAAAATGACATTCGGAACTTGCCAAAATGTTGTATACCTTACTACTTACTAGTCTCAGTGAAACTGAATAGTTGTGTTCAGAAGGGATGGGAGAGGGAAGGAGCAGAGAAGAAGAAAAATGGCGTTCTGGAAGTTGTGTCGGTATGTACCCCATACAGACAGACGGGTAGATTGTGCAATGGAGGAGAAATCCGGGATGAGTGACGGTAGTGTCGCTTGTACGTCATGAGGAGCGAAAATGCTACTCTACTTTGCATAGGACTATTATAGAACGTGCCGTGGCCCGGGTATGTATGAGTTGAATGAATCAACCACTCCCGAGCAAGTCTTGTCTGGCTAGCTTGTCTTAGTTCAAATGGATTTAGCATATGAAAGCGTAGACCATAGTGAATAAAGTTATTCTAGAGTACAGCATTACTAATTACTGTATTCTATATGAATAAGACCCTGGACCTTTGCGTTTTGTCTCTGATGGCGCGATATGTGGAAGATCGAAATTTCGATTGCATAAATCCAAGATATCGAACTGTCATCACTTGCCTATCTATACTGCATACATATCTCGTTTTATGCCAGAAACCTAGATAGGAACGGCTCATGGGCAAATTTGCGCATGCTCTTCAATATACAAACTTCATACCGGTGACCCCCGTGTCTCGCCATAAATGTGGGCAACAATCAACGGAAATGGCCCGCGCGCTTTGCATACATTTTGGTATAAAAGGAGGAGACGTGCTTGTACTCTGTACAATGTACGGACCGTAGATGCAGATACAGACGAAAGTAAAAATGGGGTCGACAAACATGGATGTATGAAAGTGGACTCAGTGAAGGCATAGCGGGAACATCCACACAGCGTTGAATTTCCCATGATACCATTTTCACTTTGTCGCGCGTCTTGCGAGGTTTGAAGCGGCTATTGGCAAATATGGATGTGTAGGAACCATACTGGCGTGACCATCTAGAATATTGTCCTCCATATTTTTGCCCTGGCATCTCTAGTGATCAAATCGTTGAACCGAAGCTCGGGGTTGAATCTCGGAGGGAGACACAAATGGCGGCATGTCAATAACAGTAACGTTTTCCTGTAAGCTTGTTGTCTTGTCAATTGGATTGGAAAGTTGACCAAATCCAAAACGTTCAGTCCTCCGAGACATTTAGACAAGTCGAATGCAAGTCTGGTTGGGTGGCCAGTGACATGCTTGATGCTTGGCTTGATTGGAGATAGTTTAACGAGGGAGGTGAAGTAAACGAAAGGCTTAAAAAGTCGAGAATGATGATATCATGAATGTTGATCTGTTGTATAGAGCACGGAGTAGGCAACATTCGGTTGCTAAGGATGAAGTGGTGAAAAAGAGATAAGGATGTACATAGGTATCCTCTGATGATAAACTCGTGGTGTACTCCTGATGAGGCGTGTCCAGTTGTGCAATGCCAATAAAAAATAGTAGGGCAAAAGAAGAGAATGATTTACCAACCAACTACCTAGCGGAGATACTGCGCAGGATCCTGTACACATCGTTTGGTAGTCCTCTTGGGCTGAGTAAGGGTGGATAGGGCAGAACTAGAAAGCATATCGATATGATAAAACATCATCAACAGAGAAAACCCCGGTTTGGACGGTCGTGTTGAACAATGAACATGTACACTGAACTGAATACTGAACACGGAACACATGATCAACCAAAGGTAGCGCACGGCCTATCTTTATCTCAGTCAACTTTCGATTCAAAGACTCAACCAAGTTAATAAATAGTAAATACCCCTGAAACGTTCACAGGGGGGTCGAATTGGGATGGCATTGATGTCTTTTAATGCTTTGACATGTTGAAAAGTCTTAGCGTACGGATGACATGGACAGTTTTAAGGACGGAGTGGTTCGGCCAAGAGATAAATTTGGCTTCGTTGCACCTTGTGAGCATGATGATATCGGGTGTATTTCTTGAAGTGTATATATTGGACAATCGTATAAATTTCCATGCTCGAAAGGCTCGAATGCTGAGGATTAATAAAGCTAGAGCTAATGAGATCAACTGGGATTGAAGCTGTTCCGAGGTATAAAATCGATTAAGTTATAGAGTTTGCAGTATCAGTATCCAGTAGCCAGTAGCCAGGGCAAAAGAACGTAAAACTTTGGAACCGAGGGGAATCCAAACATCTCATTTTTCTCTTTTTACTCCGTAGCTTGGAACTACCACAGTAATGAAGCGGGTACTGCGGAGAACAACCACGGTACCACATTGGCAGATCGCCATTTGATCGGTTCCTATCGCGGCGCCGCCAGGGATTTTAGTCAGGTACAAGATTCACGAAGAAGCACGAGTTCCACAAAAGAGGATGGCTTGATTTAGTACAGTCAGACATATTACACGGAGTTGAAGCTACCGAAGCAGTTAGAAGCTGTTTATGAGAGGATCGTGGATTGTTTCGATGAAGAATACTACAGAGTAACTTCGTACACAGAATGGTTAGTTGTTGGAATTGTATCTGAGGAGAAGTAAAGAACATGAGGGAAACCAATCATAGCACTAATAATCTCTCACCGCCGAGTGGGAACTTTGTTTTCCTCACTAATAGATAAGTATATAGTGAGAACCATAGAAAATAAAGTAAATAAATTTCCGACGGTTCCTACTTCATTACGGCGAGGTCATTCATCCTTTCATGATTTATGGCGATGATAATTAACTCCAAATTATATGCCATACGAACTTATACATTCCGGGTACTTTGTAACCTTATCGACACAGTATCACTCTCCATAACTCGGTACAACCAGTTCCAACACCAATACAACCCAACCCAACCTACAACATTCCCAGCACACAAGGGACCCGACATAACAGATATGCTACAGTCAATTCTTCCAATTCTTCTCAATTCTCCCCAATTCCTATTTTGGGCTATCTGAGTCTCAATAAACGTGGGCTGGCGGCAGGGAATCAGACCAAGTTTTACCACTTTTAGTTCCTACAGTGATGCTCCACTGCTGCGCCATCAAAGAATCATCCTAAATAGGTGACAAGGCGACAACTTCCACGTGCGACTGTGGTATTTTTGTAGGTATTACTCTTGAAAGGATGCTCGGGTTAGACCAATGGATCAGGCTTGGATTCGCTTCCTTGGGGTGATGAGATGATCGGAGAATACAGAGCGGTATTGAATGGATGTAGCCTTTAATTTCATGTCTCTCTCTACGTAGTATGCTGGGGAAAACGAGCTGGTTGGAAAGAAAGAGGAATAAATGACAGAATGTGTGATGTACTGGTACATCAATCATTACTCAGATCTAGTGATGTCAACTGTGAGATAAATCGTAAATCATAGAACCATATACCATAGGTCACAGATATCGATGTGCTATGAAGATAACCTAAGAGATCAGAGGTGAAGAAAGTTAATCCACTGAATTGGTTGGGCCTTGTATTGAGGATATATTAGGATATATTAAAAGAGAGGCTAGAATACCTGCCTAGGTAGTAGATATATGTCATCTGTACGTCGATATTTATCAATTAGGCTGACTAACCTCATTCAAAGTGCTTGGTAGATAGATTCATAATATCCGTCTGTACCTGAATTGATGATGACTCCACTTATAATAAGTTATATCTCTTTATGTATAACCCCTGACGACTTGGATGGATGTTTCATATGTGCGAATCCCTCTTGGGTCAAAGTCTTCTGCTCTCCCATCACGCCCAAAGCAAGCCAGAGCAAGCCACTTCTTCTCATCCGGCCAAGATGAGCTTAAATGATATTTGGATTCATCAATCGAAGAAATAATCCGCGCTCGCCTTTTTTTTTTTCTTTTTTTTCCTTTTCCCTTCCAGACTAACCTTACTGTTGCCCAGCATTATTATTATACCCAGTACACTTTATATTCCATCCTGCAGAAAACCCCCTCATCCACCCCCCCCTCGTCTGTTTCTATCCCGCCAAATCAGAACGTGCCCACCCACTTCTATCATTCACCTGCAGAAGGTTCCCTTTTCCATCCTACACATCGAATTCCAATTTCATCAAGTCGTTCCTTTATCCTTCAACAGTGCTTCATCAAAAGTATCGAGTAATACCTACCTGCATCTATCAACATCACAACCTTCACCCGTATAATTCCTTCCTTTCGATAAGTTGCAACACAGCTCTATATATTACCAAAATCACGACCACGACTTCAACTACAACTGCAGCTACCAACTCCCTACTCCGTACAGCTCCAATCATTCCATGTACCTAACCTTGGCTTCTCACTCATACGACGACGACTCACATACACAATCGAGGATCAATTCGCCAATTTACCACGTTATACCCAAATCTTGAATCAATCCCCCGAATATTGTTTTCAGTTGATATACCAAACATATATCATACCTCCTACCCCCTTCATTTGCTAATTCCGCAACTGCCTTATCTGTCCGCATCACATTCTACAACTGCTACGCATTTTTTGACAGAATTTCTTCTCCTGCATGCGGAACATTTTGCGACAACTCAGCCAACGATATATTATTCAGTCATCGGCGCATGCGACTACTGCAACCAATTATTCCTATCTAAATCATCGACATTCAAGCTTTTCGTTGAAGGATTTTGTTTGATTTCTATTTTTCTATTTTTTTTCTATTTAAAAGATTTTCCACAGGTAATTTGGGGTGAAGACCCGAGCGGCTCGCTGGTCGATTAACAAGCCCTCCTTCGCAACTCAAAAATTCAACAAAAGCCTTTTCAAACAAATGAAACCATCGCATACAATTCACTCTTTTACTTACGATAATATCTTTCCTTAACAAAATTTGCTCAATTCCAACTATTGTCTGATCTTGCCATTTTCAAAGTACATACCGTACATACCTACTTGAAGCATCTTATCATAATTTCGAATCTTTCAACCATCTGCACTCTTTAACCAACCAAGGAAGAGGGATCAGCAAATCTCTTTGTTCTTTTCGCGCAACACAAGACGGTGCATCAAAGATCCCTTTGAAGTATCACAAAAGACATTGGAATCTCGATCTAATTGATAGAAATCCGGTGTGCTCGGTCAAACAAAAGATATGAGTGTAATGCTCCAGACCCCTTCTCGGGCATCGACAGCCTCATCTTCGTCTTTTCACCAGTCTCCCGACAAAATACCATGTCTTCACACGATGGAACACGCTCTGCCCGACAATCAAAGAGATATTCTATGACCACATTATATCTTTCCATGTCTGCGAATGAGAAGGATCTGGAAATTGAGGATGATCTTGCGAAAGGTGAGGATTTTGGCGCAATTGGTATGAACGTAGCACTGATGGATCCGTGTAGCACAAAAAGTTTTACGAGAACTCAAATCGAAGATTTCATCACAGTCAAAGAAGAATTTCGTGTTGGAGAAAGATGTTAGATACCTGGATTCGAGAATAGCATTACTGATTCAGAATCGCATGGCTTTGGAGGAGGTAGGAGAATATAATCCGCAGGCCAAGTCTTCACAACTAACACTTCTCTCAGCAAAACGAGGTAGCCAGCCACCTGGAAGATGCGACCGATCTACAAGAAGGGTTCTTCCCAAATGATGAAAAGACACAGAAATATGGCAATCTTTTGTTCCTGCTTCAATCAGAACCTCGTCACATAGCTCACCTCTGCCGTCTGGTCACTATGGCCGAGATTGATTCCCTACTACAGACAGTCATGTTCACAATTTATGGAAATCAATACGAGAGTCGTGAGGAGCATCTTCTTTTGACCATGTTTCAAGTAAGACATCTTCCGTGTGGATTGGCCTCTCTCAGTACTGATATGCATTTTATAGTCTGTCTTGACGTATCAATTCGATAACACCCCTGAATATTCTTCCCTCCTCCGAGCGAACACACCAGTATCCCGCATGATGACTACATACACTAGAAGAGGGCCGGGCCAAAGCTATTTGAAGACGGTCTTGGCAGACAGAATCAATGGACTCATCGAGCTGAAGGATCTTGACTTGGAGATCAATCCCCTCAAAGTTTACGAAACAATGATTGCACAGATTGAGCTGGAGACAGGAGGACTTCCAGCTTCCCTGCCCAGAGGAGTAACCGCAGAGGAGGCAGCAGATAACACACAGGTCCAGGCTATTATCGAACCAAGGTTAACAATGCTTATGGAGATCGCAAATGGATTTCTCACCACAATTATCGATGGATTGGAGGAAACACCATACGGGATTCGTTGGATCTGCAAACAAATTCGAAGCCTCACAAAGAGAAAGTATCCGGATGCCAATGACCAAGTGATCTGCACACTTATTGGAGGTTTTTTCTTCTTGCGATTCATCAACCCCGCTATTGTCACCCCTAAATCATATATGCTCATCGATGGAACTCCAGCCGACCGACCACGACGTACCTTGACCTTGATTGCTAAGATGCTTCAAAATCTGGCCAACAAACCCTCATATGCCAAGGAACCATACATGGCCAAACTTCAACCATTCATTCAACACAACAAGGAACGAGTCAACAAATTTATGCTTGACCTATGTGAAGTTCAGGATTTTTACGAAAGTTTGGAAATGGACAACTATGTAGCACTATCAAAGAAGGATTTGGAGCTATCAATTACCCTCAACGAAGTTTATGCTACTCACGCTTTACTCGACAAACACACTGCCGAACTCAACAAGGATGAGAACTCACATTTGGCTGTGATCTTGGCAGATTTAGGGCCGGCCCCAGCACAACTACCTAGAAAGGACAACAGAGCAATCAATCTGCCACTCTTCAGCAAGTGGGAAACAGCGATTGATGATCTCACGGCTGCACTTGATATAACCCAAGAAGAGGTTTTCTTCATGGAGGCTAAATCAACATTTGTCCAAATCATGCGATCGATTCCAAGTAACAGTGCTGTGGCGCGAAGACCACTTCGTCTCGAGCGGGTTGCTGATGCAGCGGGTCAGTATCGCAACGATGCTGTTATGGTGCGGAAAGGTATTCGGGCAATGGAACTGTTGAGCCAGTTGCAAGAGTTGGGAGTCATCGACAAATCGGATCAGTTCAGTCTTTTGCGGGATGAAGTCGAGCAGGAACTTCAACATCTTGGGTCACTAAAAGATGGGGTTATTCTTGAAACGCAAAAACTCGACCAGGTCTTCAAGACCATTCGCGATCACAACACTTATCTTGTCGGTCAACTGGAAACGTACAAGAGTTACTTACACAATGTTCGCAGTCAAAGCGAAGGAACCAAGCGAAAGCAACAAAAGCACCAAGTCTTGGGGCCATACAAATTTACGCATGGGGAGTTGGAGAAGCAAGGAGTTATTCAGAAGAGTAACGTACCTGACAACAGAAGAGCCAACATCTACTTCAACTTCACAAGTCCTTTACCCGGAACTTTCGTCATTTCGTTGCATTACAAAGGTAAGGATTGTTTTCATCTGCTTCTATGTATCCATGCTAACTTTACCAGGACGAAATCGTGGTCTCTTGGAGCTTGATCTCAAACTCGATGACTTGCTCGAGATGCAAAAGGATAATCAAGAAGATCTTGACCTTGAGTATGTGCAATTCAACGTACCAAAGGTTCTCGCTCTCCTGAACAAGCGTTTCGCCAGAAAGAAAGGATGGTAGATCTCAACTACCCGCATCCTCATCATTATGGATGCATTTCCTTCCACGGAAATACCTGCTTCCGATTACTCGCTCAATTGCAGGCTGTATGAAAATTCTTTTATTCCTTTAAAGCCACCGATACCATTGGGTGGTGGCTCATAGGAGTTGTGTTTTTTGATCTCGATATACCTGGGTGGCATGGTTTTGATGGCGTATATGACGATTTCCTGACATTGTGCAGATGCAAGCTTTATACCTTTTTTTCTTCGCTTAATCTTCCCCGATATATTTCGTTTTAATGGCTGGTAGTTGTGATGTTTCTTGCGTGCTTCGTCTTATTTCTTTGGTTCATTTACGGGTGTCTTGTTCAGTGCGACGAGCAAATCATATGGAGCGAGAAGCTGTAGAGGTTTCGTCTGGCTGGTCCGGAGAAGTGATATCATAGGATTTTGCATTATTCAGAGAGGGATATGAGTTAAGGGGTATTCTCTACCTTGACATGATGTTTACTGAAGATATGAGGTTGGGAATTGGGAAGGAAAGGGGAGACAGGGGAATTCACAGAATGGACGTCTATTATGTCTATCGTTTTCCCTCTTTTCTTGGAATGGGCGGATGGATGGGTTGGCGGACGGACGGATGGGATCTTTTTTGGGAACGGGCATGCAAGGAAATGCACACAACAAGGCATGGATATATGATTGTGTGATAGGCGCGTTAGGTCTCTCGTATACGAGGAAAGCGGGATAGCAGGACCAGACAAATTTTAAATGTAATATCATGAATGAGTAGTAACAATTTCTTCAAGGCTCGCAAATTTGTTTATTATTGTGATTTGTCTGATTCAATTTTTGTTTAAGTGTGCTTCGCTATACAAGTAGGGAGTGCTAAGACAATCAGCAGCTGAATAGTGGACTATGGGCTGCAAGTTGCATTGGATGTCAACCAAGCTACTTCCTTCTCATGTCGTTTGTTTGATTACAAGAGGATCGAGCTTCAAGGTACTAAATAAAAGCACGTCTTCACAGCTTCCACCTTACTAGATCCCATAGGCTAGCTATGTGATACTAGTGTAATATATTTGATATTTATTCAATGCTTATAGAATAACTTTGTATGAAGAATTCCTCCCCCCCCCCCCCCCCCCCAAAAAAAGACCGGCTGAGAATCTTCCTCATCAATTACTTCCGTGTCCCCGCTACCCTCCTATATAATCTTCACGCAAATCTTGAAGGGGGCCCTATTATTCTTGGAGAATGTTGTTGTGTTTGCACCTGTATACATCTGATTCTGTACCGGGAATTCACAATTTCGGTTTCTAGTTTGGGATTTTTGATGTTGATGCTTTTGCCAGAGGGGGGGGGTTGAGGGGGTTGACTCGTCTGATTTTTCATATTTTTGGCTCTGATTGATTGGTTCATGTGGTTGCTTCGTGGCGTTCGATGATGAGATGGCAGGAATTTATGTCCAGAATGTCGAATAGGTATTTTATGTTGCTGAGGTGGAGGATTATTGGGTCTTGGGGTGATTGGGTGGTGGGATGAGGAGATTGAGGGGGAAGTCGTTGAGGGTTTATGTTGGGTTTTGGTGTGGAGATTTTGTAGTGGTGAAAAGCTCGCCTATGGAGCCTTGAATAGTTCTGGCATCGAGATCAGTTTCTACTTTGATCAAGGGCTCTTTCTATGGCATTCGAATCCGCGGTTATATTCGAATTGGTATCATGGGCTTGATGTAGATGATCTGTTAATGGGATCCTCGTGTCCTGCGGGAGTTCGGACCGAGACTTCTGAATGACTGCGACTCCGGAACCATTTCCCTGTTCTGTATGTGCTTCTCTTTCCCTCACATCACTTGAGGTTGCGACACGATTGGGCGGAAGCGTCAACAAATGCACTCTGCTCTCAGCACCATTACCTTCATAGCCAATCGGTTTCACAAATGTCTCTTTGATTTGCACCATCTCCTGACTCATGTCCCTCAAAATTCCATCAAACCTCGAGATTCTTTCCTCATCCATCCAGTCTCCTTCAGGTATCGTCCAATTTACATATAATCTGCCATGTGAATGCGAAATATGGTACATCCCGTGCTTTCTAATAAATAAATCGCACAAGAAACAGGATGATTTACTAGATCCTATGCATCTTGGAGGCAAACACGCAGGGTATTGCTCATAGAAGAAGATAAGCTGGATTTCGCTATGGACACGTTGAGTTTCGGGAGCAGTGCATACTTCCAAGTGGATGTTGCGGAATAAGTCCCGGCATCTTTGTTTTTGACAATAATACATCAAGTCGTTTCGGATGTCTAGATACCTGCTTATTTTGTCGATTTGAAGTACAGTGCTGCGATGGGCGATGTCTAGATCCATACCTTTGATATAGAACTGGTGTTCAAGAGACGGACTATCACCAGTCGTCGACACTTCGTGAGCAGCGAGGACTATTGTATTTAAGTTATCCATTTGACCGCACTGTGACCCAGGCTCCAACTTTTCGACATCCTGGATTAAATTTGCGAGACGATTGCACAGTGAGGTTTGCCATGGCGAATTATCATCATCCATCTCTTGCATCAACAACATGGAGCGAAGCTTCTCGGCCCTATCACAAAGTGATTGTCGAACCTTGCCATGCCCTTTACTTGATGAAACAATGCGAGCTCGCAAACGACCATTGTTTAGCTTGAAAATTTGTGTAAGAAGTTTGGATCTATGCTCTTCTTCATTTTGGTTGGTTTCTGCATGCAGACATGAGTTAGCAATGCGAATAATGTTGAGTAGAGGATATGTCAACAACCTTCACGAGCAATTTCTTCCACAATATCTAGAAATCTACGCAATCCATTCACAGTTTTCAATGAAGGCGTTTGATTTGATGCGATTCTTATAGTTAAAGAGGGTGGATGTCGGTCATGACACTCTTCAATCGTAGCTGCTGACACACTGTGTGGGCCTCCTTTAGCTTGAGTCAGAACTGCGATATGATCTGCTAGGTGTTGCTCTTCCTCATGCAGAAGTACATATTTCTCTGATCGCTGAAAGGTGGCACCTCTATAATTTCTCGGCCTTACGGGCTCTTGAGTTTTTTGGAAGAGTTGATGGACTATGTTATGGAAGGCTTGTTTTGTTGTAGCTAGGCGACTAGCGGAATTGGCAGACATTTTGTTGTAACTGGAATTTCAGCAATGAGGGAGTAACGAGTAGGGGATTTTCATATTTCGGAAGAGAAAGAGAGGAAGCACACTTTAAGGGTGGAGATCCCTGTCGACAAACATCAATGCGGGTAGCTACATCGAGGGCAGTCGGCAACGTGCATCAATGCAGAATGTACCCTACTTCCATTGGATGGTTCATTAATGGAGCGGAAGCAAAAGGAGGCACAGGACTCCATTGCTTGGTTCCAAGTGGATGGATTAGTGTCTAGAGAGCTCTTTGCTTTTTTCTTTTGGGCTAGATCTTTATTCTCGGTATACAATTGTTTTTTATTAGTTCATAACGATTTCTTTTACATCGGCGAGTCACATTCACTACACTGGCGCTTTATGTTTTTGGATACTTTTGTGGTTTTATAGGGGGTTTTCTATTGATAAATGCAGGGTCTTTGCTCTCTATGACAAAAGGAAAATGTGCTTCGCTGATTTGTAATTCAAACTTGTCGATTTCGGTTCGTCACCTCTTACTCACCAATGTTTGAATAGTCACTCGACCATTTTCCTTCTGCGAGCCTCATCCCTGCAACCACGTAGATTGACTGGACTTGGACTCGAGGTCTCCATCAACCTGGTTGAGGACCATGAGGACGTGTAGGCATAGGTAAGAGTTGAGGTTTACGCCAATGGAATTTATTGGGTTTCTTGAGACCAGAAAGAGCATCAGATTCAATTGATTGATTCTCTAGCTAAGCAGTTAAGCTGCGAGTATATATTCAAAAAATGAAGGAATAAGGTTAGGTATTCAGCCTTCGGAATTAAAAGTGCTTTGAAATCAAAATATTGAAAGCAAACAAACAGTATACCAAAAAGGAAAGAATGAATTAAAAGTTGAGTTTGTTTGCTCCTTATATGCATCATGCAATATATATGCATATGCTGCCAAGATCCCAGGAGGTCAACAGAATTCAAGGTAGCTTTTGAAGAATGTGCAAGAGCAAGAGGGTCAAGGTGTTGAGTATGAGGATCAATTCGATGTCCAAGAGCTCTGATTGATCCGCTGTTGCAAAGTGAATGATGAGATGGGCTAGCTCATGGGGAATTTCTGGATCAACGATCGGTGGATCGTCGGAGACTGGTTGTGGGAGGCTTTCCATGTCCACATTGAGAGATTCGGAGACTCCTTCTAGAGTTTCGTCGATTTCGCCGGTGTGTCCGAGCTGAGGGAGTGTTTCTTCATCTTCGGGTTTCTTCGAAGGCTGAGTGTCGTTTCCGTTATTCATTTTGGCGGTTTTCGGTTGTTGCTTTCCTTGATGTGTGATCTTGGAATGTGTGATTGTGTTTTCGAATCTGGATTGATGAGATTTTGTTGCCTTATATTATCTAGTCTTATATGAATCTGATATGAATGAGGAGGGAAAAAAAGGAAAGGAAACGTTGGGAACGAGGGTGATGGCATTTATAGTAAAATTTCGAGTCTTAGATAGTGTTGTTCAGACTATGTTCATTAATATCCTAATATTTTTTCATAGTTCTAAGGAGAAGAAGAGAGCGTAAAAAGAAAGCCAAGTCTGAAAGCCAAATGACATTCGTGGCCATATCAGGCAAGGCGTCGGGACGAGAGGAATTGTTCTATCCAACGTAGGATGCGTACTCAGATATTCACTATTCACTCAGCTTTACAAACAAAAATTGTCTCTCTGGCAAAGGGGTTGAATTGATAGTACGAAAACCAATTAGCACTAACTCCGAGGATTGACTTGTTCAGAGAATGTTCAATAATACCAAGTACATTCGTTGTATTCATGTGATTCTGATATATTTATTCCCCCTCACTAAGCGAAATCAAGCGATGTAACCTTGATTGGCCAGCGATTGGTATGAAGTCCCGCACCTACTGATATTTTCAAGACTCCCAATGAGTATGAGATTGAAATGAAAGAATGCTTGTTTAAGTTTGAAGATGTATTATTATAGACAGTCATCTGTACAACACATTTTTACCTGAGTAGGGGGGGGGAACGAGCTAAGGGCCTTTTTTTGCACTGAGAAATCATGATTACTGAATTAATTTATAAAGTTAGTATTCTACAAAGTTTGCGTGAGGAATTTCTATGGTGATCCTCCTCTGCCGCTCCCAGAGAAATTATTGCAGAGTGGTGACTAGTGGTGCCGATTTGAGAGTGTTGGACTTCTCCCGTTGGGTCTACTGTGCACATACAGAGTACTCCGTGTATTTTCACCTTCTCAACAACGAGCCCGAATTTCTTATTTTATTACGTGACTAAATGCACATCCTTATAGGTTTTGAAAAATGCAAATATCGAAATTCATTTACCGTATTGGACATAATATAAAAACAACTGCGCTTATACACCTCTCGTTGAGTCTTTTCTAATAGGGTTTTTCTACTTACTTATATCTTTATATGCATGATTTATATAAAATTTCCACAAAATCAATATTATAATCTCTTACAAACTAAAAACCTTATATAAAATTAACATAATTGTAAAGTTATTCTGTTATATAATCCCTTGTAATCAGGTTCTATTATGTACACATTTTCTATAAAAGTTGGGTGTGAATTTCCTATTATTTTAACATTTTGAAGCTTTTTTATTTAGCTATAAACATGATATCGTCTTGCTTTAATTAACTTGTTCAAAAACTACTGTAAGATTTTCTGGTTGTTAGTAGGGAATCGTCTTCCATCCTCAATAGATACATGTTTCGACAAGCCGACCACCCAGTAGCTAAAAACATTGACAAGTAGTCCAGATCAAATAAAATAAAGGCAAATCATCCAATAAGGGCATCGCAATTCATCTCTTTGAAAGTTCTTTGAAAAACTTCCGTACTAGGAATGAAAGGTCTCACTAGGTCGCTTTCACAATCTTGTGCCATGGGGACGCCCCTTTTCTACTCTGATCAGCTAGCTAGAGCTACAAGATTCTTGTGGCTCATAAATTTTGAGATTGTTTGTTCAGTATATTATTCTGAGTAGCTACTTTCAGGATGTCAAACAGAATCAAGATAATGAAATTGGATTATTTTGAAGATTTGTAACTTTGATATTTTGAGACAATATTTTCACAACGAACCTTGAAGAATGCTGACCAGATCGTTCACTGGGCGAGGGACAGACTTTGAATCCGTGAGGGTGGTTGAAGATTGTGGACTAGCGTGAGAATGGTGGGATTCGGGAAGCGATTGCGCAGGGGGGACAAAGACTCAGAACAAAGGTCTCTGTTCGGAATCGCTACGAACCACACACAGATTTTGATGACTGAGATGAATGCAAACAATGATTATTGTTCCATCCTATCTCGTGGGCTCCAATGCAGCAGCTCAATACCCAGGTGCTTGGATTCTGTTCACCTTCTCATATGAGGGTTTGATACAACGAAATTTGACATTAAACAAGGTTTGAACAGCCACCATTTTGAGGATATATAATGACTACTAATTGCAGTTCAATCCCAATCTATTCTCCTCCTCTATCAGCACCTAACTACACACAGCAACAACATTCTCACAACCAAGACTTTCAGCTTTTTAAAAACAAGTCCAGCACAATTTTCGCAGGAACGAAAGTCCACGAGTCAACAAGGAATATCAAAATGCCTCAATTCATTAAATTCCCCATTGACTGGCCCACGCACATCGAGGTCGACCCTGACACGTTGGAAAAGAGTGCTCATGGTAAGCACGAACAACGAGAAGATTGCACCTGTGACTACTGTCACGAGTGGTTCTTCTCTGGAGCTGTTGAAGAGAGGAAGCCATCAGATATATCTGCAGCATTACCCACATCGCAAGAACCCAAACAATCTCCCATTGAAAAGCCAACTCAAGAAAAATGGGAGTTCCTCGACGTTGACGGCTGCAAGTGCCACCGCGGACGCTGTCAAGTCCATCAATTCAAGTTATACTCGATAAAACACCAAATGTTGGTTGAGGAATACTCAAAGCTCATGGATGATTGGTGCATCACGATAAACGTGGATGCGCAGTTGGATGATCTATCGGATCTCCATTTGCGACACGCCCAATTCGTCAAGAAACTTAGTGATGCAGGAATCAGTCTGAAATTTGGGTGCTATGGACGGTGGTGTAGAAAGGCGAATTTCACAGCACACCGAAGAAGGGGATTTTCTTCATTAGAAGAGTCAGTTATGAAGTCAGTTGTGAGCAAATTTGAATGGTCAGTGATTAGATATCGTTGTGGTAGACGAGGCCTGCTCAACCACTGGCGCATTTTGAGCCCAGCCCAATACAAGCCAGTCAAGACCTTTTTGCGAGAATCCTGTGCTAGATGACTTCATGTCGTTCTAAATAAATAGGAGTTTTTGAATTTCAAACAGAAAACACTTAAAAATAATAAAAAAAGGAATTCCTTTGTTACCAAAAAAAAAGAAAAATGAGTTTTAACATAATGATATACTGCCTGTGAAAAATAAAATGGAAAATGTGAACCAATGAAATAATTCGAATCAAACAAGCTCAGGGAATGTTTGTTGTCCCCGCTCTGTGAAAAGGATGTGCAACTTTGCTCCAAGATGACTAGTAAGAAGACATTTACCAATTCACCTCTGAGTAGCGACTGTTTGTTAATTGGTTGTTTTTATGGTGTTGAAGAAAAGGAGAGGAATTGTCTAGTTGACGCTAGTGGATTAAGGTTACGTCATGATTATAGTTTTTGCCCCTTGGCGCTCATGGACCTTCGATATCAAAAAGAATCAATGCTTGCTTAAATCTATCAACGTCGAATCCCTCATCCTCATGTGTATATATAAAAGAAATACAACTATAAATGCTTTCACTCACCCAAAACTTGACTCGAAGAAGTCTTCAACAATATATCACTTCCACGAGAATTTGGATTCCTTGTTCGCCTGCAAATTTACCAATTCGACCCCTTCCCTCGAACGTTGTAACTCTTCGTCTTCCTACAATGGATCGCGGAATCAAAAGAAAAGCCGAATCCATATCAGAAGCACCAAAGAAATCCGTCAAACTGGATGATTACTGCAATACACCCATTCGTCGTTCGTCTGAAGGAGAAGAAATTTGGCCAGCTCCACGTGACCAATTGGAATCTGCCTATGACTTCATTCGGGAATGCGCGAAAGCTCAAAAACCCACCCTTATTGTGCCAGATAAGGATGCAGATGGATTGAGTGCGGGAGTCATCATGTATCGCACATTGATTAAACTTGGCCTGGAAGAAAAGAATTTGGATATTCATTTAGTGAGGAAGGGCTCGAATATTCATGAAGAATATGAACGGAAGGCGATGGCGGAAAAGAAGCCAAGTTATGTGATTGTTTTGGATCAAGGAAGTCGAGGTGGATTGCCTGTTATCGACGACAAAAGCGCGAGAAGCATGATAATTGATCATCATTTCAGCGATGACTTCCCCAAAAACGCAATTGTAAGCTCGATATTGCCCCTTTGTACAAATGTTATTAATGGATGATGGAAGATCGTCTCAGGTTGTCATTGTCCGCCAGTTCCAACAACTGCTCTAATGACTTACGAGATATGCAAAGAACTTCATCCTGATATTGCTCAAGAATGCGGGTATCTTTGCGCAATTGGAACACATGGGGATCTCGGGAATACTATTAAATGGATACCCCCATTTCCAGATATGAAAGAGACTTTTAAAAAGCACACCAAGAAGCTGATTAATGACTGTGTTTCCTTTATCAATGCCCGTATGTTCAATGAACTTCCCTGACGCAATCGCTGAACCTCATTTAGCACGAAGAACTGGCACATATGACGTTATCACCGCCTGGAAAGCATTACTCGAAGCCAAAGACCCTAAGGAAATCATGACTAATAAGAGACTCGCTGAAGCACGACGCGAGATTAATGAAGAGGTTGAAAAACAGACTCATACACCACCAAAATTTAGCAAAGATGGTAAAGTTGCTGTATTGAGAATCGAAAGCGAAGCTCAGGTACACCCTGTTATTGCTACGCGATGGGTATGTAGTAGTCGATCGAAATCATGTACGTTAGGCTAAACCTTTTATACAGGCAGGTTTTTTGAAATCTAAAGCCCTAGAAATAGTAATGGTAGCTAATTACGGTTACCTACCCGGGAAAGTAAATTTCTCATGTCGGATTGCTCGATGTGCTCGAGTGCGAGATCCACCAGTCAATATTATCGAGTCATTAAAAGCGGTTGCTAATCTAGACACTACTGATCTCGTTGAGAGACTGGGGGAAAACTTCGCTCGTGGTCACAAGGAGGCTTCGGGTGGGATTGTCAACACTGCGGAATTCGAAGAATTATGTGCTTTGATGAAGGTTGGGGAAAAGGCTGAAAAGTCCGAAAACTCTGAGCAAGGTGCATTGATGAAGAAAGTTGAGAAATCACCACAGAAGAACACATTGAATAATTATTTCAAGAAGTCCTGAAATGATACTTCAAGACAAATAAAATATCAACAATATATTATTCAAGAATAATATCGCGGGTGAGAAAATCCAAAGAAGTACAATTCTTTCATGTCTCTCCAGGTATATCTAAACAAATCTCGTTATCCACTCGTCCCTTGTTTGGTCGCATCTTCCTCGGGGTCAACTTCAGGGCCATCGAGCTTGAGTACATCGATCCACGGAGTCAACTCATCATCTTCCCTCCCGGCCATCACATTTTCCATCCAAGCTTTAAACATATCCAGAGGCATATCCGCCCACATTCTCCAGTTTTCCATTTGGTTTGCTATGGCTGCCATCTTGCACTCAGTTCTACTATTACATCTCGGATGCGAGAACCGTGGGTTTTCTATTGCGTATATAAAGCCACATTTGCCCGTTTTAGTAGGATCCATTTGAGCGGGCCAAAGGACTCGTACTGGTCTCTCGTCAGCTGTAGATCCAGGTTCCGGTGGATTTGGATCAAATGGGTCTGGGTCTAAAGCATTTTGGCCAGACCATTTGACCTTTTTATCCGTATTGGTCTTTTTGACTTTGGTTCGTGCTCCTGCTTGGCTGGATTCCGCCCCATCTTCTCCCTCACCCTCTCCTCCACCCTCTCCTCCAACCTCGTCTTCGTCGTCATCTTCGTCCCCCATCTCTTCCGTTTCCTTTTCGTCCGGGTCTTCTATCCCTCCACTAACGAATGGAGGAGGATCTGGTCTCAGGTTATGCTTATAAGATGGATCTATGGCGATTTCTTGCAATTTCGTCGGGATCTTAAACATTGGGTAATCAAATGGTTTGTTGAATCCACCATTGAGAAATTCCGCCGCGACCCTTGGCCTCTTTCCTATTCGTGGAGGTAGATCAGATATGTCATCTCGACAACTAAAACACATCATGTCATATCCGAACACTAGATTCATCGCGTTGGTCAGGCATATCATACCGCAATTATGTGCATCTTGCTGTCGCGACACGTTAGGACTGTTATCTGTTGTTCGACTAGCTTCAGCTCTATGGTCCGTCCGGTATTCCCATTGTCCGTACAATGGAAGCTCGACAGTATCGAATACTCCCTTATGAAACCTTGAGTATACAATAGCTTCAAGTAAATTCATATGGAATGTGTGGTGGTGGGCAACTTCCACCTTCCAATCGCGTTCCAGATATCTGGGAACCATGGTTCCGGAGTTGTCGATATGAAAGCAGAATTTTTGTTTTGGCGCTATCCCTATCAGAACTGTATGCGCGCCCTTATATTCATATGGAATCAACAGATAGTCGAGATTGTGCAGAGTTTCATCATCATATCGCGCTAATGCCTCCTCGGCCTTTGCCCAAGCCAAGGGAAGGTTTTGGTGCAGAAACATCCTTGTGACATTTCCTTCATCATCTACACGATCCACATACCTACCCCTCTTTGGATCCCAGTACAATATTTGAGAGTCGATCAAGATGCAGCTGATCTTCTGTTTGGTTGGATTGTTACCGGCTAGGTCGCCCCCTTCGAGCGTCCTGGCAATTGCTCTGTTTCTGTATTCACAGACCAGATAAATGTACTAATACAAACATTATCACATCATTAAGTGTCTTCGAACCTTGCAGCCAGTATCCATGTACGACCTACCAACGTACCAAGTCCAATATTCATGGGTAGGACGTTAAGCAACAGCTAACTTACCAGGTCAACAATAGTCATCGGCACATGAGCCAATTCTTGATCATCATCATTATCATTAGTAGGGTCGGTATCAAGAATCTTCATCAGAAACCTAAAATCACTCCGCAACAACTTCATCTTGTCCAAATCGACCGCCCACTTACCCCATCTCTCTTCATCCACTCTATACACCTGTTCGACGATCCTCACAAACCAATCAGCGGTCAGCGGAGCAAATTGTCTTCGTTCCATCTCCGTCCTTTTTTTACTTTCCAATTTATCAGGATCAGGACGAGCGATGGGTGGACGGGGAGGTGCTTTGGGGGTAGCAGCATAGTAGCTGGGATTCTCGACGTCAATTTTAAATCTTTTCCCTTTACCGTCAAGCATCTCCGTAATGGAGGAACCATCGCTGGTTGATACTCGGGTGATACGGTTGCTTTTTTTGCCGCCCAAGGGGTCGGGAGGACCTGGTGCTATGTGGGCAAGGGAGGTAGTGGGCATTATGGGACTGATTATTCTGCGACCTTCTGCCATGGTGAATTGATTTTGTGGTTTTTGACTGAGTAATGTGAGAATATACTATGGATTTGTAGTTGGAAAGAAGTTTTTATGAGAAGATTTCAAGGGCACAGATTTTTAATGCTTCGCCATAAAGAATTATAGAGTTTCCCGTCAATCATCCATGTCCTTTGGTATAGATCTCAATGTTCAACCTTAAGCTCTGAAGAAATCAACAAAGAACTTTTCATTTCATTCACAAAATTAAGCCGCATCTGGCATCTTTCTTGATTATTTATACGTGATATAGCCATGAAAAGGAAAACAAAAGAACGAGAGCAAGGGAGCGCAGATTACAGTTCTTTGAAAATATATGGGGGTCCTTTCGCTTAACAAAAGGAGGGTTGCGAAATTAACCTTAGTTGCTAACTTCGAAAAGATTGGTCAACCTTTACTTGGTGTATAGTGTTTGATCGAGTATTTGCGATTTCCTTGTGACCTATCATTTCGGGTGTTGAAATCTTTAAAATTATTCAGGATCCACGAACGCGCCAAACGATACTAGTTATGGAACTCCGAGCCCCTCCCCCATTATTCCTCCAGCCCCACCCCGAACATTGATCATGGGTTCACAAAGAAAAGAAAACAAATTCCATCTTTGAATTGAAGGAGATAAAGCCTTTTTGTAGAATGAAGAGGATGAGACACTGAACTAATATGCTATCCAGCACACAACACCTCAAGTAACTTCTGACTCAGATTCTCACGATAGCTACCTGAGCAGCGAGAAAAGAGTTCGGAAATACCAACTAAATGAAACCATCTTGACGGCGTCACTCCTCTTACCGAATCAAGCATCTGTGCACTAAGCTTTGGGCTTCATCTCCCAAGGCTAAAAAGAGATTGTCCTAGTAACTTTTTTCAAAAAAAAAAAGAAATGTGATCGTGGGAATGAAGGAACTTCTGGTGAACTCTCTGACGGGGAGTCGAACCCCGGTCTCCCGCGCATTGCCAGATGAATGACAAGCGGAAATCATGACCGTTAGACCATCAAAGATGTTATTTTGTTGTGATGGATCGTGGTTAAAAAGCTTTCTATTCAAAATTTTGCACCAAAGTGGAGAGGAAGAGAAACATAGTGGGGCGGGACGGCAAATAGAGTGGGGTGGACGGATAGGTGGGGCCATTTTACCCGAGGAGGAAGCGACGGAGAGGAGAGTCGTAGGATCTAGCTGCGAAGCTGTATTCCTTAGATCGTTGATCAATGAGAGCTTAGCTAATGTACCAAGTATCACCCATGAGTAGCCACAACAGCTCACTAACACTAAGCATACATGGCGGAGTATAGCTCCTTCGTTGTGATTATTTTGAGGAGAATTGCAAGCCATCCCTGATGACACAACTAGAAGATTACGCCGTGTACTGATAATTACAGCGACATTCAATCGATGATCAATGTCATCATCCAGAAGCTCTCTGTGTGCATTGATTCCAGCAATGGCAGCTAATATTGGTGCTGGGCGCGGAGGATTGGCGTTATTGAGAATTACTCGTTGGTAACGTCGAGGCTTCACCTAGTACTTCTCACGAAGCCTTGCTGCCTGCTGTTCGAACTCCCAAATTCTGGCGTCAAATCCCCCCTCCACTCCCGCCCTCTCCATTTCCTCCCCTCCATTCTTCCACCCTCCATTCCTCCATTCCTCCATTCCTCCATTCCTCCACCCTCCGTACTTCCACCCTCCATACTATTGCTTTATTGTAAGTATCAAATATCCCATAAAAGCATACTTCGAAAACGCTCCAAATATATTTACTTCACTTTTATATTTTTGCAAAAATTCTATTTCCTTAGAAATAATAATATTGAGAACATTTTAACAAAAAAAATGTATAATAAAGTGTTGTTTCAATTGATAGGGAGAGAGTAGGAGTTGCGAATAAGAGAGAAGGAAGTATTAGGAAGTTTTCGTTAGATAGTTTCTCAGTGGAAGCAAAAGAAATGAATCACGATCCAATGTGGACTTCAAATCTACGGAATTTCCAGAGTAGGCGCGTGAGTAAGGATGACGCCAGAGACATTAGATCCTATGCAAGTATAATGGGATTGGAATCAGAAGGAGTGGACCAGGGGTTCCAATATTATCCCTCTTGTAATAAACTATTTTTCTGGAGCCCATCGTTAAAAAGATTGATCAGAAAGATGGAGATAATTATTGAAAGAAGTTTATACTTGGAAAAGTTTGGCGACAACGAGGTCAAGAAAGTGAGTTGGGAAAGAATCAAACTTACCAAATCAAAAGATAACGATAGTGACTAAATTACCGACAATATGATTTCAATTTGGAAGTGAAGATATATTCACTCAATACTGTCAAATGAATACTCAATCTAATTAACGAGTGAAAGCGACTGTCGCTACAGGCAATAACGATCCAGACGTAAGCAACGCTGACAACATAGCAGGCGCTACCGATGTATCCTACCTTAAAATAGAATATATCTAGTAAGATTACAAGAATGTTACGATGGTAACAACTGACTAATTAGGGAGCTTGGGCCTTGTGCAAAAGCAATCAGATTTCATCGAATTAATATGTGATCTGGGTCACTTTAGGATCGTATGTGCACCGTCAGAAAACACGTGACTTGGAGCTTTTGGAGCTTAGGATCCAAAAGGATCCAAGGGAGCATGAAGATCTATATATTCAGTATGAATTTCTTTACTGTAAAGCTTCGTGCTCAAGATCAATCATTTAGTATACTCTACTATTAGTTACGAATTGCATATCATTATTGTCATTACTTAAGTCCCTGCTTGACGCCTAGTTATAAACCACCTCGAGAGCCTAGAGCACTTCCACGTGATCTAGACGGCAAACCTTGTAACACTTCTCAATCTAGTCCTAATAGGACTAGTGCCCTGTGCACGTGCTACGCAGGAACCATTCACTTTAACATTATAGTATAAATTGTTCCATAAACTTTCATTTTTTAATAATAAATCTTTTATAATAAGAATAATAATTATAATATTTGATGTCAACTCAGCTTTAAGCCATCAAGTATTTTATTTCTCTAAGTGGCCACAGTCTCATGGCCTACTGAGTCAATAATTCAGTACTTGGTCATCTGCATTCAAAAGTAAAGTCTGTTGGCCACATGAAAATCAATAGACTTTTCTACTCACATGATATCATTTCAATACAAATGCTTTACACTTGCTTGGTCTAAGGTACTTTCCTTCAAAGGTGATTCTATCTGCCTGAAAACACATAGATTAACATCAGTGAATGAAACCCCCCTCCTAGAATGCAACTCAATCATAGGTGTAATAAAGTTTCTGAGCAATTAATTCCCATGCACTAGTTTCAACACCGAGTCAATATTCTTTGGTCTTGTTTTGGTATCAATCTTGAATTTGCCATGCAGATATTTCGCTGTTCTTCCTTGCAACGGCATATGCGAGATGACTTTACACAATGGAATGCTACCATCCTGAGTTCTTCAATTTACTCACGAGGTACTTTATAGACCTCCTTTTGCATGGATATTCAGGCTTTTTTTCATCATCTCGATGAAACCATTCAAGTTGGGTTTCCTTCTCATCCTCATTTACGGCTGGAAACATCTGCTGCAAGCATCTGCTGCGAAAATTTGAATACACATCACCCATAATGAAAGTGATAGGGACCAAACCCAGGTGTTTGAAAGCATGCTCAGAGTCCATTGGCCGCTAATCATGGCAAACGGTATAAAAAGCGAAGTGTCATCAATGCATGTCTCCGCTCCTTACCATCCTTATCTACCGTGTTACACAGTATTAATGCAGGCCGTGGTCCCAAGTTCGTAGCCTATATTTTAGGGTATTCAGACGTGCAACAAAACTTTATGAAGGAGAATAACTCGCTTCCAACGGGGCACAAAGTGGACGAAAATGTGACTTATTTATGTTAATGACTCGGAGCATTTGATATACTTTTGACAAACTCACTATTGTGTTTCGAATAAAATATCATGAAAAGAGATTTCAACAATTGGTCGCACTAAGATTGACTTGTGCGTGCTACTAACCAAGCGCCATATAGTCCCTTGACTAAAAACGCCATTCCGCGCAGCCCCCAAAGATCAGCAAAAGAGAAACAAACGGCGTGTTGAACTTTGATCACGAACACCGGGATCAGAGATCCACCTCTACCCCGCCTACCATCTGCTTTGAAAATGGTATACTTCCCCAATATCGAACGGATAAAACGAGGGGATGGATGAGACGAAACGTGCTTCATGCGTATGAACTGATAGATAGGAAGTTAAACGGTTAGCTAAATATGGAAATAGCTTCAAGTAAGAGATAATCATGCAGATAAAGTATTACTCCTTTAGGAAGAGCCTAGACAGTTCGTTCTCTAGTGCTGATGTTCAGTGAACGTCTCTTTGCCAAGACCCTTTCCCCTGAAAAGATAAGCCCGATAAGCCTTATCCAGCTGATTACCAATTACACTGATTACCAATTCCATGGTAGAACTAGACTAGATGCTCCACTATTTCGTCAACACCTAACTCCAAGCTTTCTCTGTCATCATCTGCCATTCCTTTCCCATCTTTTCCCCTCACCACCACTATATCGACTCCCCTGCACCAAAATAACGCACAATGGGACTCCTCCGCAGCACCTTCACAACCGCCGTTTTGGGCGCAGCAGGCGCCACGTCCGGCTGGGCATTTTGGACACGAAATTCCAAATTCATCCCTATGTCACCCTCGGATCCGATTTTTTCTAGCTTAGCCTATATACGTCAGAACCCTAATCGTAACCCCGCCATGCAGGATTTATGTCAAAGGAAAGTGACGCTGAGTAAGATAAAACCGCATTTACTTGAGAAGGAAGGGAAGTTAGTCGAGGCATTTTGTGCGGGGGTATGGGGAGGTTTGGGTGTGTATTTTGATTTTATTTTTATTTCTTTTTACTTGATTATTTTTAGCTTGTCTCTGATATATTTTATGGGTTTCGGATACAGGAGGAGGGGTAAAGGAGGCATAAGGATGGAGGTGGGTTAATAAGTGAGAAAAGCTAATTGGAAGATAGGCTATGCACCGCAACGCAGCGTTCTCTCTAAAAAGTATCAAAATGAAACCACTACAGCGCATCAACTCTGGAACCGATCTGATCTTCAAAACTCTACCTACGAAGTCGGCACTCAGATCACCGACCACTTTGAAGTGGTTTCCAAAACACCCACATCTATTACCGTACGCTGCGGCGATTCGCCTATGGTAACTGGGGTGAGGGACAGCGATGGACTTTTCGAAATGAAGGCTAGTATTGATAAGAATGAGGGGGTGGCGGTGTTTGAATTGAAGAGTGTGTTTTTTAAAGGGACGGGGAAGTATACGGAGAAACCTATGCCTGAACATATAGAGTTTGCACATAGGTTGTATACGAAGTTATGGATGGAGACGGCGGTGGGAAATTGTGTAATGTGAGGGATGATGTGATTTTATATAGAATGAGATGGAACTCGTAGATATAGAACGAGATGGAGTTTATAGATAAATCTACGGACCGTTGGCTAGACTTCACATTACTCAGATATAGAGAAGGACATCTGATGGTAATGCAGAAAAAAAAAATCTCCACTTTATTACAAGCTGTAGCGATGTCTATCTGTCTTAATGATTGTCTGTATGCTATTCATCTTCCTAACTCCATGCACCTAACTGTCCAAAACATATACTGCATTCATTGCATCACAAATCCCTTCTTTGATATCATATCCAAAGTAAAACTCCTTCTCTTTCTAAACGCCAACTCTTAAACCGTAAAACTCCTTGTTTGCCTTCGCTGTTCATTTAGTCGTCCATTCATCTATCTATTTCTTCATCAATCCTGAGCTCAGCACTTGAGCACATGTGTATCGTATGTTCGAACATAATCTAACAGAGCTACCATCATGATTCATTGCTCAATATGTCGAGGTCCTTCTAACATCTCCAGGTTGACCCGGTGTGTAGATTGTTGTTCTGTTTAATGTTAGTAACTCCACATTAGAATTTGCATCCTACTTCACTCCGCAAAGGGAAAGCAAAGTACTTACGCCCTACTGGCAAACTCCATATCCGAACAATCGCCTGATCTCATAGTCCTCACCCTATCCAAGCTATCCTCATTTCTCTCCCTCATCAGCTGATCTTCAGGAGCCCAAGTAATCCACCTCGCAGCCCAACTCCCCGTCTTCTCCTCATCCTTTGCATTCTCCTCTGCATCCTCATTTTCCTCACTACTGCCTTTTTCAACATCTGTATCATCCTCACTCTCAATGCTGCTTTTTCGGCAGATCCAGCTCTTTCCGATATGTCTGAAGATATATCCCAGTGCCGCAAAAACCAACACCGGGGTCCCTAAAGCCACGGCCCAACTTGGCGTCTGTACATTTCCAAGTACGATCCAAAATTGGAGCATTACCCCCAAAATAGCGATGAGAGAACCGACTTGGAGGATTGACCAGAATCCCCAGTAGAGCTGGATGAGGTCTTCACCATCACAGTATTCGATGTTGAATGCTGCGAATACTTCGAGAACAACACAGATTAGGGCGAGGATGAAACAGAGGGATGCTATGGAGAGGTAGTGAAGGCGACGGCGACGTAGACGGCGGGTTTGCCGAGGAGTGCTGGAGCCCGCTTTGGAAAATTCCGCCGTTAAGTTGTTAGATCTGGGTTGTATTAGGACAGAAAGACTTTAGAGGTGGAAAAAAACGTGAGGGACATGTGGGGAGGGAGAGTCTGAGTAGATGATGGTGTCCCAGGATGCTTACTTGTGATGTTGAATAGACGAGATGCACATCAATACGAGAACAAAGACAAACAGAAACCAGTAAAGGATGTTTGCCTCAGTCAATGTAAGGTGCTGGAAGAACCGAGCATAGTGAGCACAACGAACTGGATCTTTGAGGGTGAATTTTCCTGTCATCTTGACACCGAAAGGATGAAAGGAGAAGATGCTGAATATCGAAGGATGCTACTGGTATAGAATGAACAAAGATAGGCCGATAATGACCAAGCTTCGAGGGAAAATGCTAGTCTCGGAAGTAGTTATATCAACAAGAGAATGGGCAAGAAGATGAATAAGGAATTGGTCGAGAAAAAGGTCACTTGTTGATTCTTGTTTTTAGATAAGGTACAAGTCTATGGACAAACATGAATGGGGAACACCTCAACCGATTTAAAGGGGCGCCTCAACTTATGTGGAAGGACGAGTAAGGCATCAAAGTGGATGTCGTGATACAATATACACTTTAACTTCCTGCCCAGGCTTACACTGAAAAATAATGCTTAGTAGTCTCGGTACTCGCAATCAACCCCAACCTTATTCTTAGAAACATCCAAAAGTTTGTGGAAAAATGGTAGCAAAGGGGAATAGTGACTAGGTTTCGACGCCTTGGCTTTGCTATCAGGGTAAGAACTTTAGTGTATCAGCACCTGGAGAGCCGCAGATATGGGATTCTTGGCAGAGATCTTCGTAGATATTGCATGGTAAACCATACATGAGAAGGCTCAGCCGGGTTGCTGCTGCTGCATGTGTATGTTTTGATACTTTTAAGTGGCCAAGAGAGGCGAAGTAATGCCAAGTGAAATAGAGTTCAGTCGGGAAATGGAATTCCCACTGGTAGTTTCTGACAAAATTAAGAGACTATTCGTGGTATTGCCTTTTCAAACGTCATTTATGAGACCCTAGTTTTGAATCGTTTTGACGTTCGGTCGTTTGACGTTGGGTCCTTTTGGTATTGATCGTCATGGCCGAGGTCAATCCACCAGTGATCCTGATAACGACCGATTGATCGGTATTCAATAAAAAATTTAATGCTTAGTAGAATCGACTATTCCTGACGCGTCATCCACTAGGATTGCTACAGCAAGTGTTGCTTTGCTTACTGCAATGCAAAGTAAGACAGTACAGTGTTGCAGGTATCACGACATTACCTTGGTCAAAGGCTCGACCTTTCCCGTTGCACATCCAGCGACTGACTGTGTACCATCAATACAAAGCAAAATGACAATTGTGGTCATATAACTATTTACCAATTCATCTGGCTGCTGCCCAAAGTGGGTTTGTATGCTTGGTGTATTGATACCACAAATTCCAAGACCCCCAAGTCGCCAAGTCATGATAGTATGGTTTATCCAGAGACAATTGACCTCATGAGTCTTGAAACATGAGATGGAATCCAATGTCAATAGATAAGGATTTACATGCCGTGCTCGCAATTCCCCTTGGCGGAAAGCGATGACAAAGTACAATCTGGAGATGCGGCGGTGAGATTTCGGACAACGACGCCCATATCATGAATCGTAACCATCTTGGCAGCGACGGGAGCATCCGGACATTGAAGAAGACGGATAATCGTGATCACTGGCAACCTGAAATGCTTGGAATTCTTGTTTAAGATTGTGTGGCCTTTAAACGATTGTGCTAAGAATAATAATTAAGACATAGGCATGTCCCACTCCGTGTGGTCGACAGAGGTTCAGTACCGTCGAAGCTTTGAAGGAACAGGAAGGTTCATTGGCGCCGGTGAGGATAGCAGCCAGGAACCAATTATTGAGAGTTGAGGGAAGATCTTATAATTGCTTGGAAAGAAAAAATTTATTTTGAGGGGTGGATGTTTTTGGCTGCCGGTAACCTTAAGGTTACATAATCTTACATGGCATGGATTGAGGAACACGTACATCCGCTTTCGGACGTTACACAAAACTTGACTCAACCCAACATACCAACAGAACCAAAGAATGAATATCAGTACAGGTACAAAATACAACGGTTTGATTGATTCACAGAATTTCGAGTGGAATTTTTGTGGATACCACAAGAACTTCTTGCTGCCCCCAAAACCCCAGACCCCCATACTTCAGAACCCCAAAAACCCAAACCGCCCCTTACCGACGCTCTACTTGGCGGCTTGCCAAGGTGGAGCTGAAATGTCACACAGAAATTTGAAGCATTTCCAAGTCTGTACAAGTTTATGCTTGTGTCGCTCTCTAGGCTTTCTCCACAGCCGCGGGTATCTACTATCTGGTAGTCTACTTCCGTTGGAGTATTTCAAGCCCTTATCATTGAGGTAAACTTAATCTCTTCTCAGTTCAGGTCGAGTCCTTCCTGACGAGAGACAGTTCCGTTTGTACGATATTGGCATAACTTTATCAAATCTTAGAGGGAGTCTGATTGGTACGGCTGACATGAAGTTATTAAACCGTGTATCGGATTCGGGTCTGCTTCTACCATTGGCAAATTTCCCTCGACGTCAGCTTTCTTATTTTGCTAATTAAAGGCATACTATTCGATTCCTTCGATATATGCATGCAAAGCATCGGCAATGACACACATTTTCTATTCGTTCGATGACAATAAAGATTTAGAATTCTTCAAATCTCGCGGAGAATATTATCAAAACTTTGGGCTACAATACATCACCTGAAGACGATATCAAGCCTCTTTCAAGGTTTTTCGTTCCTCCTCGATACATATCCAGTACTCAAATATGTAAAGAAAAAAACTTGTACTTTTGTTTTAGTTTTGTTTAAGTGCTATCTGCATGATATGTACGGTATTTGATTGGAGTATGACTTGCCAATGCATGTAAACTCAAGGATTGTTGTCTGTCAATCTTGCTTCAAAAATCTGCTGTGTAACGAAGTCCTTACCAATGCCCTTTTCTTATCCACCATATACCGCCGAGGTTGCTCAACATTTGTCGCAGAGCAGTCGCAGAATGGATCCTTTGTGGATTTATGTATGCAGTGGGTCTCTTCTTTTACTCCTGAATGCCGATTGCGAATTTGTTCATATTGCATCATAATTTAGTTCCAACTCACAATCCACAAGAGAATCTCACGGGAGATATCGGGATATCATTAACCCGCTATGGGAAACTTTTCACATCATGAGCCTACAGAGATTTACGGGAGGTCAATATCACATGCCCCAGAACTACCATCTTGGCTTACTATCCTTCAGTCCTTTCAACTAGTATGTCTTTCAGAAGCCAAGAAAGTTTCCAACTCTTAGACGCTGATATAGTGTAGCTTGTGGGTTTCGTCATTGTCATCTTGACAGCTTTTGCTTCCACCAAATTTCCACTGGTTTTTGTAAGTTTGACCGCGTCAAGTGAGGTACTCACAGTACTGACTATTCCTCCTATCTAGTTTCCTGGTTATAGTGAGATAAAGCATATGTAAAACGCTGCAATCTAGCAGGTGTAAGGTATAGGTTGGTTCTCGTTTATATGGGCGGTTCTTTGCTCAGTTTATGTATGTGACCTGACACTCCACTGAGGAAAGATTAGCAACTCATATCTTACTCAGATATTCATAACACCTCGGTCACTTTCTAAGTTTTACAACTACTGGATTCATTTGTTTTTCTTTAACTCTAAACTCCAAAATTACTGGACCAAACTGATCAGCGTACACCAAGGCTCTATAGATAACCCTTATCATTTTTCACCTTATCAGCTTGCGCTTCTAGTTTCTGATATTCCTTTTTGGGATGCTGTTGATAACAAATCTTGGGCAACAAGCTTGACAAAACCTTAATGTCGTCAGCCCGTGCATCGAAAGCCGCAGTCGTACTTTCAATCATCCAATTTTTGACATTGGTTGGATCCATGGGCTTCCTTGTTATACTAATAATTTCCTCTACATTCTATTCAATTGTGTACCAACTCCTGCTTCTAGCCCGTGCCTTTCACAACCGCGCAGCTTGCAGCACCACATCTGCTCATGCTCGAAAAATTCGTAATTCTCGTCTTTGCCATCACTACAGGACCTCTCCGACTAATCATTCTCCCGGTGCCCCTAAAACTCTTTCAAGCTCCGCCATGCCATTATCTCCCCCTACTAACTTTCCCCGCCAAGAGAGGCCAATAACTCTACCGGTTCTACGTCAACGCCCTGAGATTGGCGACACGTATAGAATGAGAGAAACATATGAAAGGAATGTTCCAACACAAAACCGTCACAGAAATGGAGATGAAAGAATGCGGGTTCGTGGTCATGCTGAGACAATAGGATTGGAGAGGTCCGAAGAGGAATGATGAGATTAGAACTGATTTCTGGCCGGCTTTTATTTGAGCTGATAAGAATATGATAGATGTTTTTAGGTCTATCAAGCTGTTTAAATCTAGATGGACTGCTTCAGTGTTTTACATACACCTGTATTATTACTCAATGAGTGGCTTTTCTGTCGAATATTAGCGGAATTGGAGTAAACAAAAAGCTTGAGCTTTTATTATGAGATTGGCGGGAAGAGGTAATTGTCGGATTTTGCATCTGTTTTAGTATTTTTCCTCGCTCTAATATTTTAAAAGAAGTAGGTCGAGATACATACATCCCGATAGCACATTGTGAAGAGGAAATGGAGAAAATAACTGATTAGATTATATTATAATATATCATTAAAAAAGTAAAATAGGTTTTATAGTGGATTTGAAATAGAAACAATGTATATTTAAAAATATATATAAAAAATTGATTATTCTGGAAAAAAAGTAACAAAGCATCTCTTCTATATCTAGTTACTAGAATTGTGTAATTAATCAGTGTGACCAAAAGGGTGTTTATAGACCAGCAATTGTGTTTAACTTAGAATCTACAGGTGAAGAGCACCTGTAGATGGGGATAGCTACTCTATATATACACAAATGAATGGCCTAGCCGCAATGGCTAGGCAAAAAGAAGTCATATTTATTCCTCCAATGATCTTACTTTACCGATAACCATTGATACCTAGTACTTGTCCGGATCTGATCCTCAGGTCACCTAAATCGCATACTAATCCCGAGTAATCGTATCATGTGTGGAAATGGTTAATGTACCTGAGGTTTCTTATATAATAAGGGTGGGAGGAAAGCAGGGATTTCCGTCACAATCAGCTGGAAAAACCTCTATGTATATGGCCCAAAATTCCAACTTTCTTACAATATTAGATAGATACTTTAAATTTTTAAATTAATTGCACTGGTTCTAAAATCATGAGAGTTCTCTCATGCCTATAAATTGAAAGATTACAGGGCTTTAGGTGTTCTGATGGAGCCCCTTTTCTGTGACCCAAGTAGCGAACATTGATTGATTCATGATTCGTTTCCTAATCTCGCCCAGTATTCACCAGTAAAATCGGAAGAATCTTCTTTTGAATTTGGTAACTACCTATTCCCTCTTGCAACAGTAAGGCACTTTTCATTATTAACACTGTTAATCTTCAGCACACCCAGCCATAAAGTACCACCAATTATATCTGTTGGTCAAGCGACAAAAATCTCCCAGAACATCTCAACATCGCAACTCGGATAAAAATGGAAGCGAATCTCCGACCCTCACAACCACACGTGAAAAAACATCATCGCCCCTGTAGCCCACTAGCGTCAAAAGCCAACGAGTAATTCAATCGAATATAAAAAAACATCTTCCCTCTTGTGGATATCTCGTTCTTTCTTCAATAATCAATTATTCGACTCGAGAAATGTCCTCGAAGTTGACCCGAAAAGTTTGTGGTTTTTCTCTGGTTTTTACATCACTTTTCTTGAGTGTGAGAGAGAAGAAAATGAAGATGAAGAGGCTGGGCCCACTAGTTTTGTTGTGCGATTGGTTCAAGTGTTATCCAATTAAAGCATAATGAACTGTGTTGGCCTTCTACTCTAGGTTTGAGATGGGAATGGAAGGGATTGATGGGTGGATGGAGGTTGGTGAATGATTAAGGAGTTACAGCAGAATGAAGGTATTCCGTAGTCGGAATCAATCCATTACTGGATCCTTGATCGATGAAGATGAGATGCATTTTTCATTACGAATTGGTATTCATCGTCGGATGCACGCTCTACTGAATTTGTTATTCTTTTGAGTTGATCGTACTGGTCGTCAACCAATTCACGTCTCTATCTTCAGTCATCGTTCATCACCACATCAAGAATTCATTTATGATGATGTAGATACATTTCTATCATACCAATTACTCTCATCTGTTCTTCATATTCTCGTATCTTTTGCTATCCAGTTTGAGTTGTGTAACTTTTGATGAGGGCATTACCTTTTTCCAATTAACATGAGACCAATAGATAACAATCTAGTGGATCCACAACACTCTTGGAAACCCCGCTTAACCATCAACATCACCAATAAGGATTCTCCGTTTCAAAAATCTTATCAGGCGGTGACGGTCGACAAAGACGAGAATATTGGATTGCATGATCTTCTACTCGGCTTTAGGAAATGTTATGAGGGTGTTTTCGCATACGAGTTGTTAGTATCTATTTTGAACGAATCAAGGAAAGGAGACCAGGTACACGATTGGAATCAAGGATACGATTCATTGAGGATTCAAATGAGGAAAGCGGTCACAAACTTTATCACTATGTGTGGGGTCAAACGCGTGTGCGCCTGCGCAGATGAATGAGGATGTTGGGGATGGAATGTCTCAAACCAACATGAAATAAAGGAGAAATCGAACGGAATGATTAGGAAAAGGAAGGAATCTACCAGCTGGATGTTATTTTGGGAAAGATCCGGGGACTAGTTTCATCAATACATATTGTATCCGGGGTGGTTTAATGATAAGCTCACATCATTTCAACAACTTTCTAGATATTTGCACGGCTAACTGCGGCCAATCCGATGCCGGTCTGTCTTTCAGGGTTATTATCTAGCAAAGGTATTTAATCTACACATCGCCGGAATTTACTAGTTTTCTCAAACTTTTCTACAAGAATTACTTCTGATTTCTACTATTTTCTACTGTTTTCAACGTTTACCACCACTTTTGACTTTTTGCATCTATACATCTTCAATCCATCGCGAATCCGCAAAAATGGCATCAAATAGCATGAAAAACACAGCAATCCGTACTCTCCGTACAAAATTATCGTCAACCAAACCTACATTCTCACCCATTCTCGCAAATCGTGGTATTACCGGCACAACCAGAAAATCAACCTCTTTTGAATCAACCACTTCTAGTCAACAACCAAGTACCCCTTTCTTACCACGAGGTATTTTTGACTATTTATTTATTTATTGATGATGTGAAATTTGAACTAAAGCTAAATGACCTCCTATTTAGATTTCGTAGGCAAATTTCCCGTCTCATTCTTCAAACCAACAATCTCAGCCAGCACATCCTCTTTCGATACACTAGTCAACTCCCTCACGCATTCTCTCACCACAACCTCCTCTCCGCATCTTCCAACTCTCACCTCTTTACTTAACAATTATAATACCTCATCAGATATCACAGGCTGGCAAAAATACGCGCACGCAAATCCAAATAAACAATACACGAGAAATTTGGTAGCAGAAGTAGAGGGTATATTTAATTTGTTGTTGTTGGTTTGGACTCCTGGAAAAGAAAGTAAAGTTCATGATCATGCTGCGAGTCATTGTTTGATGAAGATTATAAAAGGGAGTTTGAAGGAGACAAGATGGGTTACTCCCGTTGATGGGGTGAGGAGGGATGGTGAGGAAATGGAGGTTGAGGGGGTGAGGGAATATAGGAATGGAAAGGTGGCTTATATGTGTGATGATGTATGTTTTCCTCTTTCTTTGCTTTTATCTCCTATATTCGTCGTTCGAATGGGAAGACGGAAAGGGAATCACATGACTGACTGCGTATAGTTGGGTCTTCACTCTATCGCCAACCCTAGCGCAACTGAATATGCTATTTCTCTACACTGTAAGTTCTTCTATTACCATCAACCTTTACTTCACCACACCCTACCTCTTCCCACCTCTCCCCGTATCACATCCGTCCCCACAGTCCCTCCCCACCTCATAACTAACAAGGAAATAGTATACACACCCCCCAACGCCGCAATGCACGGCTGCCACATTTTCGATCCATCAACAGGTATTAAAACTCACGTTAGACCTGGCGCTTATGATTCTGTGAAGGGAGTTATTGATCCTCTTGCTTAGATGCACTTTAGAGATTTAAAGATTGTGGAGGAGAGATGCACAGAGATGAGAGATACCCTTTATGATTTACCTCTTTTTTTTTTTTTTTTTTTTTCAGTTTTGAGTTGCGGGTTGCGGGTTGCGGGTTTCTTCTTTGTTCAAATAGCAAGCGTAGGGTGCGGATGAAAATCCTAAGCGGATATTCATATGGTGATGTGGTCACTATTAGTGGCTATACACACGACGTTGGAGTTTACTTTACTGGAGTTTAGTTTCTACTTTTCAATACAAATCTATTAAATTTTACAATTATTTCCCGCCACGGTACTCAAAGGTCCATGATAAAACCCAATGATATAAAAATCTGAACTAGCACTTTCTGAATTTCCAATTCTCGAGATATTTAGTACATATTGAGATATTAATTACATTTCCATTGTCGCATATCGATATACTTTGACATTTAATTTAACTTCATCACTACAGCAGTTATTGATCAAAATCAAACAAGACCCTTTTCTCCGCCAAAGATCTAGTCCATATACTTGGTATACATCTCCCATCCCTCAACATGCGGATATTATCCTCAGCATCATGATGAATTGAGCCTCTGATATCAAATCTCTTATACTCTTACATATATCTGATGAGCAACTTGTCTTCTTCATACGTGGCAAGATCTTTTAGCGGGAAAAGTTGATGTATTGAAAGATTTAATAGTAATATAAATATATTTTCAACTAGTAAACTGCAATCACGCTTTCAGCAGGATTTATCTGCCAAAGGAACGCAATTTGTTTAAGCTTTCAATAATGCCTTTTCTGCTAGGGTTATATTATTTTTATATCATAGGCGTATATCCATCCATCCATGAATGAGAAATTCTTTCCCCTCAACATGTGCTGGATCATAAGGGGATTGAAGTGCACATGAGTAAGCATTCCATTATATCACGTCCGACTTCTTCAATCTTGTTTTTAGTATTGAGATTTTTTTTTTTTTTTTTTTTTTTTTTTGATTGACATAATGTCATAATATCATGAACAATAACCCATATCCTCTCCACGCCAGTATAAATTAAGCGAATAAACGACGTTAATATCCACGAGCATTTAGAATGAACTTAAACTACCAATCCACCGAACCATCAATCTCTTAAGTTCCCACACGGCTTGTAATTTTACAAGTAGTTATCAGTGTAGAAAAGGAGCCCAGAATGTGTATGTATCAAACATGCAATGGTAGAACAGTATGTGTACTCTTATCATCTCATCAGTGAACCAAGGCATACACAGCTGTTGGTTTGTAGCCAGATTGGGTAGTTGTGCATATTGAAGGCAAGGCATTACGTATATCCTATTATTTATAAACTCGGCTGTACAAAAGCTTGCCAAGCTTCGATTTCAGGGGTACACCCCCATTGGCTCATGAAAAATCAAAGATATTCATAAAAGGATCTACGTAGTCAAGAAATGATTACTTGTGGGATGATATACAATTCATTATCGAATCGAGAGCTTTTAATCTATCTTTAACCATAGTCAACCTAAACACCTACGCTGCAAAACAACCAAAACCATAACTATATTCTCGTGACATCATTATAGAACTCATCAATGTCATTACCGCTATGGTCGCTGATCAACAACTTGAAATTCTAGCCCTTCTGCCTCAAATACATGGCCAGGTCGAAGTGCATCAGTGTAGATATTTCTTTCCTCATGCGGATGGAAAAGTCCAGTCTGTTTACAATTCAAAACAGCTGGCATCCCTGGAGGGTCAGTTAAACGGAAGACCCCCCATCTATCTACTGTCAGTACATACCCTAATCAACCGGAAAATAGAGAAACAGTTACTTACGAAGGAGTTTTACTCGGTGCGCAAACAATTGCAATACTTTCAGGCATCATGATTTGGTACCCACAATGTGTATGTAAATCTCGACTACTCATGAAACAGCTTTGTGTAGGATGAGTATGTATCCATCCTAGGACCATTAAATCTTCAGATGCGCAATAATCGAAAAAAGCACCCTCATTAGTTGTTTCACACGTATCGCTGGTACTCTTTTGTTCTGGGATAACGAGTCGAGAAATGAAGAGGGCATTAGATATCAACGTTCCGCATAACATTCCACAAGTTTCAAGGTTCGCTCGTGTATTTGAGGCTGCGCAGGCAAGGAATTCTCGTCGCAATGTAGGCGGAAGAAAAACTGTTCGAAGGGGTTTACCATTTTCAAGATATGCGGAGGGTCGAAAAGTGAATTTTGAAACTTCTCCGACCATTTCAGATGATGAGCTCTCACGCGTATGTGATGATTGTTTTTCAGGTATTGGTGGAGGTGTTTCATAACTTGATGGTTCAGACTCCTCTTCTTTAGGTGGTTTTGGAGGAAGATAATCGGAAGGTGGGTATGGTTTTGAGTCATCAACGATGAAAGGTTGAGACTTGGAAATCGACGGATATCGGTATTCGCTGCTACCATTCCTAATCGCTGTTTGCACATATCTTGCAGGTCGAGAAGAGGGTTTTAAAGATCTCCTCCTCAATCCATCTGGCAAAATATCATTTGAACCGTCCAACCTCCTCCTTGAAGCTTCCATGTTTCGGCGCATGTCATCATCCTCATCATTGCGACCAGATTTGGATAACGCTGCTTCCCAGTCATCCCACAGCCCCGCCGTACGTCTCTCCTGCTCTTCTTCTTCACTAACACCTGCTTGCCTTGTGGCACGCCGTACAGCATTTCTCCTTTTTATTTCTTTATGTGCCAACTTCACGGCCAGCTCCCCGTTCTCCGCAGCTGCTAAAGTAGTTGTATTTCCGGCAATCGCAGGATCGGAAGCAGCCAGATCTGCTCTAGATGATGGTCGCAATATATCACTCTCTCGTGCGGTATGAATTTCTTTCCTCCTTTCCAGCGCCCTCTGCCAGTTATTGTAGCGTGCATTTATCCCGGGCTTTAATTTCTCCAGTCTGTCTAAAACATCAGGGAGGGATTTCTGAGCTGCTCTTAAACCACTTCTAGTTTCTGGGTCTTTCGCGAATGGATGCTCCGGTAGCTTTTCTGCAACTAAAGCCGCATATCGCATGAACAAAAGGTAGGCTTGTTGATCGTTGTCTTCTGCTTGATAAATATGTGCCTGTAGAAGTCAGCATTCAAAACCACCCCGAAGTGATTGAGTATTTTACTGACCTCTCTTAAGAGTGTATCGGCTGTCCTTAACCAATATTTTAAGGCGATAGTAGGATTAAATTCAAAATCTGAGGCTTTGGCGGAGATCTCTTTGATGCTCATAGGCTTCGAGATCTGTAATGCTGACCCCGCCATGATGTGCAGATTGTATGAATGAAACGAATGAAAGCTTGGGCGCGTAATACAATTGGACAGTGAGAGTTTTTAAGTAAATGGTTATATGTTCAACACAATCATAGATGTGATGAATAGGTGAAAGAAACAGAGAGGAGTTAATAATAAGTTTTCATTTAATTCGGTTGCCTTGTCGGATGTTGTCGGTCTGCTTGTTATGTCTTATGATGAATTTCCCCATCAGATTACTCTTTGTTCCAGGGAGGTTTAGATCTCAAGGTGCCCAATGTAATCTGTGCAAGAGACCAAGGCGGTGAATGAAAAATACGGCAGATTTATGTTTAAAGAGATACGCCTACAGCCTCGCAGCCTTACAGCCTCTTGATCACACTCGCAAGCCACACACATAAGCCACACATGAGCCACTGGCAGGTCGTCAACCAATCAACTGTCATTCATCATCAGCCAACATGGTATCTTTTCATTCAGCCTTGCCCAACTTGACAAGAAACTTTTCGCTCCTCCATGCGCAAGGCTAATCATTTATTTTCATCTACTAGAGTAACGATCAACACTTTCACTACATTTGTATGTATATTATATAATTCTGAGACACTCTCTCAATTCACAAGTTTCTCAACTGTCATTATCTCATTGATCCTCAAGCTAATCAAAGACATTGATGTTTCGCATTTATTCACGATCGTGTAGATCCAATCTACTTAAATGTCCAGTCATTTTACAACATTCTCGTCTTCGACAAATTCATTGTTCATCAACTTTTAATCTACCTAAAATATCCAAGTCCTCAGATGTTTTAACGTCAACTGATCAGGATCCTCCAGCCAAGCGGACACGTCGGAAGACCGTTACTTCCAAAACTGTTGAAGAAACAGACGCATCTCCTGTGAAAGCAAAGAAAGCTGGGGGTAGGAAGTCTGTGACCTCGGAAGGTGTTGAAGGAGAAGATGAGTCGACCATAAAACCAGTGACTCGTAGGCGCAAAAAGCTTGCCAGTGACGAAAGCATTGAAGGGGAAGATGCTCCGGCAGCGAAGCCGGTGAAGCGCAGAAGTAAAAAGTCATCAACTGAAGAACCCGTGGAAGGAAAAGAGGAAACGGCAGCGAAACCGGTGAAGCGCAGAAGTAAAAAGCTCGCTGAACGAAGCCTTGAAGGAAAAGATGGAACCGCTGTTGAAACAGAAAATCTAAAACGAGGTCGGTCTGAACAGGCGAAGGATTTGGAGCCAGAATTTGAAGCGGAAGAAGAACCAGTAAGGAGAAGATGGATCTGCCTAAAAATAATCGCTGACTGATGAATAGGAAGATGATGTAGAGACAAATGTAGATGAGTTCATAAAAATCCCTACGGCCCTCAGAGCATACCTCTCAAAAGCTCACATGGCGGGTTCAGCTATGGGGGATAGAACACGTGTAAACATCCTCAACGAGGCACTGTGTGGTAAGTATCATTATTTTCAAGCTATTCATTCCCATTTACTAATCTAGTCTAGATGACATTATCGATCGTTTTGGCTCATCGCTTTTAAAACACACTGGCTGCGACATTATCGACATAAATCCAGGCTTAGGAATTTGGTCATCTAAAATCCACGACCTTCTTAAACCGCGAACACATCTCCTCATGGAACCTGATGCCAAGAAATACCTTCCCTACCTTCAACCACTCCTTGATGCAGAAGGTTCTACTTATCAGCACATACCGAAGTCTGGAACCGTCTGGGAACATCTCAGGCATGTTACCACTCCAGAATTTTTACCACACCAGGTAAAACTCTCACCAGATGATCCGAAGATCAACGAACCAAACAATACCCTTCTCGTGATTGCGAATCTTGCCCATTACCCCAGGAAAAAGTACCGCGGGTTTGAGTCCATGTCACAACTAGTAATGTATCAACTTCTTGCCGCAGCAAGATCGCATGCCTTATTCCATGAATATGGTCTCATACGTATGCTGATATGGATTCCTGATGTCGAGAAAACAACATGGTTAGTACGTCATATCGCACAGATGCGCAAAAATGCCGTGGAAGCCCAGATAACTACAAATTATATTCGAGAAATTGCGAGTTCAACTGTGGACAATCATCGATTTGTGAGAGACTCTGAGGCTGCATTGAATAATTCGATAGACGTCGTCCGTAACATGGATAGAATGGGCATAACAACTCCTGTACATAGGCAAGGGCCAATGGAAATAGCAGCCAGGCAGTCACTTGCTACAGGTGGGCATCAGGTTAAAAATGAAGATTTTGAACGTTTCAGAAGAGGTTGGATAGAGGAATTTGAGGATCTGCAAAGGCGATTGGACGAGGGAACACTGGTGAAATATGAGGAGGAGCCGGTTGAGAAGGTCAAAAAGTCCACGCCAGGAAAGGAGAAAAAAAACTACACCAAGGAATATGCACGTTATGTCTTTTTGAGATCAAAGAAACGAGTCATCAATGTTCATGGACTGCTGACGGAAGAACTTATCAATGACCACAACAACATCAACCAGCTCCATAGCAAAGTTATGAAAGAAGATTCGACCTTGGAGGACATAGAGAAGTCTAAGGATGAATTAAAGGCTATGATCAAGGCATATGAGGATAAAATTGCAAATCTTCCTTTAGCCGCCTTTAAGATCTATGCTGTCCGACTCGATGGTGCGCGCATTTGTACGGAATTCGAGAAGAGAGAGATGGAGCCGCTTAAAGTATATGCAAAAGAATTCAGACCGCAGTCAGAATTGTGCCTTTTGGACATTCAGCCACAAGCTCTTTGGCCTATCCTCCGTCAAAATTACCCTCAGAACTTTGATGTCTTCGAATACATAATTGGTACTGTATACGCACACCCTGCCGACACAGTCTATGAGTCTTTGGAAAACTTATGGCCTGGCGCGTTGGATTACATAGCAGACAAATGTCCTTCTTTAACCGACCCTGAGAAAGGAGGATCGTTTGACCTGAAACATTTGTCGGTGAGATGCCTGACGGCGGAAATGCTAAAGGAGATTATAGAGGCATGGATGAAATGGCCATTTCGCCCGAGTAGATTTGAACTAATGACTAAGAGTGGAAGTATGGTTCATGATGCAGACCATGTAGAGGATGATGTGCTGGAAGGCCCTTGAGTATACTTCTGCTCAGAATTCAATCAATCAATCAATACATCAATCTCTGGTCACAACTGTCTATTCGTTTTTCTTTGATGTCAAAGTGATGTAGCTGGATTTTGACTCATGTGGGATGCAGACATGATTACAATATTTGGCAAATCATACAGATTAGTTCAATCGAGCACAGGGAATTCGAGTCTGAGTTCCACAAGCTGAGTAATACCTCCACCTCTACTAATAAGTCACAGCAGCATTTCATTACAAGAAGTATATAAAAGCTCTAGAATCTCTGATCAAATATGGGATGATTCCATATATACAAGAAACAGAAGAGGAAAGATTGCCAGTATGCCTTTTTTTTCCTCCGTATTGGTATGTTAAAAATCTTCATGAGTTTATCAATTACTAATTTAGTACTCAGAAACTTCGCATTGTGCAACATCTACTTATTTCCTGTCCGTGACTTCATATCCCGGAAGACCTAGCTCGGAAGCTTTACCTGCCTAGAGTTTCTGATACTCTGCTCGACTAATTCCCAGTTTAGTAGTTTGAAGTTGATTTTGCTTGTTAGCTGACTGTCACAGTTATTTTGCGCATTAATATACCCAGCTTACGCTGATATGATTGACTGCTAGGTGCTTAAATCTTAGATATTCGTATGGCTGTAGTTAGTACATGCCAGGATAGATGTTCCCTCCTCTCCCTCAAATCTGGAAACTGTCGAAATTCTGCACTTTTACTACTCGGAATATAGCAAGCACAGCAGCACCTCATAATGCGTGTTATGGTAAAAGGACCAGCCTTTACATGGACCATAAACCGTCAACCATATATCAATTCTTTGATCACTGTTGAGAAAACCCAGGGATGGTAATTCGAGTAGTAATCATATACTATGAAATGCCTTATACCAATAATACAGCGTGATCTGCTTTAAATCATCTTAAGAGTAAAGATATACTTCCCTTTGCCTGTACTGAAAATACATTGGTATGAGAAGCTCCACCATGAAGAAATGGCGAAGTGCACGTGAGCAACAATAGAAAACCTCAAAAGCCACCACAACACTATGAACGAAAAGGCACTTCATTAAGTGCCGTTTTAAAAAGGACTTTCATATAAATTCAAGGTAACCAGTAGGTTTGACAAGGCTATCGCAAACATGTGTTTCTCTCGCTTGCAATCACGCCACAAGTCAGATGCTATGTGGAATGAGCGGGGTATTTATTTACCTACTCCTCCGTAGGTATGTAAAGTTATTCAATATATAACTACCATAAATCGAACTTTCGAAATCATCATATTCTTTATACCATAATTGTCATGGAATCCACCAAAAAATGGGCAGATGGCCCTTTCAAATTACTCTCAACTCCGAGAGCATCCTTAGAGGTATACATAGTATCCCCAAGACACGACAGCAATATCAAAAACTCACACAAAGACAGGGAAATCCCGAATCAGCAGCCTCTCGTAATGCATCCGAAATGGCCCTCGTCCACAACATCCTCCTGAGAGGTCTAAACAGTATTTATCTCCAAGCGACCAATGTGAAAGAAAGCTGCGATATTTCAGATTTTATGAAATTTTGCGATGCATGGTCTTCTAATCTTCATTCGCATCATGCAGCTGAGGAGACTGTATATTTCAAAATGCTCGATGAGCAAAGTTCGCGAGAAGGTGTTTTCATCGCCAATCATACCGAGCATGAGAAATTTCTTCCGGGCTTGTTCGCTTTCGATCTGTATGTTTCCGGGGTGAAAGATAATGCGAAGCCGTATGATGGGTTTAAATTGAGGGAATTGATTGATGCCTTTGGAACTGATCTTGAAAGTCATTTACACCATGAGATTGCAGTTTTGGAAGATCTGGAAAAGGATACATCGATTGATTGGGGGAAATGCGGTAAAGCAATGGCTCAATATTCTAAGAAACATGTAGATAGAGTATGATTTTTCTTTTTTTTTCTATCATCAGGATGTGAACTCAGCTGATATGAAACTAGGTGCGAGATGTCCCGTTCTTAATCACAAATTCTGATGTGACATACGAATCTGGCATTCATGGTCCGAGATTTCCACCATTTCCTTGGTTTGTGGGGTTGATCTTTCGCTGGTTTTATATTCCGAAGTTGAAGGGGGCATGGAGATTCTCAAGTTGTGATGATTATGGGATTCCGAAGGAACTTCCCTTTGCATGAACAGCTAGCTTGATGTAATTGTTCGAGAGCTGATGCGGATTGGGTGGAGTTTTGGATATGCGTTTGAATACTGGTTTGCAGATTGGCACGTTGGCGTTAAGGATGTTTTGGGTAAAATGACATTACTAATATTCCCCTTGACTAAGGAATTCTCATCTACTTAAACAAAGTTTGCAATCAACATTTTCTTCCAAGCCAGACATCATCTGTTGCCTTTATTCTCGATTGTTTCCTAAACAGTGTTGAAGTATCAACGAGCGGCTGACCACTTTAAGGCACCTCCAACATGCTCTTGATATGGATTGAATTAGATTTCTGGTATGAGCAACACTCGCAAGTGTCATGATGCGCCACTCTGTGGGTATTCTAGGCCAGTATTGATACATACAGGCGTCTGAATATAATATACTCTGTGTGACCAAAAGGGTGTTTATAGACCAGCAATTGTATTTAACTTAGAATCTACAAGTGGAGAGCACCTGTAGATGGGGATAGCTACTCTATATACACACAAATGAATGGCTTAGCTGCAATGGCTAGGCAAAAAGAAGTCATATTTATCCCTCCAATGATCTTACTTTACCGATAACCATTGATACCTAGTACTTGTCCGGATCTGATCCTCAGGTCACCTAAATCGCATACTAATCCCGAGTAATCGTATCATGTGTGGAAATGGTTAATGTACCTGAGGTTTCTTATATAATAAGGGTGGGAGGAAAGCAGGGATTTCCGTCACACTCTGAAAGAATTGTAAAGAATGGGCTAATGCTTAAATCAAGTACTTTCTCAGCACCCTCCACTTATATTAGCCGATATATAATTTCATACCAAAAACAACCAAATTACATAGTTTTCCTTTGGATATTTTGACATAATGTTACGACGGCTATCTTCTACGCCGTGTCACATGACTAAACCAAGGTAACGTGACTAAGTCACGTTATGGACCGCTGAGGAACGCTGGCTGTCCAGGACCGCTGCGCGGTCCTGACTAGCCATAGGCATGAAGGTCTATATAATCAAGATGGATTTCCTTTGTATAGAGCTTCGTGCTCAAGATCAATCATTTAGTATACTCTACTATTAGTTACGAATTGCATATCATTATTGTCATTACTTTAAGTCCCTGCTTGACGCCTAGTTATAAACTACCTCGAGAGCCTAGAGCACTTCCACGTGATCTAGACGGCAAACCTCGTAACATGTAGTTGATGAGCTCTCAGAGTCTCTCTTGCGCTTCTTTGTCTTGGTGGTTGAATTCTGGGTTTGTTCAGGGCTCCAGGAATGCTTTGCCATTTTAGATCATTGTTAATAACCAAGGATAGCGCACACATACCTCTTGCTCGTGGATGTCCATAGAATATATGGCCCGTCGGTCTCTTGTAAGTGCTCACTACGTCTCGGAGATTTGCTGGCAGCTTCATCGCGAAAGTCAGAATGATCTAAAAACAAGATAGCGACAACACGACGTCTATTCCTGGTAGCTTGTGATGGTACAATCTTCTCCAGGTGCTCCTGAATAATAAGCCACGTTGACGGGATTGTTAGATTGATGAGCTTGTATGGTTGTATGATAACAATTGTAAGATCTTATATCGTGTATGAAAGTGGAATGAAGCATGGCCTAGCGGAACTTCGTCCGTTAACCTTGCCTAATCCTCCTCATCCTTCTCATCCTATCATTTCGATCATATTTAATTTGATCTACAAACTTTATAAATATTTTTGCGGAGGGAAAAATCAGGTGATTTTTATTCTCGAACACTTTCTTTTATCTTCAATTACTAGTTGATTCCTCAGCACAAATATTCTTGTTGAGGAGCAGATCTTGCTATTATCCTCTAAAAGGTATTTCTAAGTTACATTGTCATGTCAATTGTATTGTGCCAATGTCATAAGACACCACAGATCTCTCAAAATACGCTAGGGGTAGCCGTTCCGTTTGACGCATCAAAGGTTCAGGTGTTTGTTACATGATGGCATTACCCAGCCTGACCTTGTGCGGATGATGTCTTGTATTTGTTCATTCGTGGCCGTTTAGCATTATGGGTGAAAGCACTATGGGTGAAAGCACTATGGGTGAAAAGCACTATGGGTGAAAGCACTATGGGTGAAGACACTTCTCCTGTCTAGAGTGTCTACAGCTCGTGGAAAAATCAGAGACGGGGTGACAACTAGGTCTTATCAGCCGTCCCGACAATGATGTTGAAAGTATCCAAGAGACCAAGATTGACCTTGAATTTTGGCAAACTAACAATCAGAATGGAGGTTTTACTGATTGAGCCTTCCCAAACACATACACAATTGTACTCGCCGTCACGATGTGATACCACTCAAGTCTGGTGTCAATCCACACAGGAATATCCTACATCACAAAGTTACCCTTGCCTCTGGATATGCACTTTAAGGACTCATTATTGTTTATGATTTGAGGACTCATCGGTGTAACTCTTCGCTCAGTTCCCGTTTGTCATGGCCTGCATCATCTTCTTGATAAGGATACGATAACAACCCCACCTTGATCGATATTATTCTATTCGTAACAGAATTTCAACAATTGCAACAATTTCAAACTCAAACATCATCATGGCAACAACTAGTATTGCACAAACGGATAATATTGCAGACGAAAACTCACGTCGTGCTGCCCAAGAAATTCAAGATTATCTACAAGCTCGTCTTGCTGATACATCTGGGCCTCCTTCATTCCGATCCCTTCCCATCATCGATTTAACCCCTTCATTCTCACCATCCCTAGCCTCCCGTCAAGAGGTTGCAAAAAAAATCAACGAAGCATGTACCACTGTAGGATTCTTCTACATCACCGGACATGGAATTCCCAAGAGTATTTGTGATGAAGTATTTAAGCTTTGCGAACGTTTTTTCAGCGAATTACCTCAATCCTCAAAAGATGCTATTCATGTTAAGAATTCGGATCAATTTAGAGGATATGAACCTGCTAGTTATTCATCTGTGAATGATTTCACAACAAAAGAAACAAAGGAGGCTTTTAATTGGGGTTATGAGTATGGATTAGATCCTACTGGTGGAGATGGAAAATATGTGGAACTAGATGGGACATCTGCTGGTGGTAAAAATCAATGGCCGAATGAATCTGAAATTCCTGGATTCTATAAGGGTATTGCGGATTATTATGGCAGGGTGCGTTGATTCACTTCCATAATATTACAATTTCTAATGATATGATCTAGATATTACAACTGTGCAAGCACCTTTTCCGTCTATTCGCCTTATCTCTATCTCTCCCAGAGGATTACTTCGATCCACTAGTAACTCACCCAGGAGGAATCGGAAGACTAATCAAATACCGACCAAGTACAAATCCCAAGCCCCTCTCATCCCTAAACGAAGAAGAAGAAATAGGACTTGGCGCCCACTCAGACTACGAATGTTTCACCCTCCTCCTCCAAGATGAAACTCCTGGCCTCGAAGTCCTCAGTCCAGATGGAAAATGGGTAAGCGCCGAGCCCGTTGAAGGCGGAATCGTAGTAAATGTTGCGGACTTTTTGATGCGTTGGACAAATGGTCTTTACAAGAGTACTATTCATCGGGTTGTCAATAGGACGGCTAAGACTCGATATTCGGTGCCTCTATTCTTTTCAATCAATTATGATGAGACGGTTGAGACTTTGTCTTCTTGTGTCAGTGAGGATAATCCATCGAAATATCCTCCGATTACGGCGGGAAGATATGTATTAGATCGTCTTGCGATGACCGTTCCGGGGAAATATTGAGTGATGGATGGATATACATGGCATGGCATGTAATCTTTTTTATTATGATGTATCATTTCAATTCGGAATTTTATCATTATTCATCTTATCTCGTTCTGAGGCTTTACATACAAGTTCAAAATAGTATGCTCTGAAAACAAACTCTATTAGCCGAGATACTCTCCTATTCACCTGATTCACAGCATCTATTTCGCCGCTAGTCTATATACACTATATATACATAATCTTATAATCTTATAATGTATGTAAAGTATAAAAATGAAGCCCGAGATTTGATTTTAATTTTAATTTTGAATTTGATAATAAATATTTTCATGCCATTCCCAAATCCCCAAACGCCACATTGATGCATTTCTCATTTCTCATCTTTCGCGTTGTTAAATAATACCTCATACCTACCATCCATATCCCATCCTAGAATGATAGATCCATCCACCCATTCATTCATTCCTAATCCCAAAACCCGATCCCAATCCCATCCATTTCCAATCCATAAACCCGTCCCTCCCAAATCGATCATCCCTTATTCAAACCCTCATCTCTTTTCCCCATTTTCCACTCCCTCGCCCATCAATCAATCAATTATCCATCCTATAAACCTGATAACTCATAATCAACATCCAAAACAAAAAAATAACCCCAATCAACATAAACGCCCAGGCCGCAATCCAACTCTGACAAATACTATGCTGCAACAACCAAGCCAACGTCGCCGTACTCGCACCCGTCTGCGGATTCGCCGTAACATATAAATTACAATTCCCATTGACGCTACCGGAGGGACCCCAAAGTTCAATACTCCACACGATCAGTCCAACCAACCATAACACAAACAGGATAAAAGTCCCTAGGATGACGATTCCGGGCAGTAATTGGCGCTGCGATATTAACCATAGCATGAGTATTATGAAGAGGATGCCGAGAGAGGCAGATACTATCCAGTAGGGAAAGTACCAGGGAACGCCTAGGTGAAGTTGGTTTTGGACTGAGAGGAAGTAGGCGGATATTCCGAGGATGGTGGAGGATGCTATTAGCATGAAGAAAATCCAGAAATTTAATTGACCGGGTGGCCAGCGGTATTTGGTAGGAGTGCGATCTAGAAGGACGGAGCGTTCGCGGAATCCGACTGAGGAGGAGGAAAGTGTTGAGACCATTTTGTGAGGGGTGGTCGGTGGTGGATTATTGGAGGTAGGATATTGATGTTTGTCGAAATGGGTAGACAAAATGATTTCAAGTCAATTCCCTCTTATATTCCTCTAGCTCCTTATCTGCCGTATCGTCTTATAGATTCCAAAAACTTCTGATTTCAAATCCACAAAACCGAACCTCAATTGTAAGATATATTCCCCGTTCGTTCTCAGCTTGCGTTTCTCAGCGCATATAAAAAGTCTCCGATAACAAAATCTCTTTCTTCTCTTGAAATAAACCTTGCGAAGTCCGCAATATCTATTTATACCTAACCTTTCCCTCCACAGCCGTACAAAAATCTCAATCCCGTACGATAACTCGTCCACGTAAAACCCCCTCGTAAGTTTCAAAACCGGTGAATGTTGAGTTGTCGTTCGCTGAGGTGTTGATAACTCTTCTATATTCCTCCAGTCGGACTCGAAGGATTCGATTCCAATCGTTCGATAAGATGGTACCACTCGATCCAGGGGGACGTGCAGCGGAAGATTTATGTGCCTGGTGGTACTTAGGTAGGTAGGTAGGTAGCTAATGCGCATATAGTGATTGATTGATCGATGGCAGGGAGGTAGTACAGTGTATTGTCGTCGCTATACTCCAGATGTATAGAGTACTGAAGGAAGAATGTCCAAAGGAACAGAAAAAGAACGAGAGGAAGAAAAAGTAGAATAGAGGGACCTGCATTGGTTTATCATTTTTTATTTCCGCGGTATGAATAATATAATTGGGCGGTTAATGTTGGGGCTGGGAAAGCTGGGATGACGACACAATGTAAAGGAACACAGCGCATCACACCAAAGCCTAAAGAAATCATGAGGCTAGGAGTACTTAGGTACCAGGGTTCATAAATACTGGAGACCCGGTACTTGAAATTGGGGACTTTTAATATATATTTTTTTAAAAAAAAAAGAGACATGTCGGCGGTGACGACGATGACTTTCTCACTCGGCGGTGAACTTATATACTCTTACTACGTGCGGGGAAGTTTTGATATGTTTTTAAATTTATTTCATCCATGATTTGCCCATCTATCTTAAGATTCTTAACATGTGAAAATTATGATCCACCTACCCCTCTATCCTGACAACTTACGAAGTATAACCGTAAATGATAGATTAATTCCCCATCGTCTTGGGGCTACCAAAGCAATCTAATACCAAAAGTATAAATAGCCAACCTCGATCTAAGGGTATATTTCCCAATATCTCATCAGTATCTATTTCCGATATTCAAAACACTGTTCATAGCAAGCTTTCACCCAAAGCGCATCTAACCAATGAGCACCCGGCTCTAACAGTCTCGTGTGCTCCAATATCATTGATACCAGGTTCAAGTGTTGGGTTGACCTCTACCAAATCCATGGCGATCAAAGAACCAGTCTCGTGAACGCATTCAGCAATGTAATCTCCTTCTCTTAAAGTCAAACCTCCACGAACAGGCGTACCAGTAGAAGGAGCGTAGGTAGGGTCGAGAGCGTCGACATCGAAAGAGAGATGGATAGGGGTATCGTTACCAATATGGCCGAGAGCCATTTCCATGACTTTGCCAATACCGTGTCTGAGTTTGAGAATTAGTGAGCGTGCAAAGTGAATTAGTGCGACGGAAACACAAACCTATCAATGTCATGCATGCTGAATGCTTTGATGCCATTTTCACGGAGAATCTTCTTCTCTCCTCTGTCCACATCTCTCAAGCCAATATAAACAATCTTCTTTACGCTAACCATATGTTCATCCTTTAACCATCCAAAGATTTCAGGCTTTTCTTCTTGAGCAAGGCGCGTTAAAAATGCGACTGGCATTCCATGAACATTTCCAGAGTCGGAGGTTTCTGGTGTATTGATATCGGCGTGTGCATCAACCCAAATTAATGCCATCTCTCTTCCTAAACGCTCACGGATTGCTTTTGCAGTTCCGGAAACTGAACCAATAGCAATGGAATGATCACCACCCAGAGTCAAAACGCAACGACCCTCTTTGGCATGTTCATAAACTTGTTCAGAAAGCTTTTGTGTAACGGCAGAGACTGCGCGTGGGTTCTTCATCCTTCGGTGGTCTGGATCTTCAAAAGGGATTAATTCCTTATAGGAGTGGACGGTATTATCATGGTGAAGTTTGTATCCTAATTCCTCTTCGAGTTGAGTAAGTAGACCACTCTTGATGAGTGCTGAAGGTGCTGCATCAACTCCTGGTTTACACTGCATTTGTTAGATTAGTTGGTAATTTTATGATGGGGAATTAGAGGGTGGGTAACTTACTTGTCCACCAGAGAATCCGACAGCAACAACACCAAGTTGGTCGCCTTTCGACAAGAATTTTGGTTGAATCATTGAGGTGGTAGTCATTTTGAGAGGTGTTATTTGGGTGCAAAACAAGATGATGTTGAAGTTGGTTTAGTAGTGCGCGGATTTTCCAATTTAATTGTTGATAGTTATTGATAGCGGGGTTTTAGTGGTGGGGATGGTTATAGGTACTAGGTAGATGGGGGATTTTGAAATAGATATGGTAAATAACCACTTTTCGGTGAATCAAAAGAAGATAAAATTGAGATGAAGTAGGAATGAAGAAGGAAGGGAAATCTTGAGGTATTTGTAAAAAAAAAAAAACAAATATCTCACATACTCACATACTCTCAAACGACGCTACCTTTTCATCAAGTAATTGGTGGGCTCTCCAAGATTAGCTTACGGACTTTCAAAGAGTTCTTCTCACCTAATTTTTCACTTCTCGACCCCTAAGCGCAGGTATTCGCGACGCGTCTAACACTTAAAGGAAGTTCCTTCCCACAGTTTCCCCTAAGTGATAATATACACGAGAAGAAGAGATCCCATGATAAATTAGAATGATTAGGGGTAACCAATGAGAAAAATGTTTGTAAAAGAGAATAAGATACATCGGGGTAACGCGGAAAAGAGATCTTGAGGATTTTGATGATGTTGGATATGGATGGATTGATGGCACTGTGACATGGTCGTACTGGATTGTGTGGGTGCATGTATGTATTGTCACTCATTTGATTGTCATTGAAGTGAAAATAAAAATGAAATTCAATTGATTGGGATCCCTCCTTGGTTGGAGTAGTAAATGGGGCGCTTAGGACGGATAAATATCAATTCTTGATTCTTATAAAATCATTCACAGTAGAGAAAAGAATTATAGACTCTTTCGTTGAGTATTCCTTGTATGAGAAGAGGTTGTTGAATCATTGATTTGATTGATTTACATGAATGAGGGGAACATCTATAAGGTTAGCGGCGAGATCATGTGTCGGTGCTCATCATCGGATTTAAGTGCATCACGACAACCTGGAATATTAACTTAATCCTTCACATTCATCCCCATTTGGAGAATGATCAAAGATGCTTTATACTGACTATCATGTCTTTGGCTTTATTGCTTCATATATTCAGACCAAAATGAGGACAGCGTATGTATTATTTCATCGTTCAAAGAATACGAATAACCAAGAGGTCGAGCTTTGTACCTTGAGGCAGCCCAATGGAACCGCTGGTACGGCTACTGGCATCAGAAGGACCCCCAAGGTTGGAAGGGAACGTTGAGATTGATCTCCAGTCCAAGATTTCACACGCCTATCCGAACATTTTTCCATTTTGCTTTTGAGCCAAATTCTGACCCCGGGAAGTTACATTGTCCAATACCAATTCCGGTACCATGTGTCCTTGCTCACAATCACGTGAACTTGTGAACATTTGAGCGCTTTTTATTTCAAACTCGACGCGTTACCCCGCCATTCATTTCGTTTGCTATTTCGTTTGCTTCTTGATGAAATGAGCATGCGGCAGTTTTCGTTTGCATACGATGGCTGAATATTTACCATCTAATACCTTAAAATCAATCAATACAAGACTCCACATTTGCACATCTACACACTACCATCTTGCATCTCGTCTCTCAAACTAAATCAATATGTATGAATCTTGTGATCCGGATGGCCCTGGTTTCTATGAAACCATCATCGACAACATAAGGTATCGTTATGGAGGTCGTCAGTTCTCATGTTTTGGTTATACAATGTCAATACCACCCTTTAATAGTCTCGACCGTCCCAAACCCATCGAATACTGGAAGGCTCAACTTGCATTTTGAGGCGTTTCATCCAGAGGCGGCGATATTAATGCTCTCAAAATACGTTTGGTTAATGCTAATACTGATGAAATGAGCATTGCAGTGAAGCTAGGTTGTGAAGAAATGGCACGTGTATACCACGAGAAGGCACGCGAAAAGCAAGAACTCGAGCGAGAAGCTCAACTTGGGGCTCAAAGACGATCTGAACGTGAAAGTCAGCAAAGAGCTCTGCAGTATAAATGGGCAAACCGAGTTATCGATATGAGGCTGGCAAAAACTGATCCCAACACATTCTTGTATGAGCTCTTTTGCAACGAAAATGGACATGACGAAGGTGTCCTCCAATCGAACTGGATGGTCTGGATGATGGCTACAGAGTTGGCCTACGTCATGCGGCCGATATGTTTGGTCTATTTCATTCAACATCGATATCAAAAATTATGGTTATCGGCTCCAAGAAGAACAATTTGGCAGCTAAGAGATTGCAGACGCTTAATCTTGAGGCTGGATGGCTAAGTCAACCATCCCACGCTAGTTCGGGCACACGGAAGCGACGTGCGGAAGATGAGAATGACTATGAGGACGGCGAAGTCCCATCTATTGGGGTTGCTGAAGAAGCTAGACGACGTGCAAATGCTCAAGCTCGATTTTCCTCAAACTCTAACCATGCCGGAGTTGCTAGACAAGATTCAGCACGTCTGCAACAAACGCGTGCGGATGAAATAAAACGTGTGAAGAGAATAGCGGCTTATCTCGGAGGGACTATCTCGGCTGCAGACCGAGCTAGGTTAACAGAATTGGGTGTGAGTCAAGCTGAGATTGGACGTATATCAACACAGGGTGGCTATTCATTACTTGCGGAGATTAATCGGCATAGATTGGGTTATGCTGATGCTGGCGAATACGAGGGTGAGGAGGATGAGGATGGGGATGATAATGCTGAGGTTGAGGTTGAGGGAGAGAATGATGTCAATGTTGATGAAGGACCATGGGACGTTACAGGACATTGGAAAATCGAATGTCGTGATCTGCGACGTAATTATGGACACCGTGCCCCATACCTTCTCCAAATATTTTCCAGCAATGAACTTCATCGAAATGGTACGGAAATGTACGGACGTCTTCGCTTTGAAGAATAGAAAGGTTTAATCCGTTTCTCATCTATGCGTAGCGATCAAGATGATCATTGAGATCAATATATCCTCGATACCAATGATGAGATATCCGCCGAAGATCCTACAAGATGTTATAGATGGAGGGGAAAAGATTCAGGATATCATTCAGTTAAGATCGGACTCTAAGCTGTACAAGATGAGATTTTCAAATGGTGGGAATAAGGTTGAAGGAACTTGGGCTCATCAGGATGGTTTTGTGAAGTTTACTGGTGTTAAGCTTAGGGATGCACTCCCAGGTTAAGGACAACATATTTTGAATGATTGGGACATGCATAATCAGCAAGAGTATGATAGAGCCAATAGGGCGAGATGGCGTTGAGGGTGATAGGATTTATTTGAAGTGAGTGGGTGGATTTGGGAAGAGGAGATTAGGATACTGATATGCCAAATGATTTCATTCATCGAATACTTTATCTGTAACGATATATGCCATTTTGTGCCAATGTTTGATGAGTAAAATTTAATCATGGATTTTTGGATTAGGGTTGGAAACTTCAGATTGGGGACCTTGAAGAGCGTAATTCGCATTTCTCCAAGTGTTGTGTGCGGAAGGGTACGCAGAATAGAGGAGTATAATCACTAAATCGCACATTGACTACAATGATTCTTACTTCAGATATATCTCATTCTCACAACCGTGCATCACACAACCATTTATTCCACGAACGATCACATTGGTACTTGTCATAAAGCCAGGGATACTGATGTTTAATATGATTTTCATTCCCATTTTCATTAAATCTTCATAACGCATAACCCAATCCCATCCCGTTCATCCCCAAACCGACCATCCTCATAAGTAAAGTATAACCCCATCCCCAACATCATAATCCCCACCCCTTAATTAATTAGAAAACTTAGGATTAACCTTTGATCTACATACTCAAAACCATTAGCCAAATCCCCATTTATAAAATGTAAGATCATTACGAAAAGTAATAAAATGAATTTGAAAAAAAAAACAACATACCCAGTCTGCTTCTCATACAAATTCCTCGCTCCATCTGTAATCTTCTCATTTTGTTCTCGGGATAATGTATGTCCTGTTTTCTTTTCGATGAAATCGAGGCCTGGGGGTGGGGGGTTTTGTTAGTTGTGCAGTCTAGGAAAGTATGCGAGGAGGAGAGGATTGTGAGGGAAGGTTGTTTGGATGTAGATAGATAGATAGATAGATAGATAGACGGACAGATTTGAGGAAGGAGGGGTAAGAGAAATATCAGACATTAGACATACCTTTATCACCATAGTCTTCTTTTCCAGCTGTGTTGTTGGTAGTTGTACCGGTGCTTCCTGAGGAGCTGCCTTTGAGGGCATCTTTGGCTTTGTTTACGAAATCCATTTTGGTTGTTTGGTGGTTTATTGGCTGATTGATTGTTTGAAAAGTAACTAGGTATTTATAAGAGGTTATATATAATAGTATGTAACTGTACTTAGGTACTGATTGATAGAAAGAAAAAAGAGAGAGATCAAGGTTAAGGTTACCAAAGAACCTTCCTTCCTTATATACCCCTCTCTCTCTCTAAATCATCCAAGACGCCATTTTTACAACTAGTGCGTCAAGGTTCTATCATATCTGTGCCTTGATTCTTCCTTCCTTTCTTTCTTCCTTTCTTTCTCTCTCTTTCTGCTTTGATAAGGTTACTCCGTAGAAGCTTGGTTTCGTCTCGTCGTTGCTAGGCTTTTGCTTATGAAAATGGAGGGGAATAATGGAATTGTGGTTTGTGATTGGATGGATTTCTTGAGATTCAATTGAATGTGGGGAAGGGATTGTGACGTACGCCAAGGGACTTTTGTGCTACTTGGGAGAGCTATGCTATCTTTTAGGGGTCTTTATGAATACCCATGGAAATATTCGTCACATCATATCTGAGAAGAGTGGAAATGTTAATCTACTATGAAATCATACATATTAGTATGATAAGCTTTCCCGGAACATAAATATAGTTTAAGCCACTTTGATATTTTCAGCTGCTCAAGGATATAACTTTATATAACGCATAGCTTATCCTAGGACCTCTGCAATTTGTGAGCTAAGATTAAGGTTATATACTGTTAGCTCAACGATATCACATAGCTGAGCATGGAATTACTCACTTCTCGCCTCTATACTAATAAGCCATCGAAGTGTGTCTGCAAATTGCCAAGCGATCGAAAAGTATCTAGAATATGTTGATGCTTGGATAAATGGAGAATTTTAAGTCAGTAAGTAGAACATATGTGGTACACGAGGAAGCCTTGTGTACGAAACAATATATACCGTAGCACAAGAAACCTTCTCAGGTAAAGAATCGCAGCATTCACCATTTTAATCATGCCTTGTTGGGATGTTGACGTTAGCAACGGCGACGATTGAATTGAACGTTACGATGAGTACTAGAATCGTGGCAGCGCCAGTATATAAAAGGTGATGAGCGAAACATGAGGACTTTTTTGGTGACATTCGGTGCGGATAGTGTGATTGATACCATTATTAAAAGTAGCAATCCAGCGATTAGCTATTATTTATGTCAGTACGATCTACGGCGACTCTTCTAAGAGGGTTACTACAATAGCAAATGCGTCTTCTACGGATGGTAATGTGCCTATTGCATAACATTTCATGATTCAGCTCTAAGCCATATATTAAAGTAGTTTGTTGTAGGATCACACGCTGCGACGATTCTAAGCTTATAAGCTTGTACTTATTCTGTTTATTTTTAAGTGATGGCAACATCTTACTCATATGGGAAAATAAAAGCTAAATTCCTTCCATCTTCCAGCCCATCTAGACTTCTGATAACTTTTTATGTTAGTCTTATTTACTGGCGGCTTATTACCCAGCTTTTCAATTCTCTCAATTCCATATTTAGTTTCGCCATCATTCGGGTAGAAAGCTCTAGTCTGGAGATCTAAAATGCTCGAGAATCTCCGGAGTGCAATGAAACTAGAGTTTTGCCGTCTAGGATGATTATCTATCTCCATTCAGCAATCTCAAGGAATCTCATCATGCTTGCATACAAACCTACTCTCAAGTATCCGTTGGGCATACTAGCTAAAGACTCGATTTTCAACAAAGTCAAGATTCTTTTCATGAGCTCTTTAGTCCGAACGAATCACCTGGTCGTATGAAATATCCCGAAAAAAGCGAGCTTACAAAGTCCTACCAAGAAGCACTTGTAGAGAAGAAGAATCTACTACCCTGATATAGCCACAACAGAACTGTAGGCTCAGATTATCGCAGTCTCATATTCTTTGCAATGACAATATTCCTTACAAAAGTAGACCAACTTAGTTGACAAGCTGGAATGATAAACAAAGGACTGGGCCAACTCAGTGAAAAACTCCGTGAGTGACTCCGTGTTGGGTAGTATTCAAAATGATATACGGAAGTTTTCAAGCTCCCAAGCTGCATTTCGAAAATCAAGTTCCCCATTCCTTACGAGAGAACTAACTTCAGCTGATTTTGTGGGTGTATTAGCTAGTTTTAAAGCGAGATGCTTAGCGAAAGTCGTCTAGTCGTTTCCAATAGCTCCGCAAATTATAGAAAGTAGTTGGCATGTAACAACTTCAAGTGTGAAGATCAGATTGGCGAGGCTTCTTCCATATCGATGTTCCGTGTCGCTCGACAGAGTAATGGAGGGATTTTACCAAGTGCTAAAAGTTGTTGGGGTAGTGATATATTCTTTTTTTTAAGCTCAATTTTGAGATTCTTCTCTTCTACGAGCGTAGAAGAGAAGAATCTGGACTGATATCGAATAATATTTATTAATTATATTATAAGAAGTCTTCCAGCGTAAGGTGACAAATCGTGACAAAATGGTACCTGACTTATCGTCGGACCCATGACATAGCGAACAGGTAAGGTATACTGAATTGTTTCTCGGATCTCAATATGCAAGATATTACAGCTAGATCATCTTCCTTCTCAGGAAATCTGCAGTTTTCAATGAAACCGAACCTCATCTACACAGATAAACAAACTATCATATTCTCACACCACGAGAGCTCAACCATTAGGGCCTCCAATAAGTGCCGGATCGAAATCATAAGATAAATTGTCCGTGAAAAGTGTTCGAAAAGAAGACGTAGAACCCAGCAAATATTAAAATGGAGATATCTCATGGGCGCGAAACTCATAGTGTTAGAATAGAGATGGATGAGGGAGAGTGCGGTTATTGAATTTATCATGTTGAAGTGGCTGATTTTGTTGATACTGTAGGTTGGTATGATGTATTTGGGAGTACTGCAAATATGCCAGCTAGAACTAACTAAAAAGGAATACACATTTCATCGAAGCCTGCCTTGGGGGGTTGAGAATTGGTAAGATAGTTTGATAGGTTATGTGACATATATTTGAATTAGCCTTGGGGAGTGAGAAATGCAAAGGGCCATCAGAGAGATCTTGACTATCAGATCTTGAATAAATAAAGTAATACATGAGGCAGCCTCGTGAATATGTGCATGCGAGTATATATATGTGTTCAAATTTATAGAGCTTCTTATATTTATAGAATTAGTAAATACTATCCGGCTGGATGTTATGGTTATTATTATAGCCTTAATGTAAACCACCTGACCTCTAATTAATGAAGCCTGGAATACACAATACCATGAGATTTCTACGTGACTACTCCGTCGACATTCGTGTTGTGGTGGGGTAAAAGTGCTGTTATAAGCTTAGCTTAACTCTGTGAGAAAACAAACATTGTTGGTCGTCCTGACAAAATTTATCCCTGTAACCGAATGTTTTTGTAGAATTGAATTGTTGACAGCGAATTTACATGCAGTGAAGCTTCACTGTTCAACTTTTGATAAAATTCCAAGATCAAAGTGAATGTCAAAAACTTCATGATTGCCGTTCCACACCTCAGGTAACATGCTATACCAACCATTCAATCCATTTCTCATTACTCCATCAAGCCCCATAGACTCGTTCGTTGCTTCTGCCATCATCATTTCATCCAGTTCAATTTATTATCCACGAGGGGCCGAGCGCACTACTCCTGACGCAGAAAACACAACATACAGCATACAGCATATGAAACCTGCGATCAAATACGAGTAGACAGACAGCGAATGTGACTCGTTGAACTATCGGCGGCGCAAGATGGCCGAGGGAGATGATTTCACAATGTCAAGTTTGTCAACAATGTCGGAAACGGATTCACGTCCACAAACTGCACGCCAGGATTCGGAAAGCGAGGCATTCAACTTCCATAACATGGGGAACCATATGGCAGATAGGAGTGATAATGATGATTCAATGTCTATGAATTCGCAGGCTTTTGAGGAGAATAATCGAATGCAATCTCCCGACCCTCGGAATTTACCTACTCTATCCCCTCCAGCTGATAGCAGTATACTTTATGCTCATAGCGATAATGGGGATAATCGAAGTGACGGTCTGCTGAGTGCTATGGATGCAAGAGCAATGGAGCAACATCTGGATAATGTCGAATCGAGTTTTCTTCCGACGGTTTCACCAATCGGCAAACATGGCAAGGCTGGTGCTGATGATACTTATTTATTTGATGCGAATCGGAATGGGGAAAGGTCCCCGGCACTCGAAACACAAACGCCGAAGAAGAACATTAATAGCAGTGAGAGTGAGGGTTCCGGTTCACCCCCTACACCAGATGGTGCATATAAAACTCCTGGCCCTGCCCCTCGATACGCTGTGCAAGTTGAAAATGATGATTCGGAACAAAGTGGGAACACGACCTCTGCTCTCGAAACGCTTTCATCTCCAACAGCTGCCGCCGCTGCAAGAACTATATCACGAGCAATGTCAGTGGCAAGTATGGGAGAAAATTTCGAAACCGCATCACAATCAATCTCTCAATCAAAAGCACAATCAGATGAGGAGGACATGGAAGCTACACCAACAAGATCCAGCCAAAATTTACGAGCATTTTCCGAATCAACGAACGATAGTTCAAGCCCGAACCACGAATCATCGACTCGAAGCATAAATCAGAGTCTAGCCGTCGATGCCGGTGCGACTCTTGGAGCTGCACTCTCCGCAAGCAATAATTCTAGACCTAAATTTCTGCGAAGTCGGCATTCAAGTCAGAGATCTTCTGTCTCTTCTTTCATTACGAATCCTGAACATAATGACGATCGAAGCGACCTTACACCTGGTGCAGATTATGCTTTGCAGTCTGGAGGCGCGGTTCCTTCGGCAGGATTATCGCGAAGTGGTAGTATGACGTTATCCAGGACTATAAGTTTGGGAAGTATGGCTTCAGGTATAGATGAGACGGGTGACTCATTCGGAAGAGTTGAAGGACCGCTAGCGACCTTAGCTGAGGAAGATATGAATCGTGGGAGGACTGAACATCAAACGAATTCCGCCCCCGAAACACCTCGAGCAGCTAGTCGACCTATGGACCCACCCACCGATACAATCATTGCACGACACGTTCGCAATGTTCAAGTACCCGAATCAATGGCCAAAGACTTTCGTACCAAACATGGTGTACATACACCCAGCAAGTCGGCGAGTTTTGCTGCATCCGCCGTAGCTCATCGAAATGGAAAGAATCTCACATTAAAAGAACAAAGTAGCACAATCGAAAGATTATCCAAGGAGAATTTCGATTTGAAATTAAAAGTCATGTTTCTCAGCGATAGATTAGACAAGCTCTCCGAAGAAGGTGTTAAAGAAATGATATCCGAGAATGTTGAGCTCAAGACAGGTTTGGCGGTTATGCAGAGAGATAATAAAGCTCTTCGCAAAAAGGTCAAGGACCTAGAGAAACAACTTAAGGATGATGAGGACCGACCATCCACAGCTCGATCGGGTACATCTACGGAAGGAAGTCAAAGATGGTACCAAGAAGGAGCTTTCGAACGGGAGGAGGAGCTTCTTTACCTACGAGAAAAGGTTGAGGAATATTTAACGGAAATCGAGAGGTTGAGAAATGAAAGCCTTGTTCGGGAAAATGAAAAGAGGAATCTCGCTGATCTAGTTCGTACCATGGGTGAAAGACGAGGTCAAAATATCGAAACACGAGAAGAAATGGATGTTTGGAAAGATCTTCTTGAGCAAGAAACTGCCCGTAGAGAGCAGAGTGATGACGAGATAAAAGTTCTTCGAGAAGAGATCTTCCGATTGAAATCAGAGGCGACAGCTGGAGGGCATGGATTGAACCACACAACTAATATTTACAACATAGCCAAAAAGCGTGTGGGATCACCTTCAAGATCAAATTCCAATATGTCTGATCGCGGGTTAGATGAGAGGAATGGTACATATAGTTCGGCAGGTACATTGGTGGAGGAGATCCGGCGAGATAACGAACAGCTTCGACATGAAAATGCAGAGTTAAGACGGGAAGTTGGAGCACAAACATCAATGTTGACTTCACGGAATCGCGAGAAAGAAAGGCTTTACCAAGAAATTGAGGACTTGAAGCTTGGCCAGAGGAGAGGCGGTACCTCGGTGGCTGGGGAGAGCATATTTGAACGATCAGCATCGCGAGCACATGAACGATCGTCATCCAGGACCAGTGCAGGTACACGACAGGCAAACATGAGTGAGGCTGAACGTGAGGAATTCGAGAATAAGCAAGCCGAACTTCGAGATAGAATCAACAGTCTTAAGATCCACAATCAGGATTTAACACGTGAACTCGAGTCTTGTATAGAGGATTTTGAGACGGCCGTTGAGCAAAAGAAGGATGCTGTGGGTCTAGCTCAGGAGTTGCAAGAAGCTTTGGATGTTGCCGAGAACGATTTACTCACTATGCAAGCTGACCGGGATGAAGCCCTCCGAGGTCAAGAAGAAGCCGAGTTGATGTTTGAATCTTTACACAAAGAAGCTCAAGAAGAGCTTGATGGGTTTGCTGCAGAGCAAGAAGAAGCTAATGCAGAGATTGAGCGTCTCCAGGCTGAGGTCGCTGAGGAGAAGGAGAATTTCAATGCTTTGCAGAACGAGATGAGAGAAATGAGTGATATTGTTGTTAGGTTGGAGGATGATCATGAAAGGAAATCCAAAAAGATTCAAGAACTCGAAAGGGAATTGGATGATGCCAATAGGGAACTTGAGGAAATTGAAAAGAATTATGTCGAATCCAATGAAAAGGTCAACCGGTTGAATGTCCAGCAAGAATCGAGTCAAAACGAGATTGCATTTCTTCGAGAAGAACAAGATGGAGATAAGATTAAGATTGGTGATCTTGAGGCAGCCATTCGGAATTTGGAACAAAGTCTTCAGGAAGAACAAGAACGTGCTAGGGAACTTGATGAACGCCTTGACGAGGAAAGACATCAAAGAGAAGTTGTTGCTAATCAAGAGAAGCAAGAGATTCAACAATTCGTCAATGATCTTAATCGTGAAGCAACAACTGCCAAGGATGAAGTCAGAAGATTACGAAAGAGTCTCACCTCGAGAGAAGTGGAAGCTGCAGAGTGGAAGCAAAGACTTATGGAACTTGAGAATAATCTCAGGGAAGCTCTTGGTGATGTCAATGGTACTAGGTCAAGTTTATTGAATGTGAGTTTATTTCACCCTATACTTCATAATACACAAATCTAATTCCTATAGGCTATCGCCAAACTTCAAAGAGAGCACGAAAAGAATGTTCGAGATCTGGACACTGCCAAAGCTGCTCTTGCCGAAAAAGAACGTATGATCAAACAACGTGACGACCTCCTAGAATCCCACGCACTCGAATCCCGCAAATTAGCAGATATGTTAGACAAAGAACGCCAAACACATCGCCTTACCAAGAATCAGTACGAAACATCTCAAAAGACGTCATCACACACCACTCGAACTCTTTCACAACAAGAATCTCGTGTTCTGGAATTAGAAGCATCTCGTCAACAAGATAGAAGAAAGATAGCACAGCTAGAAAACAATTTCAAGGAACAACTTACGGAGAGAAATAATTTGTTATTAAACATGTGGAGTAGGTTGGCCAGTCTTTGTGGAACAGACTGGTCTCACAATAACTCACTTATTAATGGTCGTGCTTTACCATCTTTAGAAGCAGTTTCGACAATGTTTCCAGGTTTCTCAAAAAACCTTTTAGCAGCTGTTAAAACCATTGAAACTCTAGTTGGAGATTTCCGAGGTAGAGTCAAAGATTTGGATAGGAGACTCTGGAAAGAATACTCAACCCTAGAGAATAGATTTGAGATGCAAACGAAGAAGTTGGACAGATTAGAGACGATGGCAAGATCTGCAGTTCCACTTAATAGTATGGACAGTAGAGCCGAAGTGGTCAAACTAAAAGATTTAAACCGCAGTCTCAAAACGGAAATTTCAAACCTCAAAGCAGCAAATGGTGTTTATGAACCCACTTCTCCCTTTCCATCTGTACCTACAGGTCCGCGCCGACGAATCGATAATTCGTTATCCAGATCCTCAACCATGACGCGACACTCTTCAGCATCGGCTCCTGCATCGAATGGTACCCCTTCAGTTACAACATCGAGTTCTAACGCAATGACGAGAACAGAAGGTGACGAGGAATATAAACCAGATTTGAGATGGCAAGTTCGATTGCAGGAATTGGAATATAAGTTGAAGGCGGAGAGGGAAGCGAGGAAATTGGATAGGAGTAGTGCGGCGCAGAGATTGAGGGAGAAGGATAGGGAGAATAAGGAGTTGGTGGAGCAGATGGAGAGGGGGAGGGTGAGGAATGGGAGGTTTGGTAATGGTAGTGGTGGTGGCGGTGGTGGTGGGGAGAAGAGTGGATGAGTGATGAGTGGGAGTGAATAAGATGGGCATTGAACATTGGAGCGAAGCGACTTTCGTGATATTTAAAAGGGAAAGGTATCATATCATATCATTGATCATTGGCGTAGAGGAAAGGCGTGGAATTGGGAATTGTAGGATTAAGGAGGTAGGTAGGTAGGTACAAGGGATAGGATGGATGGATGGATGGAGAAAGGTAAAGGGTATACACACATACATACATACATACATAAGCTGGATAGCTGGCGTTTTCCCTTTTTCTTTTCTTTCGGCTAATTGTAGCGTATGGATGGTATGGCGTATGGAATGGTGTATGGCGTCATGGCGAATAGTTATTTAGTGGTAAATAGTGAATACATAGTGAATAGTAAGTAGTGTATGGTAGATATACAACGTGGAATATATCAGGTCAAGTAAGATCTTAGTTATATCATTTTAAAGGTATATATATATAACCTTGAATATGTTTTGCAATTTTTTGTATTTCTTTCCTCGGAATAAAACTAAATCAAATGAAGACAAGATAAGGCAAGACAAGACATAAAATCATTCATTTATTCTTCTCTGCTTAATTTCTTCTTTCTATCATCTCATCTCATCCCAGTTTCTAAATTCTTTTCTATCCGAATCGCATCTTTAACCCCTCCTCCCCCTCACAAAAAAGCCTCTCTACCTCCTCACTGAACCTCTCAAAAGCTCGCCTTCCATTCCACTCCATTCCATCCCGTGCATCTTTCTTGATCTAAAAACCTATCCATCTACCCATCCACCCATCCCCCTATCCATCCCCACTCCCCCCATCATTCATCCACAGCCCTAAAATCTAAACCCCAATTCCAATTCCAACCCCAACACCAGTTCCAGTTCCAGTTTCAAACCCAATTTCAAACCCCTTAAAAAAATGCCCCGCCAAACTTTTCACATCATCCGTTACACCATTCGCCACCGCTTAGAATCAAATCATACACTACACATACATATACATATAAATGTACAAGCAAATAATAAATCTCCCTGATTTTCCCCAACTGAAGAAAAAAAAATGAAATAATGAAATAAAAACCCTATGTCATTCCATCACTAAGCCATGTTCAACATCACTTGGATTGAACGCAAGGCCAGACACAGGCCAGACGGAAAAGAACCAGACATAAAAAAACATCTCTCCCCTCCCCTCAAAAATCACAAAAGATCTTTAACCCATCCCAAATTGGCTCTATTATCATTGGAAACTCTCGCATATTCCAACAACAATCTCAACACATAAATTTGCATATCTTCCCTCCTCAAAACTTTATTCGCCCATTCCTGGCCATCTAATGCAATCTTCTCAGCTTCTCTATCATGATTTTCCAGTCGAAAATTTTCTCCTTCATAACCGAGGAAATATTGCATGATACCATAGAAATCCATATATCGATTATCCATTGGAACGAAATGTTTCCAGGGAATAAGTCTCGAGTCGTGCCATTCTCGGAATATGGTTGCTTTAATGGGTAAAGAAGAGGAGAGTAAGAATCCACGATAACGTCCTGAGAAAGAATTTCCATCGATATCGGGAATATATTTGTTGTTGAATTGTTGAGACATTTTTTGGCCTTCTCTAATGGAAAAGTATGGATCGGTATAAGGACATGTTTTATCTTCTCGTTCTTCATCACACATCAATTCAATAAATCCCGTATCTGACCACTCATTAACCCATTCTCCAAGTCTATTTTCTTGTTGAGCACCAATGTTGTAGATGGAAGTAGGAAGTGCGAAATTTGGGGGAATTGCTTCCCATGATTCAGCTCGGGAAACTGATGTATGATTCGTCATGGAAACGAAGCGATGTCGTTGAAACCCTTTCCAATTATCTTCCTTGTTTCTTCCTCCAGTCGCGACACCTCTCCAAATGACTTTATTCAACTTCTGATGCCACGGTGCTCCATGATTATCACCACCTGAAAATCTTTCTTCTTTTGCCCAATACATTGGTGCCGGCAATAAAATTTCGTTGTTGGTGGGGAGTTTAGAACCTCCGAAAAGAGGGAATAACTCTTCTGTGGAAGAAATCGAGAGAGGATTAATCATCATTCCATGAAGGGATTGTAAATCAGGTTGATGACAAAAATCGGCCGAAAGACTATAATTCGAAACATAACCTTTGTAAGTATGTAAAGAAGAATGACCCATGGAAATCGCAGGTGTTTTCGAAAAATCCGTCATAATCTCCGCTCGACGTGCGAGACTGTCTGGATGACAACCTCTAGTGGCAATTCCCCAATATGGACCTTTTGATATCAGTTATTTGATTGCCAAAACCATATCCTCAAGACATACCTGAAACCTCCCATTCCCTCTTAGGTGGATCTTCCTCTCCATCACCAGCGTGTCGTGGAGCCGGTAAACTTCCATAATCCTCAGATACTTCATTGACATCTGTTAATTTCCTAGTAGCTCTTTCAATCTCCATATTCTCATTGATCACCTCCCATGGCGCAACCATTCTCGGTTCATCCATCGCATTGAGTGGAATATCCATATCTGGTAGATCTTCTTGTATGGTTCTAATTAATTGCAACCAAATTTGAGTCCAAAACCAATCACTTTCGGCCGTCGCATTTCCATTTCGAATACTAATGACCATTCCTGCATCTCTAGCTTGAGTTCTCATTTTCGCTGGAGTCACTCCCCAATATGGACCTAAATCATGATAGATTTGATCAAAGAAATCCTCTACCATAACTGCATCATGTTCTTGGGCGAATTTAAACCATGCATCAAATCCAGGTGGTGGATGTCTTCCTCTTCGTTTGCGATATTCTGCAGCAGCAGCATCAACATCATGACTTTCCTTTTGCAATAATTCTTCAAACGTCTTTCCTGCATTTTCAATCAAGGTATCGATAGGATGTTCTTGTTTTGATTTTGGAATGGAAATAGGTAATTCATTTGAGGATTGTGTATATGGTTTGGGAGGTGGCTTGGGCGTGTAAGTGTAGGGTACTTCGGGAGTCATATATTGGAATGATGAAGTTTCGGTCGAGTTTTTGAAATAGAGCACAAGTAGAAGGATGGCTGATGCGCCCAGTATATATCGAATGAAACCTCCAGGTCTTCTAGGAGGGCCTGGATAAGCCATTAGAATGGGTGAAGAGATTGGCATTCTTCGATGGTTCGGTAGGAAGTGTCAGGGAATGCCGGAATAAAAGAGAGAGTATAAAAAGTTGAAGATTGTCGATTCTTTTTTTTTTTTTTTTTGGAAATAAACGAAAGTTCGATATGGAATCTGGACCTGAAAATGGGACCTTGAGAATTCGTGACGACCAAAAGGTATAAGATGGCGTTGCAGTTAGGTCAGGTACGTAAAGTCGAATAGAAATCTAATTGAAGTCGGGAAAAAAGGATAGCGTCTAAATGAAGATGATTGGAAACTAGGGTTTCAGAAGGTTGCATTTAATACGCAAATAAAAGAGAGTGAGGGAAGTTTAATCAATCGGGTTGGTAAAATGAAGTGAAATGAATGTAGAAGGAAGGTATTATCCGGTATTGAATGCATACGAATGCATAAAGATAAATGGAAAATCCCCAAAGTCGAATTGAATCGGTGGATCTTGACCAATTATTTTGACTTTGTTCCTGACTGAGTTTCTAGTGTGAAAAAGTGCCGCGTTGACAGCTGCAGGTAAGTGGAGAAAAGGGTATAGGAGAGGAGAGGAGATCCCAAATTGATGAGATCAATAGATACTCAATAAATGGATGTGAGTAAAGGTAAGAAAGAACGAATGATTTTTCGTGGTGAAAATGATGAGTTTCTCTCCAAGTATCTCTTGATAATCTTAAATCATAGCTGTCGTTTACATTGGCGTGAAATTTGCATTGAAGGTTGAGTCGAAGGTCGAAGATCGAAAGTCGAAAGTCAAAGAAGAAGTAAAAGGAAGGTACCTAGTAAATTAAAGAGTGCAGGCGATTTAATGACTGATGACTCCGATCCAAGTAGTGCAAATTCACCGATAATGAATATGATTATCGGAAAAGACCCAAATCAAAGTCAAATATAAATATAATAATATAAATAAACAATTCCCTTATTCCAGAAGAATCGGATCCAGTCTTCCCATCATATAGAGAGGATACAGTATCAAAAGGAGTGAGTGGAGTTTGGGGAAAGGAGAGAATGAATGAATGATGATGGTAAATAGAAGAAACGAAGAAACAAAGATTAGGATAGGAGTCGGATTATCATAAACTTCCTCTTCTTCTTGTTCTTCTTCTTCGTCGCTTGTGGAGGATAAGAATATTTTGCGTGAGGGGTTGACGTCGGTTGGATTTTAGTTTGGATTCAGATAGATTAAGATATCGGTATGATGTTGATGATCTTCTTTTCTCAAATTTCAATATTGGCTTGAGAGGTTTATTACTTGGGAATCCTAGTAGTAGTGACTGACAGAGTAAGGTTACTTCTATCTAGATATAATATAAGTAGTCAATCCTCTGTACAAACTGTAATTATCGTGAAAAGATTTAATATCGATAAAAACCCATCACATTTGTACCAGGTAATAGGCAACCTTATACCTACTCTGGAGTCTGGATGTAAAATTACCTAGTATATCTAAATTTCAACAAAAGGCTAATGACTTGGCAACGGGTAAGGAAATATCGAAAGTTGAGTAGTACCGGTAGATCAGGGGAAGGGCAAAAGAGGAGGAGAGGATAGTACAGAGTTCAGTACTAGGGATACAGATAGAGATACAGTATGGAGTACAGATATAGATAAGGTAGATACGTAGTAATAGAATAAAATGGATCTGTGTATCTTGATTTTATTAACCTCATTTTATTTTTCATATATATAATCGATCGTCTTACCTAGGTACGTAAACTAAATTTTATCCATTGAATTCTTCAATAGTATATTTTCCCATAATTCCACCGATGTTCTCAAACGATCTAATATCTATTTTCATCCATTTCATCTATTCATCTATTTCACCCATTTCATTTATTCCATCCTCTTCATCCTCTTCATCCTCTTCATCCTACTCTAAAACCACACACATAAACCCCATCCCAGCAAATCCCAAGCACCGACGTCAAACACCCAAACCTTGAGGCGTTCAACCCTAACCACTAAAGGTTTAAAGGGCTTCAAGACATGCGTAATTCGTAATTCATGTACGACCGAGTAATCTAATCTTAATAAGTGGCAGTTATACAGGGCGGATCACGAAGTCTGTGCACCCACTGGCTGAGCCAAGAAATTGGGCGTTGTGGGGTTGATGGTAGGGGTTGTGATTGGTTGAGTATGTTGCTTACTTTATTTCTTGGTGAGATGGATTTATTATCTGGAAGGGTTTTTAATTATTTTGTTGTATTTTACTCCTTTTTTGAAGTGTTGAGATGATGAATATAAAATATACAAATAGAATATTCTTATAATCTTCCACTTCTTCAATCAACAACACCCATCTTCAGAAGGTTTTATACCCCGGAACATCAACGTTCAAATACCTACAAAAACCGCTGATCAGTATCAAGTAGAAACCATTTGCAACAAACCTTCTTCACATCATGAAACTCGTTACGAATCATCCAAATTATTAAAGCCATAATGGATGATGAATCTTCTAGTGTATAACTGATTGATTGACGATTAGTACCACTTTATTGAAGAGGAAGTGATACTAGATAATTGATGAGGTGGTTTGGAAGGATTGGATTTATCTTAGTGTGTGTTGTACCGATTCACCTCATTTACCTACCTAGGTACACCAGTACTTGAGGTTACCGATCAGAGAGCAAGTTTACACCATCCTATTCATGCAGAATTATTTCTTCCTTTAAATATTATATATCATATCATATTATCTATTATCTACCACCATATAAAAAATACATTATCATCTACAAATATCTAGATGCGAATAGATAATAACCATCCATTAAATACCCAACCAAACACCTACCTGGAAATCCCATCCATCCCATCCCATCTCAACTACCTACACATTTATATTTACATTTAAATTCCCCCCACCCCTACTCAAACAACCAGACCGTATCTCACATCCTACAAAAATCCAAGCATTCATCCGAATCCTACCCAAATACTCTTATACAGGTAAGAGGTGTTGAGGTAATACAATACGGATCACGACATTGTCTCACGGGTACGTACGTATATACATACATACGGTATACTTATTTATATAAGGGAGGTTAACCTTACATATATTATGAATTATAATAAGGAACTGTAGAATAGGAATGTAGCGCAGAATAGAATGTACTGTTTCCAGATGCTGTGAGATGGATTTGTAATGAAGGGTTATAAGATCATTAATTAGTGATGGTGTAAGAGTGTTACGACGGGTAACATATTTCCGCATCACATGACTAATCACGGGATCAGAGCCAGAACACGAAGGTCTATATAATCAAGATGGATTTCCTTTGTATAGAGCTTCGTGCTCAAGATCAATCATTTAGTATACTCTACTATTAGTTACGAATTGCATATCATTATTGTCATTACTTCAAGTCCCTGCTTGACGCCTAGTTATAAACCACCTCGAGAGCCTAGAGCACTTCCACGTGATCTAGACGGCAAACCTCGTAACATATTGATATATGATTATCATATTGCGCTGAGGATATAATATCTTGATAAGTAACAATAGCAGTGAAATTCCTCAATGTACTAAGAAATAATTAGCATTTTCAAGTTTGCTACAATGATCAAGGAGGTGACGTATATGGTAATTCCCTTTAATCACTTTTATATTATATATTCTCTCGTCCTGTCTCATCAATGTCGTTCAATAGAAAAGAAACATGACTTCTTTATAGTCGATTGTTGAATAAATCCTCCACTAGGTTTTTTCACATCGTAATACGATGATTTTTTCTGACCCGAAGAATCTCATTCGGCTAGTGAGATATCTTGCTCTTGATTTTGATTCATATTCTCCTCTATAGAATACAGATATCCTATTCACTATACTTCAAATATAATAAAAGATACTATTTCTATTATTATTTCTAAGAATATTAAAAGTTATATATATAAAGTCATTTTCTGAAAGAAGATAGAAAACACATCTAGAAAAATAAACTCAAATCCTTGCTCCCCAGGCTATCTACTTAACGGTAAGTAACCTAAATACATTTTGATATGAGTTTACCCCTGGAAAATTTGGGTGGCATATTGTTCGATTAGGTGGTGAGAGTAAAGACACACGACAATAAGATCTAATAATGTCTGGAAAAGACAACAACATCAGTACACAGCGGGGGACAACTGATAGCTGCTGTTAGATTTCCTAAGGTCATAATTTTTTTAGACATCACTGCGGCCCTTCAGATACCGGAAATCGTTTCATATATCATAAGTTAGCTTTATAATAACCTTCTCTGGAGTTTTTTTTATTCTGATATGCGAATTGGTGATTGCAAGCATTCTTTAAAGAAGTCTTAAAGAAAAACATAACAATGTAAAATAAACAATGTGTCCGAGTATCTGAATCTACATGATACCAGGGAAACGGCCACAAGATAGATTCAGGGCTCATGGCCTTAAATTTCCGAATCGAATTTGTATTGGTAGCTTTGCCTGCTTTAAAAGTAAATACATCCGGTCTCAATCAAGAATAAGTTACTGTGTTGAGATGTTTTGATGATTATTTTCATAACAGTCATTAGACCAGAGCGGTATTGTGATTTTTAGTGATGGAAATGTGTTGATAGTGAAATGCTGTGATAAAGCTTTCCAGATAAATCTTTCAGATTTTTGGCAACGAAATTGCTTGTCAATTGATGTAGTGGTTGATGTACTGATATAGCAAGGATTCCTTAAATCCTACCATGAATAGTGCTCTCACTTGGGGTGTAGGGCTAGAACTATCATTTGTTGTGACATTTTGAGTATTCCCCTAAATTCAGGAACTGCTTAGAAACTACTCAGTCTTGTGGCTTTTAAAACCAACATATTAACGTTGCGGATATGTGATATTTATATGCCAGGAATTCATCACTAGGATCAGTCATCATTGGTAGTCTCTGGTGGCATTTGGGTTCGATATCTGATTACCTATGGAAACATCAATGTCGTTTATATATTCACTTTGGTATCATTAATGATAGTTACCATTTGTTGCAGAAATTGAAGACTGAGCTAGATTACTGTATCACCAAATAGGTAGTTACTATCTGACGAACAGATTCTAGTGAGCCAACAATTTGTCAAAGTGAGGTATCTATATATAACATGTCAGATATCACTATGAATGAAATTGTATCAGCAACGGGATACGTTCATAGAAGAACTCTGCGTTTAACAGTATCAATTATAAGAGATTATGAAGTTTGCAAGATGGTTGACCGTCTTCTTCTGCACCTCCATGATAAAACAATACATGAAGTAGACGAAATGCCCATCTCAGATGGTTTTATCTCGGGAACAAGCTGTGCGTCACAATTCGGGATGGAGATACTTTTACTTCAAAAAACCTGGTTATATCAGAGCTAAGTAGGCTTCATGTCTTAGTCATTAAGAAACGAAATAAATACTGACAACTAATGAATGGTAACAGGAAGATTCGCTTATTCATAGACTTGATTTTAGTCTGCAGGAGACCTCCACTCCTCGGCTAATAAGCCCCGAGGGATTATTCGAATAGCATCCCACAGGATATCTGCTCTTTCCTCTACTGCGTATTAATGCCCGCATCTCACACTGATATGATTGGTACGTAGATTGAAGGATTAGAAATCTTTAAGGTTTGGAAATTTTAAGGAAGAACTAATTAAAAGGCTCCTCACAAATCAGATTTCGGCAGGCTTCTAGCCTGTAGTTTTGAGTTCTATATCCAATTACGCGTTGAATATAGAAATTTTGGTTCACATTTTCTAGCCTGTTCTAGATTCCTATTTTGACTAGAACCCTGGTGAATAATTCATGATGAATGGTGACAAGAATGGCAATTTTCCTACTGAGAATAATCGACGGCAAAAAAGCACACAAAGCTGACAATAAAAAAAATCTAGACGGCATGAATTCCTAACTGACGGAAAATAGCAATGAGAAAACTAAGAAATTCCCCCCACACAATCCCTATAATTACTAGCTCCCCTTTAAGTTTAAATCTCACACAGGCATATATGACACATTGAGCTTTATTCCACCTTTGCTGATTTCTCATGTAATTTTACCCGTGGTATGCAGTACTTGGAAGATCAAAGGCATCATTTTATGATGACTTTTTGCTTTTCTATCTGTTCTGAAAGTGGGTTAAGCGAGTACTATAGTAATGAATCTATTTCTGAAAAAAAAAAAAAAAAAGTGACACAAGATGTATAAAAGACCGTCTAGATATTTCTGTGCTTATTTCTCATCTTGTGGAACTAGAACTCTTCATATGGGAGGGCTTTATGGTGTTATTTTTCTCTGTCGGAGAATCACACATGACTGAAACTGGATTTAGTTGTCGATAGAATTATATGAGAGGAGGAAATAAAAAGACTGGGGATAATTATCACTGATGGGGATACGATGAATATAGTTTCTACAACAACTGTTTATAGCGTGAAACCCATTATTATCATTAAACTAAAGAAATCTGAATATATCTAAGAATAAACCAACAACAAAAATATCCTCAATCTCTCACCTACACAGCCATAACTCAGCGCAGATTTCTCCGGACAACTAAAACTGGAGGGATATAAGTCATCATCACAAGTCACCACCATGTTATTCTCTCCAGATGTTTTCTTTTTGAAAGTTATACAGTATGAAGTTTGATCTCTGGGATCTTTATAGTCTAGTGATGTTTGGGAACCTTAATTCCTTGGAGAGTAGTGATCATTAACAAGATCTCTTTTTTTCTTTAATACTTTATGATTTCATCTTTACACATGCTTGCACTGAAGAATTCTAGAAAAATTTGAAGAGCTTTCCCGAGTATATAACAGGGAGGTTTTGGATTCCTATCAACTTTCAAGGATAACAATTTCATATATCGGAAGATTTTCATCGATGTATGGCCTTCCAAATAACGAACTGCGGTAGTCTTTCGATTTCGGTCAGATGTTCAACGCCTTTTCACAGGATTATGGAGTAGTCGTACGAGTTGTCTACCGTCACGCAAAAAGCAGGGAGAAACTAGGAAATTATGACGATACAAATTCGCGATGACAATAAGGCATGAGCAAGCGATATTTTGACAGTGTATAAACAATACCCGACAGCTAAAAGCCGAAAGAACCGCAGCCTCACAGACTCTAGTCTATTGACGACCAATAGATCTAAGATAGATTAATGATGGACATTTTACCGGAGAAATTGTATCCGGCTACTTTTGTAATTTCCCTATACCTCTTTTAACGACTGCAGGAGGTACGTGTCAAAGTTGGTTCTAGATGAAATAATATAGATCACTTGATCATTTTTATATACATTCGAGTATAGATTTTTGAGGCAGCACGGCGGCTTGGGTGGGTGGGGATATTTCAATTCTTGACAGGTCTAATCTCTATAATACATGATTTTGCTTTCTCTCCACTGATAATTTGTGTTCGAATATCTCCCGACTTCATTATACACCGTTTCCTTCTTACCTCTCACAACTTCTTAAAAATCTTACTGTGATCTTGAGCCACCAAATGTTGACGGATCTCTGCAGCCTCTCCGGCTTGCATCATCAAAGGAAGAATATCACTCCCAGTAACCACCAAACTCTTTCCCCTCGCTGCTCCTAACTTGATTTCCGTAGAGGAACCCATGGCTAGCCCACTAGCAGGCTTATTGTGTTTCGCCAGCGTACTCTCATACAAAGCTACGGCATCAGTCCATTCCTTCTCATCACCCCACATACCAGGTAAACCCATACTGATACGCGCATCCAATGATCCGAGCCAGACAGAATCGATATGTTCACCGCATTCCGTGAGGATAGCATCAAGGTTTTGGATTCCCCGCAGAGTTTCGATTTGAATTAATACAGCGGCTTGGTTGTTGACGTTTTCCCAGACGGATTTAGTGGGGTCGATCGGGGTATCAGAAATACCCATTAGAAAACGCACAGGTGGGGCTGAACGAGTACCATTACGTACGGCTCCGAATTTGGCGGATGAAACGATGTGTTTGGCTTGTTCGACTGTATCGACTTGAGGAACGAGAATGGAAGCTCCAGCATCCAAAGCATAACCTATAGATGCGTGATCATGACCCCGAACACTATTACATTTGTTAGAATGGAGGTATCATTGTAGACTGTATATGAATACATACCGGACAATAGCAAAACTCTTTCCTTCGCTCATAAACTGAACATCGTGAACCATTTGGGTCATAGTTTCAACACTCATAGAAGTATGTTCCCAGTCAATCCATACACAATCATAACCTAACTGAGCTGCTACTTTTGCGATAGGTGGAGAAGGTAAACCGATAAAGAATCCGATGAGAGGTGGAATCTTTCCATCATGGGCATCACGAATGGCATCACGTGCTCGATGAGGTTGCAAGAGGGAAGGGGCTCTGTATGCTAGGACGCCTTGATTGGGCTTGGGTTCATGACCGTTCGGTAAGTTCTCGAGGATAGCGTTCATGATGGTGAGCGTGGTAGGGTCGAACAGATTGGAGAGTAAAGTAGTAATTGATGAAGAAACCTCTATGGATATCTAATGGAACCAAAAACAAAGAAATAAATGTGAATGATGAGAAGATTTCGACTTCACTGACGAATCTCAACCTTTTATAGAATGTTTCTCAAACAATTGGTAATCATTTCCCGAGACTCTGTGTTATCGAAAGGTCATTGCATCCACCCCCTTCCATCACACGGCTACTACGTACTCATGAAATTTGACGCACGGTGAACCCATATTCTCTTCCTGGTGCTTACAAAACTATTCATTACAAACAAGATTGTGAGATGTGGTGGAACGTCGAATCGATGGATTTAGAGTATGATCCGCCATGTGGTGGAGTTCCGAACAGTTGGAGCTTTGAACACGCAAAAAACCCTGGTTTGATCAAAACGTTCTTAGGTCGTAAGTATCACTCAAGATAATTAGTAATCACTTAGGTCCTATCTGTCCATTTGAGCCACTCCTGTCATTTTGTCAGCAACTTGCATAACAATATCTGTCCAGGGATGATATCTCATATTCCATCTTTTCCGAAAGATTCCAAAGCAAAAGTGTCTCGCGCTTAAAAAGGGATCGATGTACAAAGTATTTTACACAATTTATGGAGGAGGGCCTCACATGATATAAGCACTTTGATAATTTACAATATAAGTCGATCCATCAAATCGATGTTGAAAATTAGTACTCAATTAAGCTTAAAATTTAAACCTTATAGGTAAATTTCACTCAATTTAAGTTTGAATTCGTCATATGAAAATTCTTGTAGACTCGCTAACGCTGATTAGATAGTTCGGCCACAAGATTAAAGGCATCTTCTACGAGTAATGTCTAATATCCTGTAGAGCGCTATAATCACATTAACATTCAAGGCTTTCTCCATATGTGAGACAAACGAGGACAGAGCATTACTTTCTCACCAACACCATTTGCCGATACCCAGCCATGAACCTGTTCATCATGCCCCGATTCCTGTATAGCATCAACCTTAATGAATGCGGAGAAGAAGAAGTCCCGGTGCCCGCGAGTGGAGTATAGTTACTTCCTTATGTAGTACTGCCGGAATACAATTCCGAAACTCTATGCATTTACCACAACATGGTCAAATACCAGGGCAATAACGCAATTTCTCCAGATTCCGAATTTTATACTTTCTAACACGGGTATTCATTTTTACCGAAGTGTGGAAGTATTGAAACGAAGAAAAACATATAGGTAGATGCTTGCATCCGGCGAAGGACAAATTAGTGCGTGAGGAGTTAACTTCTTATCGTACGTTGTGTCGCCGGGGATAATGCAGGCAAGGTACCGCAATCTCCGTTTTTACCAAATTGAATTGTGGATCGGCCCCGGTGTCGATTACCCTCCTTCGTACATGAATTTTTAGTCTATCTCAGGATTCCCATTTTCGAAATGAAAATAGAAAGCTTTCATTGTGAACTTTACCAGCATTCAATAACAATTTGCTACTTTGCTTATCAGTTCCGCTGCATGATCCTCTAACAATTCGAGAATAACAATAGAAGTCTCATAACAATGAAAGCTGTGCAAGCGCGGCAGCTCCAGCTTGCTAGATGAAAGTATTTCAGGGTTAAAGGCAAGGTATTAATGGATGGGAAGTTTTACCTCCTCGAGCTCATAGACGCACAATCTGACTCACGTCAATGCAACAATGTGGCCCTACGTGGATTTCCACAGATTAATGGCTCCAAGTTATCAACTACAGTGTGAGGGTGAAACCAATGTAAATAGTTGAACAATTGCAAGTCATTGGAGCAAATTCACTCGCACGACCAAGAATAGTGTTAACACACGATGTACAGAATGTTTGAACTGGACAACCTTTCGGGGCTGTATTTAATCGCCTTCGCCATTTGGGTGTGTACTGGGAATTGAATTGGTACTTTTCGATGCCAAGTCGAGCAGGCAAATCGTGTGCTCATAGATGCTCATCTGTCTTTCGGGATTCTGAAAAGGATTAATTTCCTAGCATTTTCAAAACAACGTCGAAGCTACACTGATGACTGATAGAGACTGTGCCCCGCCATATCAATGACAATACCACCAGCGAAGACCTCACATCGATACAGAGGCAGACCAACAATACACAAAGATCTCTGGCGAGGTCAGATGGGGAAATGCATATCCCAAATTTCCAAAAGCGTTGATACTGTTTAATCAAATGACAGGTAATTGACAAGGCGGAAATTCTTTGTCCGCTCGTTGAGTTTTCTCCAGCTAGTTTCATGAAGGAGTTAGGATTTCGGAAAGCTTCCGTTATTTACACTCTCCAACCTTTGTCCCAATCCAAGGCGGAAACTCCTGATGCTCCTTGGCGCTCTGGGGATGTCCCTTCCCTTGGCATGGATGAAATGTAAACTGCCTCTTCAATTCAAGGAACAGTCTCAATACTACTGATACACACTCCAAAGAAGTCAAAATTAGGACTGGTAGATCAAGAATGCGGGTATCTGAATAATGTGTCAAAATTACCCGCAATACTGAACAAATTTGAGGTTGCACGTACAGTTCTACTCATATGTACACATTGGTGAAGAGTCATATTAACGGTATAATTATAGTGAAGTGATGACAACGAGCTTAACAACATATGGCGACAATAACCAAATATTTCAAGTGAAGGAATTAATGCGAATATATAGTCTTACTACAGCAGCTCAAACTTCACGCAAGATCCCAAATTAGCCTGTAAAAAGAACTTATTCCAAACATATAATAAGTTCCCTGAAAAATGCATTGCAACGCCGCATTTTATTTTGGAAAAGCAGACACGACAGAGATCGTACATGTTAGATTTATATAATCATCCAGAACTCCTTTCCGAGGGATAATAGACGAATTATCGTCTATCAGATAAACCTCATACTTCTAAAGTGAAAAACTATAAAAATGTTTAATCTTCGTTCTAGTCTCTCAAGAGTGTCTATCCTAACAGAAGCGGAAGCATATCCAAGGTGTATTTCCTGCGATACTTTGGTTTTGAAAGCTATTGATGATTTATCTGGAAACACTGAGGGGTGGTTTGTACATATTCATTGGTAGAAGGATTTGCGTGTTTTCCTCTAGGTTTTCTTGTAGATTGCAGTGGTAATGAGTAAAATAAACAACAAATAATAAGAAATTTCATGCTTTCGGTAATATATATTGTCATTAGAGAAACAGCGGCGGTTAGACGTTACGTTCAAGATAAATAGATTCTTTACAGATAACGAAAATAGCAGACAGCAATATGAGATTCATCTCACCGCAATCCCACATTCCGATTTCAGCACGAACAGATTCTACCACCCCCAATTTTGAGTTTCGATACATTGCTGAATCCTATATTCGTCGGATATTTATTCTTGAAGAGTTCTTATGCAACAACTCTGGAAACCAAGAGAACTGAGAACATATATATATACATACATACATATATATAATGATGGGAAGTTTTCCGGAACGATGAACTACTTTATTTCATTCATCCATGTTACATAAATGTTAAAGACTAGATTGAGCAAATAGGGCTCATCTATTAAGGATATTTAGGATGTACTCAATTCCGAAGAACATGGGATTTCTCCAACCTTTGATGCACAAGCTGAGAAACCTCAAAGCTTGAAAAGCAGAAGCAAAGCATGAGATCTCTCTCTCTCTCTCTCTCTCTCTGAATAATAGTATATGTTAACTGAAACTTTACGGATGTATGGTAAACACAATCTGCAGTCATCATGAACTCAATACTGGTGACTTGATTAGTGCAACTGTGGCTGTATTTTATTACCTCGGTGAATTTCAACTTGGTAATGATAGAATATATGATCTTGCAAGGAATAGATGATAAAAGCGCCAGAGACAAAGCATTCTGTGAAGACATCAATACAAAAGATAAAAAATACTTATTATTTATAACAGTAAAATAATACACTACAAACACAGCGCAAGCACAGCTCAACCCTTTCACAATTAAACATCAACCATCTGTCATCACATCCTCTATCATCCATTCCCAGGTAGCGTCCAAGAAGCTTCACCTGGATACTACACATCCAATCCTCCTCCGAATTTCTGCTCTAGATTTTATTTCCAAACCAAAAAACGGTATACAGCAAATCATCAGTTCAAAACTGTATAAAGTCATTGGATTAATTTCTGGAAAAGTTGGATCCGAGAAAGAATACCCCAGAAATACCAAGACTAAGCACAACAACAAGGGACTGGTACAATAAGTTTGATTCGACTTCCATGGATTGAATAATAGCCCTATTCAATATCTGCTGAAATTGTAAAACAGAAAAAGAAGAAAAAGGCCATTAATATATGCGACTGTTTCAGGTGCTGGAGGAACAGGTTGAACACACCAAGCAGCCCAAATAGGAAAAGCAATGTAAAGAGAAGCATTTGGCCATTTTCCGAAGGAGTCAACTATTTCCCTCCTTCTCTACTTGAAGAGCACTCTTCTGCTCAGGTCATTGGAGGATTCGTCGCGCTAAAACAAGCAAACACGCAAACACGCATGAAGTTTCAAAGAGTTCACAATTATGACAGAACATAGCAACAACTCCATAATCCGGGTATCAAAAACTATGCAGCCTCATAAATCGTAAAATCAAAATGCACATACTCATTCCACCATTCTCAGAGTCAAACATTGAGAGCTCATCTCAGTAACCCTCCCAGATCTCTTTCCATCCCAGATACCCGCTCCTCTAAGGCTCTCTTCTTCCTCTCCAGCTCCCTAATTTCCATCTCCTCTCTCCTCAAATCCTCATCCGTAATCTCAATCTCAGACGGCTCCTCATTCTCCTGCTTATTCTCCTCCCCACCACTCTCCAACTCATCTCCTCTATTCATACTCTCTAACTCCCTTGTCTGTTTCTGTACTTTCTGCTCATGTCTCTTCACACTCTCCCTCAATTGCGCATATCTACTTCTCAACGCTCTTATCCTCTCCGGAACCCCTTGTACCGGATACACACTATTTAGTTTCTCCGCCCCCTTCAGCAAAACCTCAATATCAATTTCTCCCCTCCCGCTTTCCGTTTTGCGCACCTGAGAATGTAATTCTGCGCCAAGTACAGCAGCAACAGCAGTATTGCGCCGCGGAGCTCGTCCGTTAGGACCAGATGCGGGAGCTACTTCGCCTGAGGTTACGTTGAAAACAGTTTGACGGCGGGAGGAAGAAGACTTTGGTTCGGGAGCTATTTGAGTTGGAGGTGGTGGGGGTGGAGGTACAGAAAAGAGAGCACGTTCGTGGGGTTCAGTGTCGCGGATTAGAGCGGTGATGTCTTGATTGGAGAGGAGCGCATTTGTAAATATTTGAGGAGGGGGAAAACTGTAGTGGTGGGGTTAGCAGATTGGTTTGAGTGAGAGGGTAGTTTACTTACGGTAATGAAGCTATTGAATCTGCAGAGAGAGCAATTTGTTCTAGATGCCTTTCTAGGAGAGACATTGTGAATGAATTTTGCTTGAGATCTTTGTGTTTGCTTGGTCCTGGTTGGCAGATTCAAGTTTGTCAATATCGAAAGTCAATATTTACTGAGTCGGTACTTAACAACCGCGACTTCTACAATTATCGGCAAGGGTATGTATGCATTGAAACGCGGGACAACTTTCAGATCCCACCCACTTCACTTACTAGGTAACCTTAGACGTCCCGATTCCGGATTAGATAATCATTCTCATGCGGGTTCAATTCATCCCTTACTTCACAATCACATGATGCGCACTTCTCTACTTCACACACGAATCACATCTTGACTTTCTTCCCCCTCCAATGCAAGTCAAGTCTTCTGCATCTTTTAACTCAAAGGACTGCTTATTACTCACTCATACATACATACCGCAATATGATGTGTATCTGTGTCTCTTTTGCCTCTCATACATACATTCTCTCTTACTTTTCTCTTTTTAGCAACTTCGATCGATCGAACAACGCATTCTTTAACTTAATTTGAATCAACAATTGCAATTGGTAGATATATGAGTTTTCTAGCATGAGAGAATGCATTCTTTGCATATTACCCTGGGCTTATTTTCGTCTTCTTCTATAAACTCTATCGTCATTCTTTTATTCACATTTAAATCTACGTTTACATTTATCTTTTTCTTTTTCTTGTCCTCAAAATTTAATTGCTGTTTAAATTTTGTTGCTTTTTCCTTCGTCCTTCTTCTTCTCAATACTAATTGCTCATTACCAATTTGGAGTTACTGACAACACATTGCAACACCATCATATGTTGCCAGATGATACCTACTCGGAAATGTTATAGTAGGATAAGGTACTCAATTTAAGTCCTTTTCTAGAGGATTCGACGTGAATTTTCGTCTCGAATATCTCACGAGGGGAATTTTACTTTTTCATGCTTGGAAATCACCAAAACTTGCCATCCATATCTCCATCCAATATAAACTTTCCTTGGGAGCCACCATACATACTACATATTCCACATATTCAAATACTCCAACCAATTGAGCGCACATGCATCAATGGTCGATTGGCGGCATTGACGACTGACGACTCGCCGCCCACTACTCTACTCACACTACCTACGTAGGTACAGACAGATACATCCATTTGGGCTAAAGCAAGCAAGAAAAGCAACTTTACTTACTACTCTTCGTACATTGGTGAACAAGGTTATTCCTTGATGATTCCTGCCCAATGCCTACAGGCTGATTGACATCACCGAGTTGCCCCCATTGTCCATATATCTCTTATCTTGCTTGATTGAAAGTTGTGGGCTCTGCTTTCTTCCCCCTTCATCCAGCCTTCTTTCAATTCGAGCTTTACCCGAAGATTCGGGTCAAGCTTTCCCCCCGTCACTCCCAACTGGTTACCAAAACACCTTTGCTTTCAGGGTGTATCTACAGTATTGGTGTGTGGAGACGAAAAGCGCACAAGAACATTCTCTGGGCTTCCCGCAACACACACTTTTCCTCGATTTCCCGGAATTTCTCCAAAATATTCTTTCGGAAAAACTTACATCATTTTTGGGACTTTTGGCTTTTCTGATATATTCGTTCCTCGAACGCCTCATCCTCAACACTTCGAAACAAGTTTGGGTCCCCTTTTCTCATCCATCTGACGGTCTCAGTCAATTGACCCGCATTCGATTTATTTTTAAAATTGAATTCAATGTTCATCATTGGTCGCCTTATTTACTTAGATCTACAAGTTACGCTGACCCTTGTACTTTCAACCAGGACATCGTCCCTCAGATCCCTCGTTTCCAGCTCTGAGACCGGACTTGACCCTTTTTTGACACTTAACGGATAGCCTCGAATCTTTAATTGCGAGGCTTCTTGGCGCCCCAAGCACATCTCGAGATTATCATGAACTGTGATCCTCCAGATCTTCCTTCTCCTACCAGGAGAGATTTACCACAAGCTCTTACACCTTGACCTCAATCGTAATACAAACATCTGCCCCCGCCACGAAAAAAAGGGAAAACATTTACCTGAATCTCTACTTACTCAAGCAACCACAGGATCACATTTGCCAAAAATGCGGCCTACAACTCCTAATTTCAATTTCGCGCAACCCATCGGCCCTTCATCACCACCTGAGACGCCGACTCATTCTTCTTTCACATATCCGCCTGAACAACCATCAATGAACTTTTCTCGTCCCTCACCTAAGCCAAATGGAATCATACCAAATGGCCGAGGACCTCATTTCAGCTATAATCGAGCCGAAGACCTATCCCCGCGATCCACTTCCCCCTCATCTGAGTCTTCGGGCAGCGCAAGTCCACCTCGATCAGAAAGTTCACAACCCGCACAATCACCACTCTCATTGCCAGTTCGCAGATATTCACAGGTAATAGACAAGGGCAATTTTACACTGGAGGAAATAACAGACAGCGATCTCGAAGACTTTGATTGCAACGAGGAACTTATAATACGGCCCCACCAATACGAAGACGCAGAGTCCGATCGAGGACATATTGCGCCAACACCTGCACTAGCAGAACTTGATCCACATTTCCTGAATGATCTCCGCGATCTCACTGCGCACGATTGCACAGAGGCTTTAAACAATGAAGATCAAGATGGGTCGCCACTAGACGAGCATGAAGCTTGGGTGCAACGCAATAGGGAAGAAAGGCGTCGCCGACGTCGCAGCTCAGCTACTGTACAAAAGCGCTCTCTGGCGCAAAGTATCGGGAGTGACACTGATGACGAGGATTTACAACAGGATCATTTAAGTGCAAATGAGGCGGGATCTAGCGCTAGGAGACTACGAAGGAAGACATTCAATCATGGGGGTGACAAAAGGGCAAGCCTTGTATTCGATGATCCACCACCGCGCATTCCAGAATTGGAGGAACCAGACAGCTGTGACGAGGTCATTGAAGACGATACCGAGGTGGATGATCTGAGAGAGTTGCCATATTATGTGTTGGAGGAAACCATGGATCTTGACTCTCCGTTTTGAGAGCAGTAAAGCTCAAAAAGTTAAAATATTGCGAAAGGGGATAATAGTTGGATGTCGGTGACAAAAAGAGGTTGACGAATTAATGAATTATGAATGAGACGGCATTTCATTGCATGAAAGCACGATACATTTGACGGTGGCATATTACTTTTACACTTCTGAGCGAGAGGATTATCACCGATGGACTTTTCTTGTGTTTGGTCAGTTATTCAATTATATCAATCATAGCGTTGCATGCATAAGCGGATGTAAGGATAGCAGTACCAGTTGATAGTTAACTGGGGACTTGGACTGGAAACTCATAGTTCCGGATTATTTTATTATTTCTAGACTGGTGGGGCTGGACGAAACAATTGTAGGAAAGTGAGTTAGGAAAATGCAAATAGACCTACCATCTACTATCACGAGTGTTTGAGGCTATCATGCGTGCTTGTGTGGAGATTTGAAGGTTTTGTGAAACCTGTGGCATGGGTTCGCAGCAGTGAGCCCTTATTCTCTTGGTCATAGTTAAGTATTTTGATAATTAGGAGATGAGAATTGGTATTTATAAATATGAATTGGGATGTTATTGTTATATGAATGGTGGGATGATACAAAATTTGGAAGTGAGTATTGACGGGTTGATGGGTATATTGGCACTCGGTTCCTTTATAATGTTACGGGAAATGCCTTGTGCTGCTTAAATATATACGTGACTTGATTTTAGAGAGGCTTAAAGCTATAATAATCATATGAGGTTGATGTGAGAATGTTCACAATGGGATGCCGAGGAGGATGTGGTGGATATAAGTGAATAGCTTTCGAGGTTGGCAGTGGAGATTGTAAGATTATGAAGATTGATGGCCTGATAACCCAAAAATTCATCCTATGATAGCTTAATCAAGACGATTAGTGTCCTAATAGTTGTAGAGAGTCACTGTAAAATGGAAGTAAATGTCAAAGTGTACAGTTTAATTTATAATAATTTTGGGGGAAAGCCAAGATAGAAGGGGTTGTTGTTTTGAGGTAAAAGTTCGGAATGGATTTGAGACCACCCTTTCTAAAAACAGATATGTAATAATGGATAACATCAGCTAAGAGTGTACTCCGTAGATACTATATAGAAAGAATACCAGTCTAATCTTCCCCATGGGAAAATATGCAGGTCTTGACAAGGCCCAAATTTCCCTGCATGTCGCTTAGGAGCTGTCTTGACCGCCCGGCAGTATCCATTAGTCTAGGTCTAGAGTGGACCTTGACCTCACAACTCAAACTCATCGAACATTTGACAACATTTACGCATCCACATTAGACAATAACATTTAGGAGTATTGTCGCCGATGCTAACAACCATTCTCACTATAACTATTCAAGCTTTCTAATTCAGGCAAACATAATGAATAACGGCCCTCAAGGCCAGGGCCAACCTGGCGGTTCGCAACAAGGCATGCCGCCTCGACCACCTACAATGCTCAAACCTGAAATGATGCGCCAGCTACCCCCTGGCGCTTTTACGGATGAAGAGAAATTGAAATGGGAAAACGGGCTCAGAGGATTGTGGACTCAGATTGAGAATAATCCCGCGGAATCACCAACACACCAAGAGGCAAAACGCAAATTGATGGAGTTCTCCAAGTCGGTCACGATGAAGATGCAGAATTATCGCGCACAGCAGCAGCGACAACAAGTACAGCAAGCGCAGCAAGCCCAACAGGCTCAACAAGCTCAACAAGCACATCAGCAGCAGCAGCAGCAGCAGGCTCAAGCTCAACAAGCTCAACAAAATCAACAAAATCAACAAACTTCACAGGCGCAACAAGCCCAACAAGCTATGCAGCCCGCACCAGCTTCTTCAAATAACGCGGCTCAACAGAACCCAGCTCCACAGCAGAGCGAGCAAGCTCCACCATCACAGGAAGGTCAAGCTAGTGGGTCTAATGCTGGAAGTTCTTCCCAGCAACAACCACGACCTCAAGTTGCTGGTCAACTACCTGAAAAGCTGTTACAACATATTAAAACATTCCCCTGGACTGCTCCACCTCAATATACCCCGCAATCACCAGAATGGACTAAGTGGATGTCAGAAATCAAGAGCAAATATGCCAAAGGGCTGATGGCCATGGAAAAGGCAACTTCGCAGCTGAAGGGTTTGGAAGAATATATTAAGAAGAAGAGAGAAGAAAGAAGTGCAACGGAACAAGATGAAACAGATTATCAGGCAAGAGCGGCAGAGTTCAGGAAACAACACGGTTTGGCCAAGAAGTTTGTCGAAGACATTAGAGACAGCCAGAAACGCCTCCAACCACAAAACCCTCATCAAGGGCAACCACAGCATCCTCAACAATCACAAGCTTCTGGAGCCGGTCCATCTGATAATGTCAATGGGAATACCGCTGGTGTTGCAAGTCATAGCAACCAAGGGGTTCAAGGAAGTGTCCAAATGAATCAGACACAAGGAGCACCTCGACCACCCATGAATTTGCAGCAGCCATCCAACCCAGCTTTACAAAATACTCAAACTGTCAATGCTGCTATTGAGCAGGCTCGCAATCAACAAATTGCTGGCGGTAATCGACCACCTATGCCACAAGGACACCAGTCCCAAGGCCCGCAAATACCTACACCAGCTGCACCTTCCCAACAAGCTATGGCCCAACCTCAACCTGGTCAGGCCCAAAGTGTCAAGCCGGAACCACCAATGCCAGGTCCAATCAATACTGCAATTACTCAAATGCAGAATAATCAACAACGTCCAGGTCAAACAAATTCACCTCAATCAGCTATTCCTCAATCGGCAACGTCAATCAGTGCGCCAAATCCTGGTCCTCCAAGGGCTTTAACTCACCAAGCAGCATTGCAAACCGCGGCTCAAAGTTATTCCAGTGCCGGCGGACAAACGAGCGGTACACCTAATACGGTTATGGGCCACTCGCATACTCACCCTAATGCTATGCCTAGGGAACAACAAAATCCAAGCTCACAAAAGCTCCCAATTCCCAAACATTTACCAGAAAGAGCAGTGGCACCACCACAACCAGTACAAATGGGTCAATCACGTCCTTCATTTACTGGTGGTCCATCAGGTGCTGGTAACGGAGTCATGGGTCAACCGGTTCTTGCAAAGACCCCAGGCTACGTTTTGGATGGTGATGGCGATCGTGTTTTGAGTAAGAAGAAATTGGATGAGCTTGTCAGACAGGTTACTGGTGGTGGAGAGAATGTTGCAGGTGGTGGGTTAACTGCTGAAGTTGAGGAGGTATGCTTTTTTTCCCATTTGTCCATTATTTGGATTTACAAGCTTGTTCACCCTTATCGCAAAAATGAAGATTTTCACAAGTGAAAAGTCCTGGAAAATACCAAACTAACACGATCTAATAGTCCATTCTTACCGTCGCGGATAACTTCGTTGATCAGGTTCTCCAAGCCGCCTGCAAGAACGCCAAAGAACGTGGTTCTAAGGTCTTGGAGATCCGTGATATTCAACTTACTCTTGAGCGCGGTTACAATATTCGCATCCCAGGTTACGCCAGCGACGAGATTCGAACAGTTCGAAAGATCGCACCAAGCTCCGGATGGATCAACAAGATGAGCGCCGTTCAAGCTGCGAAGGTCACGGGTGGGAAGGGTAGTGACTGAGGGAAAGAATCGATATGTCTACATCACTTCGTAATGAATGTCCAAATGGATGAAAGGAGTTTGTGATGTGATGGATATGGACGGGAATAAGTTTTTGGGTGAATACTATTAGGAAATGGGATGGATGATAGGTGGCGTCAAGGTACTCCGTCTTAAATTGATGTGCATATGGCATAGATTTATATTTGGCGTTGGAGGCATGCTATTATGATGTTTTCATTGCATTATATGCATTCTCTCTCCGTATGATCATACAGGTACTTTTAGATAGTACTTAAATATAACACTTTATTAATCTTTATTGAGCCTTTGGTATGATGTATGAGAATGATAATGGTAGAACTGATCAGAGATGTTTGATTATAAATGTCTCTCTTCACTTTCTCCTTTAGAATCTGACAATCTGTATCATTTCTGCAGCGACTACATATATATATATATAACTCCAATACAGAAATAAATCTCTAACTACCTAGTTCTTATATGATCAGGTATTATACTCATGGACCCGAGTGATATTTTTATACGGGGGGCACGTGATTCAGATATTCTAGTATGGTATGGGTATCTCGTGCGCTGATATGGATGGCTGCTAATATGAATTGGGTTTGAGATCGGACGGATGGATGGATTGGGTGTTGTTTGTTTGTTTGTAAGATTAATATGGTGATTTTTATTATGAAGTTTAATATATATAACCTTAGGGATTAGAATTGGCTTGTAGATTTATTTAGATACTCTTATACTTTATTTTGATAGCTGGTGTAAATTATTAGAATTTGAAATTTGAAATTTGGATTTCTTAGTTGAGTATTTAGAGATGGAATGTTTTTGATATAGAATGTTTGATGATTCTTAGATATTTGATTTATTGCTTTAAAAAGCCGATTTCTTAGGTTCACATTTCGCCAGTTTGCAATCGCCAGGCACCGATGACTCGCGTTAAAATTGCGTTATCGGTTGCTAAATCCAACGTAATCAATCATCTTGAGCTTTGATGTTGTAAAGGTAATCCAAGATCTGAAAGACAGCTACAACAACTCTTTTGACAACTCAACCATATAACACACTTTTTAATCAATAACCCTTTCAAATTTTGTACGGTACCTTGAGCTTCTAGAGTGGTATTCAGTGGAAGTGAGAGCGATTTTACGACTCTTCGAAATATCAAAAGCGACTTTGAGAAAAGTACTTTAGTTCTACTACCAGTTTACGTCACGAAAGGGCGACGACAACCTTGATATACACTGTTCAATCTGCCGCTATGCCAGGAAAAACACCACTTAAAGACGGCGCAGATCCGGTCGAAAATGGAATCAACGGTGCAAAGAAGGATGATGCGAAGAGCTCTTTGAAAGGTGGAAAAGGAAAAAAGACCAAGGAAGGCATTGAAGAGGAGATGACAGTCGTCGTACCACCTTCAAAGAGTTCAAAGTTATCAGCTCCTCCCCAGAAAGATGTGGATGGAGATGTAGCTATGGATGGCTCCGCGGAGGGGGAAGAGAATGCCGGTGCTGTTAATGTTGATCCGGTGGCCAAGGCTGTTGCAGGTATGTCATGCATAATCCACCAAAAATCTATTGGAGCATCAACCAACAAAAACTAACACAATACGCTTCTTCGCAGATATCAAGAGCAATTTCCCGTTATTAGAGAAAGCTGTTGCGTTGTTCGATGCTAGATACACACTCCGAGCACTGAGGTCCATTTCTTCAATTCGAAAACATCTTACAGCTGATATTTTGGCGCAAGTTGTTACGGAGACTTACCCAACGACTACTCAACAAGCTAAAGCTCTACTCATCTCTATTGACAGAGAGAATGCTACATTTAATAAGGCCTCATCAAGTGAGATGGAAATCGACTCTGATCCAAAATCCACCAAAAACGGGAAGAAGGAACCAAAAGAAATCATTCCAGAGATCGACATCTTTTTAGGCATTCTCGTACAAATCTTCTTCTTTGATAATAAGTTGAACGAGAAGGGATTTACACTTTCCAAACATCTCACAACTGTCATTCATGGGCTCAATCGCAGAACTCTGGATTCTCTCTCTGCTCGCGTGTACTTTTACTGGTCGTTGTTTGCTGAGCAACTAGCACCACTTCCGCCTTCTCCAGCTTCTCCCGTTGTTACCCTTCGACCGGCACTTCTTTCTGGTTTACGGACTGCTGTTTTGCGCAAAGACATCGATACTCAATCAACTGTTATCGTACTTCTTCTGCGGAATTACCTCTCTACCTCCCACATAACCCAAGCTGATCTCCTCATTTCGCATACTAAATTCCCCGAAAGTGCTTCAAATAACCAAGTTGCAAGATATTTGTATTACTTGGGACGTATCAGAGCTATTCAGTTGAGATATACTGAGGCTCACGATCATTTGACAGCTGCTACTCGTAAAGCTCCTTCGAGTCCAAGTGCTGCAGGATTCTCACAAACTGCGACAAAGCTTCTTCTTGTGGTTGAGCTGTTGATGGGAGATATTCCTGACCGTGCAACATTCCGAATTGCTAGTCTTGAACGCGCTTTACAACCTTACCTTAACCTCGTACAAGCAGTCCGAGTAGGATTAATCGCAGAGTTCGAGGCTGTAATCACTCAACATGCGGACACTTTCAGACGTGATGGTACATATACTTTAATTCTTCGTTTACGACAAAACGTCATCAAGACCGGTATTCGAATGATGTCCTTGTCTTACTCAAGAATTTCCCTTCGAGATATCTGCATACGCCTAAAGCTTAACAGTGAGGAATCTGCAGAATATATTGTTGCAAAGGCAATTCGTGATGGTGTCATTGAGGCAACTTTGGATCGTGAGAAGGGTTTCATGAAGAGTAAGGAGGTTGGAGATGTTTATGCTACCAGAGAGCCCGGTGAAGCTTTCCATGATCGAATTCGTGCTTGTCTCGCTCTTCATGATGAGAGTGTTAAGGTATGTTTTATTTCTCTACTGTTATATGAACTCATGCTAATTCCTATGTCAGGCTATGAGATTCCCAATGAATCAACATCGATTGGAACTCAAGAATGCTCAAGAAGCAAGAGAACGCGAACGCGAAATGGCCAAGGAAATTCAAGATGGTGACTTGGATGAAGATGATCTTGGGGGAGACTTCGAAGGAATGTAAGATGAGAACTAGGAATTGGAAGCGAAGGTTTACGAAGATGTATACAAATCTGGGTGCAAATGCAACTTTTGGCATGGGATGGTGAAACGAGGGGAAGATTTGGTTTGGTGGCACTTCATAACCACAACTTGTTTTGCTACATTACCTTTTTTCCCAACTGGGATTTCTGCTCATGGATTGCGAAAATTACGAACTACATATGGTTCGAGATTAGGACATGAATGATGGAGATCCCGCTGCTACATTAGTTTTACCTTTTCTTATACGCAACCTAACTCTCTTTGCATGCGATGTGATGCAATTGCACGATCTATATGCAGAAGCTGGCTGGGTGGTAATGACTAGAGTGTTCTTTTTGTACACAATAACAATTTAGTTGATGCGATATGTATGTGAGGTGTGATGTATGATATGTGATGTGTGTATGTGGTTGTGGATGAAATGTGGTTTGTTAGCCTTGCATGATTCAGTGGAGAGCCTTGTGGATACAGTAGCCTTGACCAAAGCCTTGTCGCGGTACGGTGATGTAAACAGCTTCATCTTCAGTTTCATCTTCAGCGCGATGAATAAATTTAAGAAATTATCATAGTGAACAATTTACTTCTTGTCGGTTATTTTAAAAGAAACTAAGGGGCGAACTTTGTTTGTACGGTGGAGAGAATGATACAGTGGGAAAGAATATTGGATGATTTGATTTTGCTATAACATCTAATTCTCGCGCTTGGAAGTTGTACTGCAATTGTCGCTGCAATTGAAATCCAATACCTCGACTTGATTTCTCGACTCCACGTACGGGTATTTACCTACCTATATTTTCAAGAAGAAACAGTATTGAGGTTGAGCGTATTATTGCCGATCAGGAACTCAAGGTAATAATTATTGATATTCTATTCACGACGGGAAATCTACTGGAGATAGCGGAAGCAAGCAGGAGGTCGCAAGAGAAACATTAATTCAATCCAATCGCATTTACACTACAGCGACAGAGATATCTACTCCCGGTAGCACTTTTCATAGCCACACAAAATCAGATCGCAACTCAATCACGATTTATAAACCACAGGATATATTTGAGGGAGCTTACACTTAGAGCCTACTTTAGCTACCTACCTACCTACTCTACCCACACCACCAACCCTAATTTCAATTGCCTCTACGAGGAATCACAATGCCACCACGAACCTTACGAAAACGAGAGCGCAGAGCAAGTTCGGATGCAAATGCGAATTCAAATTTGAATAGTTCTCCGAATACAATTACGGTACAAACCACTACGACAACTACAACTACAATGATGGTTGCTGCAAATGGGGTTGAGGTTGATGTTGATGGATCTAGGAGAACTAGTGCTGGGAGAACAAGTACTGGGGAGAAAAGACAGAGAGGATTGGCGGAATTTGGTATTACGAGGAGTCCGCATCCGCAGAATAGGAAACGGGCGCGTGAGGTGGATGGGGAAGAGGATGAGGAGGGTGGAAGTGATGGAAATGGCTTAAATGGAAATACTGTGAATGGGACAGCAAAGAACGAACTTACCTATAGGCAAGAACGTGAATCTACGAATACACCTAAACGCAGAAGAACAAGCGTGGCTAGTCGTGTTAATGGACCGACTATCGTTACAGGTTTAGGTGGAAGGGAATCTATTGGAGAACGAGAAACACCCAGGGAAAGAACGAGAGAGAGGGATGTTACGGTTAGCATGGAAAATTCACTACCATCGCCCCCAGCTGAAGAATCGGAGGGTGATCAGGATGGCGATGCAATTGAAGTTGATACGGGAAGGAGTTCACCAAGTGGAAGAGAAGAAAGTAAAGGTGTAAGGGATGATGAGGATGGAGAAAAAGAGAGGAATATTGATGATGTGGTTTTTGGGGATCTTTGTTTTAAAAGTTGGTATTCGAGTCATTATCCTAGGGATATTATTGGGAATGGAAATCTGGAAATTCATTCTCAGGGTGTTAGTCAGGGGAGTGGAAAGAGTAGTAAGAGTGGAAAGAGTGGGAAGAGTGGGAAGAGTGGGAAGAGTGGGAAGAGTGGGAAGAGTACCAAAGGTGGAAGTGAGAGAGATGCTAGGGGAGCAAAGGGATTGCAGGTTGATAAATTGTATGTCTGTAATTGGTGTTTTGGATATACCGTTAGTGGTGGAGAGATGGCGATACATAGGAAATGTTGTGAAAGGAAAGGAACTGTTCCTGGGAATTGTGTTTATGAACATGAGGAGGATGGGGAGTGGAGTGTTTGGGAAGTGGATGGAGAGGTTGAGGGTGTAAGTTTTGTTCTTTTTCTTCCTACTATCTACTACTTTAACAACAAATTCATGCAATACATGCTAACATATCGTTACAAAATAGACCTTTTCTCAATCTCTCTCGCTTTTCGCCAAACTCTTTCTCGATAATAAATCCGTTCTCTATGATGTCCAGTCATTCAATTATTTCCTCCTAGTTCACACAGATCTCGATACTGCCGAAAGACAAATCATAGGTTTCTTTTCAAAAGAAAAAATGTCCTGGGATAATAATAATCTCGCCTGTATCCTGGTATTTCCTCCTTGGCAAAAGAAAGGTCTGGGAAGTATACTCATAGGTGTGAGTTATGAAATTAGTAGGAGGGAGGGTTTACTTGGAGGACCAGAAAAGCCTATAAGCGAGTTAGGTAAAAAGGGGTATGAGAGGTTCTGGGGTGCGGAAGTGGCGAGATATTTGTTGGAATTGGAGGAAGGTGATGATATTATGGAGGATGTAGAGGAAGAGGAGGAAGAAGAAATTGAGGTTGTGAAAGTGGTTCAAAAGCCGGTGGTTAAGAAACCTTCAGGAAAGGGTATGGGGAAGGGTTGGAGAAAGGGTATGAAGGGTGTAGGGATGCAGCCTCAAACGCTTAATCAATCGAAAGATACGCCGCCTGCTGTATCGGCTAAATCAACACCAAAATCAGCAAAATCAGCACCAGCGCCTAAATTACCGGCAACACCTCCTATGGAAAATACTTGTGGGCGTAACAACGGTAGAGGCTATTAGTAAGGGCACTTGGATAGCAGTAGAAGATGTACTGAGTGTATTGAGAAAGCATGGGTGTGCTGGAAAAAGTAGGCGCAGGGCAAAATTGGAAATGGCACTACGGGATATAAAGTTAAAGTAGATAAAGAGATGGTTCGACAATGGGTGGAGAGAGAAGGATTGAAATTGGAGAGGTGTGTGAGGGAAGAGGGGTTTGTGGAGGGATATGGTTGGGCTAAAGAGGAGAGTGAGGAAGAGAGTTTAATGGAGAGTATTGAGGGGAGTGGGGTTGGTAGTGGAGGGGATGGTGAGGAGGAGGAGGAGGAGGGAGAGGAGGAGGAGGAGTTGTGAGTAAAGGAGTGAAAGGGTGAAAGGGTGTTTTTGATGGTTGGACTTGATTTATTTGGGAAATTAGGAAAATACCATTCATTAGCGAGGAGTTTTGAAAATGATAAGATTACAAGACTACTTTATACATATAAGTTGACTCAATTGAACTCAATATCTGAGGTCTGATATCCTATTCTTCTATTTCTTCAAAGTAGAGTTAGTAAGTCACGATTCCTAAGATTACGTTTTAACGTAGAAGTAGAAGGGAGTATAGATATTTTATCTGTTACCGTTCGCAATTTCCATGCTAGATGAATGTCAATATTTTGTTTTCCTGGTACTCGCTAATTTACTGCCGTTTTTCCTACTTCTTGTAGAAGAGTATGAGAGGATTGTAGTCGCGGAGTGATGAATCATCTGATCACGTGTAGATCTGAGCAAAACGATGATGTAATGTTTGGTGACAGCATGGAAATTTGCGAAAATGTTTTGATTCAACTCAACGCAGAATACATTGTAGTGGTATCTTCAACGCTTATCATTATGTTCAATAAAATAGTCACTGCTAGTGCAATTTCTATCTCACGCATACAATCAACAATTCTCATATCAAGGAATTCAATCCCATTGAGATTACCAGGCTCTGGTGCTCCTGTCTTGATACCAAGAATATCGAGAAACTTTCATAACGATGGAATACCTAAATCTGAAGTGGAATCTGCAACAAGAAAGAACGTAGCAATGGAGGAGGCGGAAAGAGATAGGATTGAAGGGGCAGCTGAAGTGGATGCGAGAAAGAAAATAGATGCAAACGATGGGGTGAAGAAAGAAGAGATGAAGAGGAGGAAAACGATTGTCGAAATGGATGAGGAGTTAAAGGCAAAGATGGAGGGTAGGGAGGGTGCAGCTGGTGTATCGTATGAAGGAGGAAAGCCGGTTACAGATGGGTTTGGAAGAGGTGTGAAAAGTAACATGTTTAGAGTTATTTGAGGGGTGAGGTTAAGGTTTGAGTTTAAAGGAATGATGGAAGAGGGAAAAGATTGGAGGGAGGATGGTCAAAATCATAAGCCTCCAGTGCTCATAAGATTCGAGTTTCGATGCCTAACAAGGAGAAAAAAGTTGGACGACTTAAACTACATGTTAGATTTGGGATCATGGTCTAAACTTTAGGGGATCGTGGAGCGTTGAAATTTTTCATTCCGAGAAAAGCTGGATGTACGGTATATTTTAAATATATGGAATGGCATTCCGAGTCACAAAGATATCAGATTGGTTCTTCTTGGAGATCAACTAAATAACTTTCGATTGTATCTTACCAGTTAGCCTAGTGGCGACAGCTCAATAAAATCATCGATAGGATAAATCAAACTAGTATATTGAATGTCACCGTCGTTTTGTAGCAATACAATTACAATACATATCGTTTTGAGTAATATGAAGTCTTAGCTATTTCAATAAGGAAGTCACGAGTTCACGCGTTCATTCTACTTTTCCGGTGTTTTCCGCCCCTTAAACAGATTCGCAGGATGTAACCTTAATCTTAATTAAGTTATCATTTAACCATAATTATCTACGTATATGGTATTCCTAAGAACATCATATCAATATCTTCCTATGGGTTGTATCCCACCATTCTATTACCTACAAGTTATCTAATAAAAATGTGTCTTTGTTTATTTTGGCTCAAGTGCAAATGCAAAATCTTTCGACAGGACAAGAATGATTGTGGCAACCAATACGTCATTGATGATCGAGATCCTCAATTAGACAGCCGCAGCTGCAGTGAATCGCGTCTGACGCGTTTGGGAAAGAACGAAAAGAAGAAGATTAACATAAAGAAAGAATCTTGTTCTCTAGATTCAAGTAAACAAAAACAACATCATCATCATCATAATAATAATAACAAAAAGGAGAAGAACAACAACATTATCACAACATCCAACAATCCTGATATTTTAAGAGCAAAGAATATCATTAGTATCACTACCAAAGCATCTCATATACCAAAACTAAGAAGATCGAAAACTGCGAGAGTTACAAGGACTTCAAGAAGGAATACCGACATCTGAGAAAGAAAGAAAGAAAGATGGCTGGAACTACTGAAGGTGCACCAAACTCACCTGGTGCAGGAAGCGGTGACTTATCAAAAACAGATGTGATCGATTACGCGACCAAGAAGAGAGAATCCTCAACACAGCCAACCGAGACTCGAAAGAAGAGAAAGGTTCAATTTGAAGAAGTTGCTGATGCTCAAGATGAAGAACAAGACGAAAACGATTCACCACCGAAGAGAGATCCGGGTGATGAGTACGACGCCATGGTTGAGCATTCAAAGGCCCAAAATAAAAAGAATTCGATTGATCTGATGGCTGTTGACAGTATTTTGAATGAAGCACCAGATGCGTCGGAAACTTCAGATGATAAGTCAGACGACACGACGGAGGAGAGGTCAGATGAAGTGGCAGAGGAGAGGTCAGATGAAGTGGCAGAGAGGTCAGATGAAATGGCACAGGGAATTTCTAATGTTATACAGCCTCAGTTAGTGCCTTCTGGTCCCGCCTTCAGCGCGACTCCCCTGGGTCAAAATCTCGGGTCAAATCTGAGCCAGAAAAGAAAAAAAATACCAAGACTTTCTCCTACTCTAGTAAGCGATGCATCTGTTTTTGGTCCCTCAAGCAACATGGAGGATGAAAATCGCGATGCAGGCGACGCAAGAGAATATGCCAATGGCCGGGAAAGGGCAGAAGGAGAAATTGAAGGTTCAACCAAAGAAGAGCAACCCTCTGTCTCTGACGACCGGGTTCATGTTTCTGATGCCAGCACAACCAACGAATTTAGTGTTACTGGCGATATCAAGCCACCACATGTCCTTGGAGATAAACAACCAAATAACCCTGGAGAATCTAAACAATCAACCAGTACCAATGGCTCCTCGGAGCAGATTATCCCTGCATCCATTCTTGAGAAAGGAATAATCAGCTTTTTTTATCGTCCCAGAGTGGGCCTTAAAGGAGACCCTCAGAGTATTGACGATATTGGACGGAGCTATTTTACATTGCGCCCAGTTCTTAGTTCTGAAGAAACAATTCCCGAAATTCCCATGAGGGATGATAGTAGTGCATATTTATTGTCGTTAACGAAGAATATTTGGCCAAAAAGTGGACAAGATAAGTCCTTGTGCTTTGTGGATGGAGTGGATATGACTGTTGAAGACTTGAGAACCCGATTCTTTGGGTATGTTTTCATGTTTCTCTTGTCCCTTCTTTACTATTGACTTCTCGGTCAATTCCCAGAGGTAACCTGCAAAAGTGCAGATCTGATTGTACTTTCTAATCCTTGTTCTCATAACTTATCAAAAATGATACATTGAGCTTTGAGATAAAAAAAAAACATAGTTGACTAATCTACTGAACAGACCACCCCAAATATCACGTGCAGAACTTATCACAGATGGAGTATATGCCATTCTTTCAACTGGTCGTGAAAGTCATCTCGCATATCACGTCACCAACCTTGAACTCTCCCAACTTCAGAAAGACCTAGGTATCAAGGCAAAAGGATCATTTGTGTGCTTGGTCAAAAACCCAAACGCGTCAAATCCGACAGTTGTAAATACTGTTCATGTAAGATCAGCATCGTATTCAGATGAGTTACAGAAGAAATTTGGGGATTCACAATGGACACCTTTGGTACCGAAGCACTTGACTTATGAATGTACTCAAATGTTATTGATTGGGCAGGGAGAAAGAAAGAATGATGAAAATAATAAACTAGAGGAAGAAATGAATGAATTGGAACAAGAGGTAAGATTTCTCTACTATCACTTATGTTGCAGAGTGCTTCTCAAGATTCAACTTCTCAAGACAGCTCAGATCCTCTTAATTCCTTGAGCTCTGATGCTTCCTGCTGTCTATTATGTAATCAGCATAGCCACATTAGGTGTTACTGATAACATGAACTCTGACTTTAACCTACTAGGATTATGACCCTGTTGAAGCTTTGAAGGAAGATGATCCTATCTATGCAGATCTCGAAATCGACGCAAAGGTACTTGCTGAAAAAAATGCCCAGTTGGAATCAAAAGTCTGAAGTCTAGAATGTCTAACTGTAAAATGGAAGTCGGAGTTACAGTCATGTTAGATGATGTGGTATTGAAGGGGTGTTTTTGCCGCTTTGTGTAAATTGGGAGCATGATGAGATTGGAAATTATGGGTTTGGGGAGTGGTGAGGGTGAGGGTGAAGGTGTTGGGCTTTTTATGCATGCAGGGCATACATCACTATGGCTGGGGTGATATGATGTGGTATCGAACTGGAAATGGAAATGGAAATGGAAATTAGCATAGCGGAATACACAAATACAAACGGTGTAGTATGGTATAGAAATAGTATAGATAGGTAGCTTGTATCCATTAATACAAAATTTCAATACTTTCCTTTAAATTAGATGAAAGATGAGATGGGGAACTATAAACAATGATTAATTACCTTGTGATTATCACTCATTTATAATTCCTGGTAAATCTGCTTTCTATTCGGAGCTTCAATACCTTGCCTTCTGGTGTGGTGAGATTAATACTTGACTAGGTAGTTATAATTAAGTTTTGATTAGGATGGTTTCATGATACTATGAGCTAAGTGATATCTACCTCGATGCCTTAAGAAAGCACAAAATATTTCCAAAAAAAACCCCCAAAAATCGTACAGAAAGAATAATTATCATATTCACACATTCACCAGATACATATCTGAATTCCGAAAACCCCATTGTCAAAAATTTGAAGTATAATTACCTAGTCTGTATAAGAAGTAGGTGTTTTTAGTTTTTAATTAGTTAAACTTATTTGATCAATTTTGAACTCATTTAAGTATCTTATTTTTCCAAGGAGGAAAGGATGAAAGATTAGTAATTGTGTGGAATGTCACACTCAAGAATACTGGGTAAAGTATCTTGTATTAGAAAATACTAAGCTAAGGAGAAAAGAAGAAGGAAAACAAGAGTAGCGAGTTTTCCTGTGATTAAATACAAACGGGGCATGCCACGTGACCCGGAGGTGTGAGGCGTCACAGTGGAATACCTTTAAATCAAAAGTATTCTGTGCTTTTTTGAAGGGTACTAATCAGATCTTTGGTTTTGTAGTTAAGCTTTATATTTAAATCATTTATTATTATTATATTATTAAGACATCGAGGTCGGAATTTTATAAGTTGTAAATTAAATCGATTTTTAATTATCTGTGTGGTTTGTTTGTTTTGATGACGTGATTTTTTTATACCTAGATACCTAGATAGGTAGGTAGGTAGGTAGGTATTGTTTGCTGCTTTTTTTTTCTTAAAAAAAAAATAACCTGCTTATATTATATATGCATTCACTTTAAGTTTCTCAATATTAATTACAAACTGCCTCTTGTTGCTTTTGAAAGTTTCTTTACCACTTGATCGTTGGCTTGTCTTTGGTTTCTCGAGTTTGGAGATTTGACAATTTGGTTTAAGAGCTTATTATTTGAAGATGGTAGCAGTTAATGAATATATTTGATGATTTTCTGTCTTTTTTGCTTGATAAATTTTGACTTTCTAGCTTTCTCTTCATCGGTCAGGTGATTTCGTTTATGTTAAGGGGGGACTTGATGATCAGGAGTGGACTGTTCTTATTAGGAAAAATCATTTTTAAGTAGGTCTTTGGTCAATCTATATAATTTGAGTCTGTAGGAAGAGTTAGATGGGTATTTTGAGTCATGAATATGATGATGGATGTTTGACAGAAAAAATACTGTGGTGTTTAAGAAAACTCGAAGAGTGGCACAATTCTATCTCTATCTCTACTAAATCTTGCTTTTCGAAGCTATCTAGAAATTGCAGGGTTAACTTCAAAATTGGAAGGGTTTTGTGAATTTTTTATTGTTATTCTGAAACGAGGATTGAGATTAGAATGGGAATCATAAGAATAATGATGTGTAAGTCTTTCCCGTCTTCTAGAAGCTATTTAGTCCTTCCCGGTTTGAAATAACTTCTTAACTTTTCAAATTTTCAGCTCAAACATTCAATGACTTTTTAGTATCAAATGATTCTATTCAAGACCTCAAGGCAATAGAGAGAGTGCTCTGGAATACTTAATGAACTCCTCAAACAAGTAAAGTAAGAGTAAGTACAAACAACTTTCAATCCTTCGTACCAAGTATCTCAAACTCAATCTATGCTATTTTGGGCTGTCTGCAAAGCTTCAAATTTTTCTTTGAGAGTAGTAACAATGGTAATTTCTTAATATAGAGAACTATATTGCTTACAATTCCACTTGCACTACTCGATGAGAGAAAACCTCATGGTCAATGCATATGGTCAGATAATTCAGCAAAAGTAAGTCCCAATCCACACCAGTGTAATCAATCAAGCTACTTCTGCTCTACTCCGTATTTTCAGGCAGAAACTAACTTTCTGCGTGGTTGTGGAAAAGAAAGAGAAACAAACGTCCCTGCTTATCATCACGAGTCAAAAACTTGAAGTCCCTACCAGCCGGAATCATGAGGTAGAGCAATCCACATGTTTTATTTCCACTTTATACAAAGCTATTGTAATGAACCCTATCTTTCATGGCTCGACCCAAGAAGCTACTCATAGTATTTTATATCACTTACCAACTTCCATTTATCTCCCTGCGAACCTCATTTTTCCAGATCCTCACAAAAGCAAATGAACCTTTGCTAACTTTCAGAACTGTATGGTAACAACCACAAGAGTGCAGTAATACACTGAAAACCAGGATCTCGCCATTACATCTGGTTCTACATCTGGTTCGATAATTCAATACCTTCAATTCAATGTCATGGTAAAGTCTCTGGTGGGTGCTTGGTTGAGCGTAAGCCGTCTTGGCCACTCACCAGATAGATGGTCCTCTACTACTTGTTAGTTGGTTGTGGTATGAATCTAGGGTTTTCATACATATAACCGAGGTATATGGTGGAGTCGGAGGATGGTTTATGGGGTGAGGACCGGCCTCATCTTTAAACTAGTTGGGATAGTCTCTTCTCTACAGTGGAACAACTACCTTGGATATTGGTGGTGGTTGGATAAAAGCTCCACCATAGGGTTCTGGGTGGTTGACCGCCATGGAGAAGAGACTAAGTATGCGGCATTTCTTCTCCTGGAAGTTTCTAATATATGAAGGAATCCCCCCCCCCCCCTAACTTAATCAATCCTATGGACATTATAGGCTTCGTTCTTACTGGCCCAAACCATGAGTGGCGTAAGTTCAAAAGTGATCAGCTTGCTAAATTCTTTTTGGACCTCAGCTCATTGGGTTGATAGGGTGCATGAGAACCCTCATAAATATTGAGAGATTTCGTCCACCCTATCACGGTCCCTCGAGCTGGAAAAAAGAACAAAAGTCATCAGCAAGATGTCTTACAATCCTCCTTAGGATAATCAAACGGACGATTTGATGAAAGCATCAATCGCTGGCACCAGTAGGTAAAACTACAGTTCATCACCATCTCATCACATTCGACTAACAGCATAATATAGTTCTTCTATCATCGATTATGGGGGACCTTGGGCAGGATCTGCGGAAAAGATCCGGTGTCCCCTATCTTCCTTGAATCAAACAAGCACAGTTGCTGGCACTAGTAAGTTTTGATTACGATACATCACCATTCCATCACATTAACTGACAAGTTAACATAGTTCTTATCGGCCCATCTTGATGGAGCTAGTGCCAGTTTGGAGGATGTGTATCCTCTATCCGGCAATGCTTCTGAGCTCAAGAGAAGCTGTGAAAAGGTTGAACATAGTCTGTCGAGACGGTCTTTGTTCTAGCCAGAGACCGCCGAAGATGCAACTATACGTACAATTGTGAGTCCGCTACACTTCCTTGTTTAATACAAGAAAACTAATGAATGGTCATATAGCGGGGATGGCAATGCAGCTAGCAGTGTTCAGTCTGCTCGGTTCGATCACAAATGTGACTAGCAATCTCATCTTGAGAATTCCTGGAACATGATTCTTGGCTGGTCTGACCAGATTTCAGCAAATGGTCGAAGCAAAGCATGATGGAATCACGCAGCACAGTCTTTGGAAGATTCAAGCCCGTCGAGATTGGTACTCTATTAAGTGGTGATTCATCTTCATAGTCGAACTGTAACAACGAGTTACGCTAAGTAAGGTTCATATGAAAGAGTAGAAATAGGGGTAAAAGAAGAGTGCTGGAATAGTGTTTCCTACCAGCTTGGTTCAAGATGGTAGGCTACTTCCATCTAAAGCTGTCACAGATGTCTTTCAACTTCTTTTCAAGCAAATCTTTCAACGAAGTATGCTATGGTGAGAGCGCCATTTATCTGTTTCGTCGTATCCAATCTTTGATAGACAAATACAATATCTTTTCCAAAAATGTCCATAATGGTACTACCACAATTTCTTTGAGCCCATGTCTCCGGTCAAACAGAAGAATACTGCTACATGTAACCTTCAACATACATTGTAAAACAACCAGAAGAACACTCGTTACATCTTCGTCAAAAGTTGTGGCAACTTTGCCACTTCTACCATCGCAGCGGAGCAGAAAGCAAAAGCCGCAATCCCTACCTGCAGCAAGCTCAAGCTTACCCCACATAAATGCGGCCGCAGGAACAATCCACCGAGCCGATCGGGACACATTTACCATGCGATAACTTTGGGAAAGAAGTAATTTATTAATATTATTGAATACCTAATAACATTGATATCCTTTCTTTTACCCTCGCAAATCACTTTTTGCCAGATATTCACATCTTCCTTCTCTCTTCTACAGAAACAACTTACCACTTTGTAATTCGTCTTATTTTTAAGAATCTACGGAAAGAGATTCTAAGACTCGAGTCTACTCTCATTCATCTCTTACTGAATATATAATTCGCTTTTCGCAAACCGCCAAAATGGTATGTCCTTTAATTTCTAGCCCATTCCCGCAGTATCGGACCCTTATTCTACCGCGCGGTTTCTCAATTCTTGTATTCTTCTCAAGCCCCGATTGGCAGTCAAATCGCTTTGCAACTTCCCCGACCCTAACTCCCCATCTCCAATTTCTGAAGCAGTCAATCCGCCAGCTAATCCTTTCCCTCCTAGGTTCAAACACCCACTCAACGCAAAGCCAACCTCAAGTTCGCTGCTATAAATGAGAACAAGCAAGGCAAATCAGAAGCTCAATTGCACAAGAAGGAGTTGAAGAAACAGAAGAGTCCTATTAGTAAGGGTTGGCTATGTAGGTTTTGATCTCTTTTGTCTTTGCAGCCGGAAAGGAAAGAGGTTAAGGAAGAGGATGGCGCGGAAAAAGGGGGTGGAAAGTAGAGGAAAAATTGTTGGCGACGCATCTAGTTGGGCAAAGGAAAGGGGAAGTCTCCTTCACCAAGTGCGCCAGTGCGTAGATGTGATGAAAGGCAGACCAACCAGGGATAAGCTGTAATTTGGGACACTTTGAGTCATGAAGAAGAAGACTCTGAAAGGAATCACAAGCATGGACAAGATCTTAGCTAACAATCCAATGAACAGATCTCCTCGCATTCATCCTTATCGGTGGATTCTTCGTCGATGCGCTTTTCCGCCTGATCTCCTATTTCGGCGGTAATTAAGCGCATCGCATCGTATCATATTCAATTCATTTCAATACATCTATCAGACTCTCACAACCATATATGCCCGGGGGATCAAAGTCGTGCAAAACGAAGGAAGTGCACTAGTATTGTACACAACGAAGGTCATGTTGATTGGAAGGCAGCCAGCTTGCGAGATGTCGATATTATAGGGAGGGGCTTGCATTGCTGAGAAAGCAATTGCGATTGCAAGATTTGTGGATGGGAGTTATTTTGGGATCTAATTTTTATTTCCATACAATATTTGGCTCCCCTAAATGTAGTCGGATCTTAGTGGTCAGGAGTTTTTTTCCTTATGGAGTCAATAAATGATTGATTTAGCGCTCGATACATTTCAAAATTGAAGAAATTTCGAATTCTGGAAATGATGATTCGTGATTATTGTTTCGTTATGGATTTTGTTTCGATATGGCTTGTGGTTTGTTATATCTACTAGGTATGTAATCAAGGAGGACCACCACAAGATTGGATTTTCGTCAAATGCTGGAGAACCCGGGACCGGGAGAAGACTTGGGACCATGGAAAGAAATGGTTTATAAATCTAGTCATTTATTAAAACAATATATTGCATTTATTTCTATTTTCCAAACTATCTCCACCTCGACTCTCTCCTTATTGATATTGGCTTCTCGAGGCGTAGCTTACCTAGTACCTCTCTCTTATGTCTAGATAGGTACCTAGTAGTTAGTTCCAAGATAACTCCAGCTAGGTACTATACCATCTTCAAAATCGTCTATTCTCCAATTTCAATTAGAACACTACTAGGTAGGTACCTTTCAGCACGTATTTCTCCTTTTGTATTTTAATATGCAGAGTTTTTGCTCTTGATATGTCGGACAGGGTTTCTTTTTAAGGCAAGGATGGTAGGTGGGAGGGTTGGTTGCTGTTAGTTGCGCGGCTGGGACTCTGGAGTTGGTGGAATAGAGTAGAGTGAGCGGGAGATGGTAGAGCAGAGTGAGCAATAGGTAAATTTGAGAAGAGGGGGGGTAGGTCGTGGGAGTTTCTTTCCTGCGGAGTATTGGGAAGAAACTCTAAGGAAAGGGGAAAATTCTATATCAAGATTCTTACACTCTAGATATCCACGGCATTTTTTTTCGCACTGCATTTGAGATTCGAGAATTACCTCCTATGTATGCTCAATATTCTCTTCCATTGTCTTCCACCTCCACCTTAAAGGAGCTCGAATCATTTGGGATTGCAATAAGTAAATTATCGGAATGGAGGTCTTGTCTTCGCTATTAGATGTGACTCGAATTATTTTTCGGAGCTATGGATTAGGTAGGTACCTAGCAGTATAGATCACGTCTGCTCGACGTAGGAGTTAAGCTTAGTTAACATTTAGTCAAGAACGCCTACGATGAGAGTCTGCTGAAAATGTTTGTTTGTTTGTAGCTCCTGCAAACTTCTCAGACTTATATCTAAAGGGTTCATGACAAAGACATCGTATTCACCATTAACCCTACCACTCTCCAACGTAAACGAATCTTCAAGACGTCGAACGTGTTTCCGATGCAAGTACTCCATAATGACGCAGCCAAGTGCCGAAAAATCTCGACCTCTAGAGTATGTGTTAGGATATTGAAATGCACTATAATAACCCAGTACGACCTCTCACAAAGCTAATTCGAAGATACACAGCCAAAGAGGTTGATATAACCTAATGAAGCAAATGTAATCTTATCTTAGATCACGGCACAACCATACTCTCGAGCTCGTACCATCCCCAGGCTTAGAAACTACTTGGTAACGCTGTCCTATGACTGCACCGGTCCGCATAGGATAGTATTCTTCTAGGCTGTAATTAGAATGGCAGTATTTCCTCTCCCACCCTATGAGACATATCAATAACTTGACTTTGTCTCTGTTAGGCGAGAACTCGCGTATGAGCGCTATGTCACCTAGTTAGCACCTTTCGACAAAGTCATAATAGACGGCTAGATTATAGCAGATGAGTCGGGTATTGATACAGCTTTAAAGGTGAAAGTTTGCAAACATCTTGTTTGAAAGACGATGACTATTTAACTTTTCTGTCGGACTTGTGGTTTTTTATCTTTGGTTTTGTGTTGTGTAAATTATGTGTATTAATCTCACATGCGTTGAACGAGGAGTTCCTGGAGATTTTGTGCCGTCCTGGAAGGGATCGGGACATCATCCATGGGAACCGGGTGGGTGTGAGAGTTGGTGGTTAGCAATATTTTTGAGGTTATGAAGTACAGGACTTAGATTGCGCGGCTTTGGATATAATAGACAGGAGAGCAGGAGAGCAGGACAGCAAATAGCAAAGGCTAAGAAAGCATATTAGACAAGACCGCATCATACACCGCCAAAACCCATATATACAATGTAATATGTACAGGACTCTAACAAGTTCACAATAAAATATACACATATAGACTCTGTAATCCTTAAGAATCTATGGCTTTTAGCCGTAAGCAATCTTTCTCCTGGCCAGCTACTCCTAGTTTCTGAACACTGATTCTAAATATTGTTTTTATTGAATTATTAGAATAGATGCATGGGGTTCTTTAACGTGTTTTTTTAATTGATTTTGAAATGATTCAGAGAAAGAAATTGGTTTATATATTTTTTAAAGTTTTTGCCGAGTACATACAAGTTAAGGAGAAACATAATGGAAGAAAAAGAGCCGACGTTTTGAACGCCCCTACCCATCACTAGCAAACAACCCATATATGTGACAAAAATCAAAGGATATTAAAGATTTTACTTCATCAAATTAGCAAAGTAAATGAGCCTTCTCAACTCTACCCTACGCACCCAAACCCCTCCTCTTCGCACCCCCATCATGTTTCATCTTCATACCATAATCATACTGTCTCTCTAACTCACTCTGCACCTTTTCAATGTCGTCCTTTCCCTTCCCCTTCGTCTCGGCCCCCTTCCCACTAACAGCTCCTCCCTTCCCTGCACCCAGTAATCTCAAAAATTTACTCTTCCTCTCCGCATCCCCATCTAACGCATCTGCATTCCACTGCGCTGCTATCTCTTTCTTGGCAGGTTCTTCTTCTTCTTCAGAAGTGGATTTTGACTTCTTTCGCTTCGAGGATTCTTTTTCTTCCTTGGAGCGTTTGCGCTTTTTGGATTCTTCTACTTCTACTGGTGGTTCTGGAGCTTCCTTAGCAGCCCTCTCCGCTCTCCTCAATTCCTTTCTCGCCTTTCGATTTTGCTTCCCCTTCAAAGCTGCGATTCCCAATTTTGCCTCCTCTTCCTTCTTAGCTTTTTTCTCCAATTTCTTCTCGGCTTTGCGCTTCACACGGGCCTCTTTCAACGCAGCTTTTTCTTCTTCGGTCATGACTTTTGGCTCCTTTTCGTATACACCCATTGCTTTCTCCTGCCTTCGAGTATCTTTCTTGACGCGCTGTATTTCCCTTTTGACAATTGAGTTTATTTGATTCTCGTCTAGGTTGAACTTAGGCTGCTGTTTCTTCTCTTCCGCTTTCTTGGCCTTGGTCTCATCGGAATCGTCTCCATTATCGCTATCCGACTCTGAATCAGAATCTGAATCAGAGTTAGTTTCAGCTCCAGAATCAGAAGCTTCCTCGTCCTCTTCATCATTATTGCCCAAAATCTCGTTCTTCGCTTGCACAGGATCGAAAGTAACACCCATTTTCTGTGCTGTTCTTCTCTTCGCCTTCATCATTCTTCTGAATCTAGCTTCTTCCCTTTGTTGTCTTCTAAGATCTCTTTTTGCATTTCCAGCGTCTCTCTTGGCTATTGCAAGTCTCTGCTCAATCTGTCCGTCTGAAATATCCCACAATGCGAGCCAATTCTCCTCCCCGTCCGGTAAAGATATGCCCTCTGGAATGATCGGTTTTGGTGGAACAGGTTTGGGTTCGTACATCTTCTTTTTCTTGAGTGCCGTCTTCGAAATGTGTGATTTCTTCTCTCCCTCGAGAAGCTTAAGCCGTTCTGGGTTGACACCTTCTGGCACAGCAGCATCTTCGTTTTCGATTGGCTTCTTTCCTGCGACAAGTTCTTGCTTCCTCTCTAAACTTTTCTTGCTCTTCACAGTTCCGTCCTCTAATGTAACAACCTCTCCCACATTAAACGATACTCCACTTGGATCATGGACGGCAGCTAATCTTTGAGCTTGATTGACGGCATTCAGGCGAATCTTGTAACGTTCGACATCGATTGCGTGGAGGCGATTCCTCTCCTTATTCTTATTATATTTTTCCGGGTTACGAGTCTAGAAGCGCATATGTCATTAGACCTACTCTCTTCAAAATCTAGCGTAGGGTACAAAACTTACCGCTCGTCTAGTTAAAATACCATTTAGTTTTCTAGCCTTCTTTGCATCGGACTTGGCCTTCTTCTTCTCCTTCTTTGCCGCAAGGCGTACTTCACGCGCAATTCGCGACCGTTCCTCTATATATCCGATTCATTAGCATTGGCCATTTTACTCCAAGACAAAGCCTCAAGTCCTCCACCACGTAAGCAAATCCCAACACCTAAGGTGTAAACAGATAAACAGACATGCCCTTTGTAGCACCAATAACCTTAGGCTTTCCAGAGGAAAGCGACTTATTTCTATAGCCTGCATCGCGTTTCTTCATTGGTTGATCGAACTCGAAGGTCTCCCCCACTCCACCAAGAGGAATAAAATTTGCTGAGGTCTCCATAATGATTGTGTGCAAAGGAATCACAATCTGAGATAATATTGCTAGCGGAAAGATTTGAAGTTCGAGATGTTGGCTAGGAATAATTTTTTTTGCCTAGGATCCGATAAGGATAAGAGTAATGGTCACGTGTATCACTAATGTTTTAGAGCTGAAAATCAACTAAGTAAAAGAAAAAGAACGCATATAATATTTAGCGCCATAAAAAATATAATTAGCCACCCCCAGAGAACTTCTTTGGCAGGCTCTGGAATATTGAGGAAAGAAGTATTGGTTTTCATCTCACTACTCTCTATATATCGTATATATATCCAATCAAAATCTAAACAACGGAGCGTCCACAAAGGGAAGGGGTTATCGACGAGGCGAGCGCAGGATCAAACCGAGAAATTTCTCAAGTTCAAAAGCTTTGTACACATCAATTTTTATGGAATTAAAGATCTACATTTATATCAAAACTCAAAGGGGTTTCGACCCATGACTACCTATGTGTGGTATCCGTTGCACGCTCCCAACGCCATTGAATGCTTCCTAGTCCGCTATGCATATTACGCCTGTTCCATGACCTCTTCCTCCATCTTCGGCTTCTTCTTTTTCTTCTTCGGCTTCACAACATCTGTAGTCGTAGGAGCTACAGAAGGCTCGCCTTCTCCTTCATCGACCACGGCTTTCTTGGCCTTTTTCCTTTTCTTAACCACTGTCGCTGCCTCTCCTTCTGCAGGTTTCGTCTTCTTCTTCGCTTTCCTCTTCACCACTGTTCCTTCTGGTGGAACATCTTGTGCAGCGTGGATTCTCTCATTCGCTCGCTGCATCTCTAGTCGAAGCCTTTCTACCTCTTTCATGGCCTTTACCATTTCAGCCTCTTCTTTCTGTTGCCGCTCGAAATCAATACCACTGGTATCGTCACCTTCAAGGGAAAACTGGCCGATGTGGCTCGAGTCCACCTGTAATAGAGATTGTTTCCCTCTTGAAAGTCGCGCCTTCATGGCTCCCTCAGTGCTGTTTTCAGAATCGTTTGCAGGTGTAGACGTTCCACTAAGGTTCAGTGTTTCATCAGCAGCCACTTGTATTCGTTGACGAGGCTTCTTTGAGGGCTTCTTATTATTCGTTATATTTAGATTCGTTTTGCCCAGATCTAACTGCATGATTGGTATGGCATCAATGTCTAGATCTTGCCCATTGTTGTTTTGAAGAATGTTGTGAAGAGGTGTTGACGTGCCCGACAGGCTACCGTCATTCGGTGCGATGTAAAATGGATCATCTCTATTCCTTTCAAGTCTCTCTGCTTTCCGTCGTGCAACAATATCCGGGTCTAGGTATGATTCTTCACTACCTTGCTGGTAAGACTGTGCAGCTTGATCAGGACTTCCACTAAGGCGGTTGATAGCAGGTTCATTAGATGAGATTGAAGTAGGCTCTGGTTTTTGATGATAGTAGACTTCGAATTCATCGTTTTCAAGATCATCGAATGATATAGAATCTACATTCCGTAACAGATTGTGTAGATTTTGATTGATCGGCTGATCAAGATCCAAGTTCGATGGCAATGGTACATTCTTCTGCGCGCTAGCTGCAACCGAGTTTAATTCCTGTCCCCTGAAAAGAGAAGGCAGTGCCTGTGTAAGCAAAAGTGGCGCATCTTGCTGAACCGATTCCGAAGATGGCCCTTGACCATTTGTTGCTTCTGCTGCCAACTTTAACAACTCTGAGAACTCAACTGCCCTTTCTTGAACTTCCAAATCAGGGTGCATCGCTAAGGGCTCAAGTGCATTTATAATGCGTGCCATCAAGAGTGACATCATTGTCTTCCGTTCGGCCGTCCAGAGTGAATGCTCGTCGTCAGCCATAACCGCGAAAACCTTAGCCAATGCTTGGAGGTACACGATGAGACCCTCGGCAGATGTTGAAGCTTTCGTAATATGCAGTAAAGCTGCCATTGTATTTTCTGGGGACTCCAAATAAGAAGCATATTCTCCAATCATCCAAGATATCGGTCGAAGTGCTCCATTTCCGGAGCTGACTTGGCTTGTGGTATCGTTAAAAGCTAGTATTAGTATTGATTCCGCAGCCTTAGCAGCTTGAGACCGGACCGCTTTCACCTTGACGGCCACATTACGCAGTTCATCTCCAATCTTTTCAGAAATATCATTACTTGGGTACTCTTCCAATTCCTGATTCATAGAAGAACTTGTAACCGGAGCGTTTCTGACAAGCTGAATTAAAATGTCGATATACCAATCGAAATCAACAAGATTAGCATAGTTATTTATCGAGCACATTTCTAGCACTCTGGTGATGACATCCACCTTGTAGTCATCTGGCAATAGTAAATCTTGCGACGACCCCCTATCAGATTTAATTGCCACTTCCGGAGCCTCGTCATCTGAATCTGCTTCAGGTTCGATGTGTCCAGCATGTCGAGGACTAGAATTGCGTGCAGGAATTGAAGGGGAGCTTCGAAGTTGTCTCATCAATCTTCCAACAATAGACATCAGATTGTCGCTGCTGACCATACCTACAACCAAGTCTAATGCACGTAATCTGATCGAGATATCGGCACTATCGATACAATCCATTATCACATCTTCTTGTTGAGCAACAAGAAATGGATGGGTAACAACAATCTTGTTGAAAGCGAGTAGAGCGACATATTTTACTGCAAATGTTTAGTCTCAGGGGTATGCTTTGGAGCTACTGACTTACGATTAGGATCTCCCTCAACCATAATCATACCACGCAACTTGCTCACACAGAGAGTAGCTATTTCCTCCCCTCCTGCAGACTCCTCACTGCTTCCAAGAATTCCTCCTAAAATAATGCCATTTATACATTCATACAGTAGTGACATTGCTGGAGTCGTTCGGATAATCGATGTAAGCGGTGGTAACAGTTTTTTAACCAATCTTGGCTCAAGTGGAGTCAAGGTAGCAAACTAGATATGTGTTAACGTATAGTTTTCTATATGATTTGTACAACTGACCAGTTTAATGAGCTTGATCGCCATCCAATTATTTCCACTATCCACAAGCAACTCGAATAGCCTCGGAGCCAGGGGTAGGAAATCCTGAGGTCTCCGCCATCCTAATTCACAAACAACATTGACGATTGCAGCTGTGACACTTGGATCTTCGCCCTCATCCATCAATCGCTCCTTGATCTTTGGCCATGCTGGACGTAATGTTTCGGGGTAAACTAAAGCTAACCTATAAAGTGTAACAATGGTCTTCTTGCGAATGGCCGGATGCGAGTGTGTCATCCGGGGCAGTAGGTCTGAGAGAACAGATAGTGCGAGCGAAGGAGTAATAACATGTGGTAATGTTATGATGGGAAGAGACATTGTTGTGGGGGTAGCGGAACTTAAATCCTGTATGATGTCTGAGTATAATTTCCATGATACTTAAATGGAAAGCCATACCTTCTTCAGCAAATTCGTGGCCAACATCAGAACCTCAGTATCCGGCCGGAAGCTCTGCACAGCGCCCAAATATCCAACTCGTTTCTGTAGGTATTTCGGCGAGGACATAACTTCGAGAACATGAAAAGAAGCCCAGGACATATCATGGCCAAACATTTCCAGGTAAACCAGTTTCAATAAGGCTGTGGCCTTGAGGTCTGCGGCGCATTTGTCAGTTAAATGCACCTCATTCTTCTGCTATAGTCTCTAACCCATGTCTGAACCTTTTATTTCCGCTCGACATTCTTTCAAACTATTCTGAATGTACTCCTTTTCGTTTCCCTTGTGATTTCGCAGACCTCGAATGAGATCATACAAGGATTTTTCGAACCTGCTACAGCTTTAGTACATGGTCCTGGTTTGAAGTATGAATGTTCCGAGCAAAGGCGCACATCTTTGAAGACTTATGCTTGTGTGGAGCGGTTCCCCATTAAGAACTTTGATCAGGGGAGATTTGAATGTCTAGCATGTACGAAGCGCATGACTTGAATTTCCCCGAAATATAGGAAAGATTCTGAATAAATGTCGTTCGTCAAACGGTTGTTAAGGCTTTCTTCTTATCGACCCAAGCTGCAAGTGTCCCGTCCGATATTCATTTCCCCACTAGTTCTACACCGCCCGCGGCAATTGTATTAAGGCAACAAATCTTATTAAAAAAGGCAGCAATTAGCTATGAGGAGAGCTAAACTTGTGGAGAGCTTTACACAATCACAAGCAAGCTGTCCAAACTGAGCTTATAACCCCGGATTTTCATCTCTTCAATTCCTCTTCACCCACAAAAGCCACATCTAGAACATTTGAGACATAACAAAACATCATAATTATGTCGTCTACACTTCTGCACCCACCCTCACATCTTTCGCCAGCGCTGGCCCTACAAAATTCCCAACAAGCTCCCTCGATATTGCGGAACACTCCTTCATCGATATCATCATGGTCCTTGAGCTCTCTCTGGACCGCGGCGGAGTCCCCAGAATTGTGGACTATTTACGAAAATCTATTCATGTCATGCTTGCGGACTGGGGATGAGAAATCTGCACAGTTGTGCATTACGCGGCTCCAGGAAAGGTTCGGTCTTGAAAATGAGCGGATCATGGCAATGCGAGGATTACTTTGCGAGGTCGGCGCAGAAGATGATGCAGCATTGCAAAGGGTGCTAGAGGGATACGAACAAAACTTATCGGACAATCCAAATAATATGGTAAGCTTACTAGAACGTGTCTCCATACGAATACTCACCAGATTGTGTAGCCTATCTTAAAACGTCGCATTTCGGTTCTCAGATCACTTGGGAAGACGTCAGAGGCAATTACCGCACTCAATGAGCTGTTGGATTTGTCCCCCACGGATGCAGAAGCATGGGCAGAATTGGCAGATCTTTATGTTTCGCAGGGCATGTATCCACAGGGTATATTTGCACTGGAAGAGGTCCTACTTATCACACCTAATGCATGGAATGTAAGAGGCCCCATACCTTTCTTAGAACTCGTCAATATGCTGATAGTAGAAATCAGATTCATGCCCGACTGGGAGAGATCCTGTACATTGCCGCAGGTGTAAATGATTCGAACGCCGACCGGTACCTTGCAGAATCTTTGCGCAGGTTTTGTAGAAGTATCGAATTATGTGACGACTATCTTCGTGGATACTATGGTTTGAAGCTGGTTGGTGATAATCTCTTCTTGTTAGACCATTTCCATTTCTAACACATCACAGGCCAGCAGTCAACTTCTCAAAAAGCCCCCAACGAATCGGAACACCAAGTCAGATACTAGTCTACCATTACCAGATACAAACACAATCGAGAAGTTGAATGAGACTGCTACGTCTAAATTATCGGAAATCGTCCGACGAGGTAGTGCGAAAGAACCTGGTTGGGAGGGCTATGACGAAGCTTCCCTCATCGCCGCTCGTGAATTGTTGAATAGGGACTCGGGTTCTTTAACTCGTTGATATTCATAGAAATTGATCAGTTCTCATAACGTGGAACATGCAAGGCACATCATCTTAATCATGGAGTTACAAGATCCACATTTGAGTTTGTTGATTCCCATGATTCCGTCATCGTTTTCAATGTCGGATATGTACTCACGCATTAAAAAGTGCAAGGTTCGATATGGGTTTTCAGTTCGAAAATTTCATCCATCTCATAAATTGCGGTTACGATTGGCATGAGATTGGTACGGTTCAAAATAGTCCGTACATCATTTCAATGTCATGGGCTAGAATTGGACAATCCAAAGGTAGATTACAAGCCCCTCCCGAGGTCGTGGCACCAGTAGGAGTGCGTTGAGGGATGTCGGTGCCCAATCATTGAATTGACGATTAGCTTTGCCACATTGGGCAAGAGATTCGGAATTCTTGGGCATCATTTAACGTTTTAGGCTATTGGAAAAGGCGGTGACGAGATCTTTTTTAGACGGTTCTAATTTATTTGAACCCGAAAGAAACCATTAAAGTTGTCGATGGGAGAGTCCTTTGGAATCGTGACAACGCACGGGGCTTAGAAGGTCCAGTATATGTAGATAGACTCAGCCTTGAAGGTGGCCGATACAGCTGACACCACAAGTAATTCCCTATACTTTTCCCCCGATTACCACCAATTGCACACACAGAGAGTCTTTTCCATTGTCCAATCTGCGGTGCAACATTGTGGACCCCAGTCATATTTCAACATTCAGACATGCAGAAACATCGTCAATTCAATCACAAGACCAACTACAACAAGAGGAAAGGCTGAAGAAACCAACCAGCGACCCCGAAGGTCCAGAATCATAGAATCAAAACCTCCCCAACTGAGAATTTTCCCTCTTGGCCCACAATTCACGCAGCTCTGCATGTTAAATTAAAAAAGAAAAAGTCATACTTGTGCTTTTTCTGACACTATTACTCTTGCCATTAGAGCCCAAGGGCTTTTTGTTTGCATTCGTTCCCGGCTATCAAGTAAATTACCCCTTCATCAGCAGACGAAGCGAATTTGTACCGGAATCTTCTATCACTGCCCCAAAAGCTTGCTTCATTCCCCCTAGCAACAGCGTACCATCCATCATTTTTATTCGTACTTCACCACACACCCCTCGTCAAAGCAGACTTTTAATTCTATCAACAAATCCCCACTACGGAAAGGCTCTCTGTCTCGTGAAAAAAAGGAAGAAAAAACACAACAAGAATACACAAACTATCCCACAACATAAAGTCCACATAAACTACACAACATCATAACGCATCGTCAATTTTCTTTTCCCTTCCTTTTATTTGCCTTGGCATCCCCAGAAACCGAAAACCAAGTCAGTGGTACTGGCTGGCTTAATTATACGAACAGACCATACACTGGCGTACAGTTACTCGTACACGAAATAAAAGTGTTTGATTATTACCCCTCAAGACGAATAATTGGAAAGAAGACCCATTCTTCCCCTCCAGGTTGGCCCATCCACTCTATTTAGTATACACGGACCATTTACTGGTTCCCTTCTGGTTTCATAATCATCTAGAGTTTTAAATCGACCACGGAAGCAAACCCATTTGGATTTTTTGGATCATTTCTTCCCTGAATCAGTTAGGATTCAATATCATACCTCGGATCATCTTACCTTTGGACGACTTCACAAGGAAAAAAGAGAGGTATGTTACAGTGTTTCAATTTTCATATAGCTCAAGACATCAGATAGACGATCTATCTTTCTATTACAGTACTTGAGAACTTCCATCGCTTCTTCCAAATTCTTCTTTTGGGATGATCCCTCAATCCATGTACTACTGTGTACTTTTTACTCTGTGTACCGATAATGCCCGTCCTTTTTGTATTTGCCGCCAGTGTGAGCCAATTTTCAAATATAGCTAGGTATATCAAAAGTAAGAAGACCCGGAATGATCCATATTCAACTCAAAGGGAACTCAAATGATGAGAAAGGGAAAATAGGAAGCACCTAGCAGCCTAGGTCACAATAGAAGGAATCAGAAGATACTACCTTGCCTACAAGAACTAGTAGACGAATAGCACTGCAACTCCATTTGTATTGGTTGACAACGAATCATAAGAAACATACGCTAAAACATTCAACCCCTCGCAGCAGAAAACTATCCGGAAACCCTGGCCCAGAGAAAAGTAATCCACACACATCCACCTCCACCCACTCAAGATCCACAACACCACATTATTTTTATTTCTTGATTTCCTTTTTCCCCTCCAAGCTTCTCCATCGACAAAATCTCTCCGCCACATTCTTCGAACATAACCAAACTGTTCATACCGTTCGAAGAACAACATCCACCGACAGAAACAATTTACACAAGTAGTGTTACCCCATTTAAACGTCTTTACGTATCACCAAACATCACCGCTTACATATCCGATCAGCACAACCTTGGAATCTTCAAAAACTATCTTAGCATATCCGATTAATCAATACCGAACCACTAGCTAAGTCAACTCGCGACGGCCCGCACAAACACTACCATCACTACTACTCCCAACTAGCATATTTTCGACACGACGCCGTCTAACCTTAAAATTCAAAATTGAATTAGTGTCCTGACGTTGAGTCGCTCTTCGTCTGCATCTTCTGCATACAACTCATATAAAGTTTACGAATTTTCCTGCGATACATAATCGGTAATCCACTCCGGAACATTCTTTAAGAAGTTGTGAGGTGGAACACATTCTGGGCAAACGCTCCCCCTTCACCAACCCATTTTCAAGGATATCTTCACTCCGATATTCTCTACTTGAGAGTCGTAGGTAGGGGATAATCCCTTGGAAGCCACATCCCGATGCCGTAAGTACTTGAATTCACAACATAACTGTCACACTGGTAGTTGCGACATAATTGGCGGTCTACTTTTATGTATGCTAACATCTTTATTTCTTATAGTCTTCGTACAAGAAGACCAACTCGAATAACTATCAACACTCCTAATACTCAAAGTCCATATACGAGTCCATCTCACTCGACTTCGAACTCTCGATCCAATTCCTTCTCCGAGGGATCGTCGGGTCACCTTCGTTCCGACGATAGTCACGAATTTTCAGACAATTCGCAAGAATCCTGGAACGGAGTAGATTATTCAGACGATATCGAGCCATCTGAATCTGCTTCACGTCCACCACATGCAGCAACAAGATATATAGCTAGAGATCAAATTAGCTCTCGAGAACACAGCACAAGTCGGCCACCCCCCATTGAACGCACACACGCAAGTTACGAGCGCCCAACACGTCATCACACCCCCGCCGCCGAACGAAGTCATCGTCCACCTATATCTAGAGTGCACCGGCACACAGCACCGGGACCACCATCAACTGTGGAGCAACTAGACGACTTTCCGGGCTATGGCCGAGGCTATCCTGCACAACCAACAGCTCCTTATGGAGGCGGGAGAACAGCACCTCCGCCTGGTTATGGCCCAAACGGTTACTCCACCGGTGCCAATAGTTCCCCCTATGCACCACCATTTGGTAACCCTGGTGTTGCTCCCCCGCCCGGCCCTGGCCCTGGAGCTTTAACACATTATGGCGGCGGTTATCCTCAGCAATTTAACCAAAGCTCAAATCCCTTTGCTCCACAAAATCAAAATTCGTTCGCACCACAGCCATCTCCAAGTCCTGGCGGCGCTAGCTACTTTAACAGCCGCAATAGGCACGACATACCTAGACATGATCCAATGGCTGGACACAATACTCCCGGTGGATATCCTGGTCATCCTAATCAAGAACTTATGCATTACGCGCCGCAACATGGCTATCCCGGAAACCAGCCTTATGGTGCAAGTCAAGGCTATCCAGGATATCCAGGATATATGTCTCCCGGCATGTCTCCTGCCATGTCTCCAGGAATGCAGGCATTGCAACACGGAAATCACGGAAATCATGGACAGCAAAGTATGGCAATGGGTCCAGCAGGAATGCAATACTTCCCTCCTCAATTCTCCACCCCTGCTCCCGAACCCGCTCCAGCGCCTGCGCCAGTGCCGGTGGTCGATATCGAGATGGAGAAAAAAATTGTGATGATGGAGGAACAAATGAAAGCCGCAAAGATAGAATCCGATAGGGCTAGAGAACAAGCTGAAGCCGCTCAAAGGGCATCTGAAGCTGCTCAAAAGGCCTTAGCGGACAAGGAAGCACGAGAGCTGAAAGAGAAACTAGAAGCTGAAGAAGCAGCTGCGGCTGCACAGAAATTGGCTGATGAACGGGCCGAGTGGGCACGAAAAGCTAGTGAGGCTCAAGCCGTGATTGAGAAAAAAGCTGCAGAGAGACAAGCTGAACTGGAAAAGAAAGCTGCAGAGATGGAGGCTGATTTGAGGAAGAAAGCCGCCGATGCTGAAGCGGACTTGAAGAAACGAATGGAAGAAGCTCAGACTTTATTGGCAGCTAAGCTTGCACAGGAAGCTAAAGCAGAAAAGGAGGCCGCGGATGCTGCTGCACAAGCGGCTGTGAGAGCCGAATGGGAGAAAAAAGCAGCAGAAGCACAGGCAGATTTGATGAAAAGAGCTGCAGCAATGGAAGCCGATCTAAAAAAGGCAGCTGCTGATAATGAAGCTGATTTAAAAAAGAAAATGGAGGAAGCACAATCAGCTTTGGCAGCTAAATTGGCAAAAGAAGCTAAGGATGCTGCAGATGCTGCAGAGGCCGCTCAAGCTGCAGCTATCAAAGCTGAATGGGAAGCTAAAATCGAGGCTGAGAAAGAATTGGCATTGAAGAAGGGGGCTGCGGATGCGTTGAAAGCCAAGGAAGAAGAAGCAAGGGCAAAGGCGGCGAAAGAAGAAGAGGCAAAGAAGAAGGCAGACGAAATAGCTGCCGCTGTTGCCGCCGCGACCGCTGCTGCTACCGCTGCTGCAACTCCAGCAGCACCACCTCCACCACCTCCACCACCGGTTGAAGAGAAGAAGAAGCCCATCAAATTCAAAGATGCCGTAGGCAGAAAGTTCAGTTTTCCATTCGAATTATGCGCAAAATGGGCGGTTAGTCCTTTTTTCCTTTCCATTTTTTTTATCTTCACTTACTCACTAACTTCTCTGCACAGGGTATGGAGCAATTAATCAAACAAGCTTTCATCCATGTCGAAGCCATTGGTCCCCATGTTCAAGATGGTCGCTATGATCTCATTGGCCCTGATGGTGAGGTTATCCTACCACAGATATGGGAATCAGTGATAGAACCTGATTGGGCAATCACTATGCATATGTGGCCAATTCCAACAGAACCGCCAAAGCCAGCACCTCCCACTGGACCTCCTGGGCCACCCCAAATGAATCCAAATGGTAGGCCCCGAAGTTCCCATGGACATCCTCATCATCATTTTCCTAACCGTCTTTCAACAGCACTTCCTAATGGCGCCCGGCCACCTCCTCCTCCTGGTGTTGTCATGCCACCTCTTGGAGCTAGACCACCACCGCCACCACCTGGACTTGGAGGTCCTCCTCCACCACCTCCACCACCCTTTATGCCTCAGCCAAGCGCGCCAAGAATCGTAACGGTGAAGCCAAAAAAGAAGGTAGACTCAGGAGTATTAGGATGGATGGCAGGCAAAAGACCTGCACCGTCAAAAAGTATGCAACATATACATCTTTTGCACTACATACTTACTAAATGAATAGGTCGATCAAAAAAATAAGCACCATGATAACCGAAGTATCACGTGAATAACTGAGCGAATAATTAATACATCTACGTACGCTTGGAGTGTAATGATTACAGCGATGGATTTCTGATCAACCAAAAAGGCCGATCTCAATATTTCTCATCCTTCGAACCGGATACGGCGTACCTAGATTCCATGTGTCAATCTTGGGTGGGAACCAATATCTGAACGCTAGAACGATTCCTTTTTGTGAGTTCTTTGGGCAAAATCTATATTTTAGCCATACCTTGATTATTCGGGGCAAACATTTTCCCATTTTCCAAGAGCCGGTTAATTTGGTCTACACAGGGATGAAGCTCATACTGTTACACTTTTTTAACATTTTTCCTCATTTATCTAATATCTTTCAGCGTGTTTGTTTTTGCGTTTTGTTGGTATTTTGGGGGGCTCTCATTTGATACCATCTTGGGATACAAAGTTTTCCTTTTGACTTTGTATGCGTGTTTCTTTTTTTTGGGTAATGGACCAATTTTGGGAGGGGAAGGGGTATATGATACCAATGACTATGAACAGATGAGATAAGAACTAAATCGCAGATGAAGGGGTTGGATAGGCAAGGGAAGGATGGCGCATCATTTCTTGTTTTATACATTTATGGCATGAGACGGTGTTGAGTTATTTTTTTCTGCATTTTACATCTTTCGTTTGCAATTGTTTTTTTAAACCTCCTTTCTGTCTGAAATACCTCAAAATTATAGAATGTCTATAGGACTATAGTGTATTTGTTTTTAGCTCCGATTTGTCTCTTATGTTTTGGACTCGGAGTATAGCGATACACTGGGAAGAAGTCTGGAGATTGTATGTTCGAGATGAAATTGAAGGATTGGATGGGATCGAATAAGAGGAAGAAGAAGAGAAATTCAAGCAATTGTTATCGATATTGGTACTGGAAGAGATGGTGTGTTTAGTTTTCTTGCGGGGGAGTCGAGCACTGTTAGTGCCTAGTGACGAGGGAACGGAGCATGGAGATGGAGAATTGGGTGTAAGAGATGGGGAAGTGGATATCAATGTGGATATGGGTGTGGAAGGAAATGTGGGTGTGGCTGTCGATGTGGATGTGGAGTGCAGCGAATAGTAGTAATAGCTTTGAAAAACAAAAATATCTTTATACCTCCAAAAAATACGTCATCATCCATCATCTATGCCGGCAACTGTACAAATTGTATCATGATCATATCCATCTTATATGCATTGTTTCATGATGCCTGCACATACATATACACTTGAAACATTCAAATCTAAGAGTCTCGAACATAAAATATAACATGCCAAGCTGATGAATGACAGAACGTTAAAGGATTTGTATGTATGCATGCATGCAAGTCTTACATTCATGACTCAACCCTTGGTCTTTTAGTTCTTGGTCGTTGCTCGGTACGAGTACTATTCTTTTAATTTTTAGGTTTTATATATTTTTGGGAGTTGCTTAGGTTGATGGAGGTTGATTGTAGAGTGGGGTGGTGTGTGTGAGTGGTCTGGATTTATTATGTATTACAGATAAGCTTATTACTGACGTAGAGCTGGTAGAGTGGAGTGTTGAGTATTGAGCAGGACGCACTACATTCATGCCCTTTTGAAATGTGCAGATAGTATAGTGTGTTTTGGGTTTTGGGTTCGAATGGTGGAGGGATGTACATGTAGAGAGGTGGATATGAATGTAAATGTGAACGTGGAGAGGTGGAGATGCAGATAAATGGTAGTGTTCGTGGGTGCGGGTGGGTATATACGTATGTATGTATGTATATGATTACATATATACATATATACTACTTATATGTACTTATATGTAAATGTAAGTATCCTCTGTATATGTAAGATTATGTATGTACTGTTTGTTGTAATTATCTAAGTCTTACAATGCTGTTCTAACTGTGCTATGTGTTGTGTCAATACTACGAGTACATTGTAAGTTATGTATATGTATATGTATTGTAAGACTTGGCATACGGTGTTGTGGTCGTGGGTTGGATGAATTTTGTATTTGCATTTGCCTTTGAGAGATGTCTGGTGTACATACGTATGATCTGGGTTTGGATCTTGGATCTTGTATGGAAGGATGTTGTGATTTGACGGATGTGTGAGGTGGGAGGTGTGGGTGAGGGTGGAGCTGGATTTGTATTCGGGTTTTATGTAGATTTTTGGGTTATGTTGGGGCGGATGTGTGGTGAGATGTCTTTTATATATGAAAATAAGGATTGGGATTGAGGACTAAAGCGATTTGGTGGTTTGGGGTGAAATAGATGGATCAGTGATGAATGTAGTGTTATGGATGCAATTGGACCGGGTGTGGGGTAATCAGGATGGTGAGTTTGAGGTCGAAGGTTCCTGATAGTGTGTTGATTGAATGACATGTATGTTTCTAGTGAGACATACTATACAGTAATAAGTAACATGTCTAACTCTCATTCCCTTTTCCTATATTGCTAATTCAACAAATTAAAATGAGGCGAGATAATGCTCACCGGGAGCGGAAGCTTCTCGTATTTTTTAAAATTTCCAATTTTCAGGATGAGCTAGCCCTATAATTTCTTGAGTTTTTATAATTTTTGATTAATTTAATATGCTGTTAAAAGGAATGACCTCACACAGGGAATAGTGGGAAGCTGATAGGGCAGAACTGAGGTAATATTGGTCTAGTAGGTTAATCTCTCTTCTAAGTTCTACGGAAGTGCGAAGCTCTCTTACAGAGAGCTTCTCAATCTAGTCCTAATAGGACTAGTGCCCTGTGCACGTGCTACGCAGGAACCATTCACTTTAACATATGCTTCATTTTAGTATTTATTTAGGGTTATATTCTAAGATCTAAGTAGTATTATCAAGATATTGGTGATATATTTTGATATTTATAATTGTCACACTCAAGAATACTGGGTAAAGTATCTTGTATTAGAAAATACTAAGCTAAGGAGAAAAGAAGAAGGAAAACAAGAGTAGAGAGTTTTCCTGTGATTAAATACAAACGGTGCATGCCACGTGACCCGGAGGTGTGAGGCGTCACAATAATTCTCTTTGATAATGTGACCAAAAGGGTGTTTATAGACCAGCAATTGTATTTAACTTAGAATCTACAGGTGAAGAGCACCTGTAGATGGGGATAGCTACTCTATATATACACAAATGAATGGCCTAGCCGTAATGGCTTAGGCAAAAAGAAGTCATATTTATCCCTCCAATGATCTTACTTTACCGATAACCATTGATACCTAGTACTTGTCCGGATCTGATCCTCAGGTCACCTAAATCGCATACTAATCTCGAGTAATCGTATCATGTGTGGACATGGTTAATGTACCTGAGGTTTCTTATATAATAAGGGTGGGAGGAAAGCAGGGATTTCCGTCACAGATAATATATGAGAGTATCAGATTTAGTGATTTAGAGAAAAGTAAAAGAAAGAAAATCGGACCATATAATAATAATTGGAATAAAATGAATAATAGATTGCTGATAGTCATTAGCTTGAATATCTTTTAAATTTGAGAGTGAGATATAAGACAAACTGTTACGACGGGCTACACAACTACCAAGACACGTGATCACAAATGATCAATAGTGATCATTAAGGATCACTAAGGATCACGGTATAGGTGATCACTGATGATCATTAAGGATCACTAAGGATCACGGTATAGGTGATCACTGGTGATCATTAAGGATCACTAAGGATCACGATATAGATGATCACTAATGATCATGAAGGATCACTAGTAATCATGGAAGCATGAAAGACTATATAATCAAGATGGATTTCCTTTGTATAGAGCTTCGTGCTCAAGATCAATCATTTAGTATATCCTACTATTAGTTACGAATTGCATTTCATTATTGTCATTACTTAAGTCCCTGCTTGACGCCTAGTTATAAACCACCTCGAGAGCCTAGAGCACTTCCACGTGATCTAGACGGCAAACCTCGTAACACAAACCTAGACAGCACACAGGTATCGATGTTAACGTCCTGCGAGTAAACGTCAATTTCTTGGTAATTCTATTACTGTATTAATTTATATATCTAGTGTAACATAATATAGTGGTTTCATACTATATTGATGGTCATAGAATCTAGATTCTGAATGACAGTTATCCCTTTAGTCTTTGTATTGGGCTATTTGTGTTAATCTAATTACTTAATCAAAAGTTAATTGAAACTTGAGATCTTCATCTCCGTCGTCTCTCAAGAGGAAGAGAAGGGGACTATTGTTCCAATGAACATGTAGTCTACGGTCTACCTAGCATCTTTCTCCTCCGTTCGACCAACAATCAGTCACCATAAACAGATATTCCATGCTAAGAGACCCAAAGTTAATTTTTCTATGACGGGGAAAAGGACTAATGGTTAATTGCATGGTTATTGATGAGATCAAAAATCCATCTACGAGTACACCAGTACCTGCTCGAAATAGATTCCGTATTTTTCAAATTACAGTAAGATCTTTCATTAACAGACCCCAGGGTCATACTTTTACTCTGGAGCACATGTGTACTGCCTTTCCAGCCTGGCAGGAGTTTAAAGATCACAGAAGGATTAAATTGACTAGTTTTTGTAATTCTACAGGAATGCAATATGAAGGCTAGAAACAAATTTCTTTCGATGTGTACACATATCACATGTACACGGCAAATATCTGCTTCCTGTGCCTCTACCCATCCTCCCACAAAACGCTCTTGAATTTTGGAATAAATGCCCTTATATCCTCACTACATAATAGCTATAATTATTGAACTTCCTACCAAAATTTGGACTGTGCCTTTAAAGCCTTAAACTCAACCCCAAATTCAGAGCTGCGAATCGCAGGGAGAGAATTGGGGAATACCTAAGATCTGGTATAACAAATCACCTTAAGTAGGGAGTATTAGCGGTATATAATCTTAATAGGTATGGTAAAGATTGAATATATAGTATAAGGGTGTGGATATCGGGGTGGTTCTGTACATAGCTTTGGCAGAATCGACTGATGACTCAATTAACCGTGAGAGTGCAACAACTGCAAACGTGCAACCAACAATTGCGAAAGTAAAGAATGGAAAATATTATAATTAACATACCTACTAAATACTTATATCAGAAACCTTTTCCAAATCTACCTTATCTACCTTGATAAGTTGTTTCTTGTATATCTCATAGTTGATGAGCTTCTCCTTTATTCACCGAGTACCAACCCATTAAACTACTATTCACTAACCCGTGGAACTCAATACCTAACATTCACACAAATATTTCCATAAGTGAGATCGGATGATTTGATAAGAAATACAACAAACTTTCCTCCACTCTTCTTATTAGTTTTAAATCTCTTGAAAGAGAAAAAAAACTTCATAGCTCAAACTCGTCTGGAGTCAATAGCCATATACATCCATTATGAGATATGCAACAAAAAATGCCGAATTTTGTCTTGAAAATTTTGAGGGTTCTTTACAACCCCTTGATGGTTTCGAGATGACAATACTCAAACGCTTAGGGAGTGTGACAGAATCATCCAGGATGTGGTGTCCGCTATCCTCTCCAGAGTCAATGGCTGCGAATTAAGAAAAGGGAAATATTATTTGCTTATACACCAGAGATATAAATGAGGTATGGTATCACATATATATACTATCCACTAAATATATAACCAGCAATGACTAAATTATCATCCACAAAGCAAATACCAATTCCCACCAATCCTGAAATATCACCCGCCAGCTCGCCTTCCCAAGACGAAATCGATGCACTGATAACATTTTAGTGCTTTAATCAAATATATAATATATTCCCACATCTGCTTCAAAAGAAAATAGGTTATTCAGAGAATCCGATCAAAGCTCCCCGCATTATTCCGGGTTAAAAGTTTATTGAGTATTTAATAGAGTAAGAACCAACTTACAATAAAACCGGATTGATACCTCGAACTTCTATGGTAAGAAAGACAAGGAACTTGGATGAATGTTTTGATGCATGAGAGAGAGAGGGGTTTAATAAGGCGCGATGGGTGGATCTCCAGAGTTCCAGGGAGAGTCTGGCGAGAATTCATGGGGTGGGTTTTAGATGCTCAGTGATGCGATTTTTGAAGGAAGTTAAAGGGGAGATGTTGAAGCTTATAGTAATTTGGGAAAGATGTAGTGGAGAAGTTCAGAAAAAAAAGAAAAGATATGAGTGAGGTATGAGGTATTTAAAGTAGGATTATTATATTATAAGATCTTACATTAACATCTTTTACGCGGCAGCTAGAGGTTGGAGCTGGGGGCTAGTTGATACATCTGTGTCGGTTTGCAATCTGCTGTCTGGATTACTTCTGCTTGTTATTTGGGACACTGCCAGGTCCTGACTATATAGATCCATAGGCAAAAATAGACAGTATAACAAACAGACCAATACAAAGCTCATCGAAGGGAGGCTCATTGCATCATGGATGTTAGTCTTATTCAATCTTTTCAGGGTTGAATTCAAGACGCGACGAACTGCGTTAGGCGGAGGATTTCAGGGGCAAGTTTTCCACGCACTATTATACTCTACTCGGTATTTGAGAATCCGTTTGAAGCGAGTAGTTCGTTTACGAGGACAAAATCTAATTGTTGCGTCCGTGTCAGGGCTAGGTTTCCTAAAGGAATGGCCCGTCTGTAAAACTCCAGCGGAAACTCTTCCAATTGATAATTGTGGAGTAAGAAATGAGCTATCATTGTGAGATGGGCTACATAGAGGATTTGTTTTTAGAAAGGTTCTGGATTATATTGGGACTTGTAGGAAAAATAACACCGCACAATCAATTATAATTGCGCACTTGCATATCGATACTTCAATATACTTCTAGAATACTAGAAACTCGCATTGATCTTGAGATTGAGAAACTTGGATTGATATTGTGAATGTGAAACTCGGACTGGGAGAATGTGAACTCAAAGATTTCGGTAGGGGCTATTAAATTTGTCGGAATTGTTGAGATATTGAAGAATAAACCCTTCCAACCATGGTTCGTACAATCATTTCGAATGCTGGAGATCGTATAGTATCCTCCAAGTGTGTCTCCTTGTACTTGTTGATGTAGCACCGCCTTTCCAGATTCACATCACAATCAACCAAATATTCTCCAAACCATTTTCATGATCGGCAACTGAGATTTTGTCAAAATGTACATTTTATTCACGCTGCAACGTGGAAAAGCATGCTTCATAACATTTTTCATGGAGATGCTTCATTCCTAGCTCATGATGCGACTAGATCATGTAAATAAACCCCATTCCGACCCGATGACGCAGAAGAATTGTTCAAAATCCTAAAAATATTGTTAGTCTGGCTGAATTTTTCGCAAAATAATCCCTTGGGAGGAGAAAACATACTGAGAGGAGTGAAGAACCATCTGTTCTTTCCTGATGTGTATCTCTCCTCCAATGCCTTCTTAACAGTCTTCTTTGCCTCCTCACGTTGGGAAACCTCCTTGAATGTATCTGCGGAGACAACTCCCTTCAATCCCTCCAACTCAAGAGTGTAACGTGTTGGCATCAAGTGGTTGTAGTTGATAACCTTGATGAATGGCTTGACCTTGCTGCGCTTGGTTTGCTTGGCCTTGGACATACGGCGAGTGATTTGGGATGGGTAACGCTCGATACCGGCGACCAATGCGTGAGGGTATGGGTGGGACTTGTTGCCGGCATCCTGGGGTTGGATGATCACGACCTGCAATTTATTCCTCCATCAGCATATATTCCTCATGACCCCGATCTCCAGAACTCGTTCCTCGCTGTCGCTTCGATCATATAATTGCTCGATTGTTTTCGTGTATTCGAAATGAATGGTAAAGGGTGATAATTTACCTTCTTTCCGGCATATCTGCCTCTGGTGATAATGGCAACACGGCCGGTCTTGAGGACTATAAATTGATCAAATTAGAATCTTCATGAAGTCGCGATCAATGAAATCGGGATTAAACATACACTTCATCTCGACTGTCGTTAGTTGTCGAAGGGTTTGTCGTAGGCGTAGTTGATTCGAGGTTATTCAGAATTCTTTTCCATAAAATCTATCTCAGTGCGAAAGAGCCCTCGCTTATCGTGCACACGTGATGATGGCGCTGCTTTGGTGTGGCTGAAGATGTGGCGGAATGAAAAGTCCAATCAAGTGATGGGATCGATGATATCCGATCGATTGGTCCACAGAGCAACTTTGTTCCCATTGATACGCGCCGAGAAATTTTATACCCGTGAAATTGTCCGTGCTTGCCCTTGTAAGTTGTAATCTTTACGGTTGCCCCGCCGCGTCCCCAGCCCATTACAAAAGTAAACAAATATTAACTCGGTACCTGACTTATCTGACTCTCTCGACTCTCTTGACCGCCGCCTTTTACTTTTATTATGGAAACTTTTAAACTTGCTTAATGAAAAAAAATATTCCCCCATATTCTCAATTCTCAATACCCAATGCCATTTGGCAATTACAATTAATACAATTCATAATCTGCTTGGCTTTTGCATAATTTGGACTTTGTTTCCATACTTTCTGCACGTCAACAGTCCCTCATATTCCCGATTTTGTATCGCGAAGTTCGTCGAGTACCTACTTCCTGCATCTTCTCCACAATATCAACATTCCACATAAACAAATTCCGGGGGATACATCCTCCACAATGCCTTCTTCAGAAAGAGAAGCCTCTCGCGATGGCGATAGACTTGCTCTTGTGCACAGAAGTTCTGCGCATTCTATAGGTTCAATAGATTCTGGACGTGCAATTGTTCCAATGTAGGCTTTTATTTATCTCATCTACTGATTAACGCGATTCTAACCATACATTTACAGGTGGGATAGTTCTGATCCAGAACGTGCGCCTCCTCCACTTCCGATGAATCCATCGTCGCCGAACGTTTCCTCGCGAGGAACGTCGGCAGCTATCAAGTCCGCACATGCAGCGCTTACTGAAAGAGCTCGCGATAATACCTATAACATAACCTTACCACCTCCGAAACGCCTCACAGAACCATCTCCTGAACGTTTACTGATCAAGGGCACTGCTCCCAATCACAAACGAATGCAATCGCTACAGAATGGCAATGTTAGAGATCTGAGTAGTTTCATTGAGAGCGGAACTTTCGGTCCTTTGAAGCCTCCAGAGAAGTCATCGACAAGACCTGCCACACCACACGCCAGCAAGGATTTCGGATTGGAATCACCAGAGAAATTTTCCGACCGGATGTCAGATAAGGATTCCGTTCGAGCTACTACGCCCACCAAAAACCAAGCCGAATCACCTAGAGAAAGACGGGACTCGATGCATGTAAGACCTTCACTGCGCCGGCCACCGCACAGTAGTATGTTTGGCGAGAATACTCCTCCTCAGTCTGCCACAATGCAGGCTCTTCACAATATGACGACCAAGGAGACAGATCCACCTCTGGCTAACGTCACCAATGGCTCTACTGCTTATTCACGACAACCCCAAACATTCGATGCCATCTCAAATCAAATTCTTAGTCTCACCAGTATTTGTACTAGTCTTCAGAGGGAAATGGCGCAACTGAGTAGAAGAAGTAAGGATAACGCGACAGATCTAGTCAGCCTTAAAGAAGCGACAAATGCCAGGGATGAAGATATACGAAAGAGTCTCCGAGAATTAGTGACTGGTCTATCCGATGCTGGATCTGAGCGTACATTATATGGAGGCAACAATCATTTCGCAGAGAGCAAAGGACGTGCATCACCATCCTCATCACGAAACTCAAAAGGATTTTCCCTTCCTCGGATCCCTAGCCCCAACAGTTTCGCTGCTTCGTTAGATCGAGAAACGTTATTATCAACTCCTTTCACGAGAGAACAGAGCCGAGAACATAGTAGCGACGCTGTTCCACATGCTGCTACTGTGGCTTTACTCGAGAAGATACTTCGAGAAATGGGCACGAAGGAAGGACAGGAATTATTAATATCTCGACTTACGGAAATAGCTGCACAACTCGGTCGAGAAGGGATGTCGACAGCCAAAAAGCTAGAGGAGCTAGTGGAGTTCATCAAAAAGAACACTGAGATTTCTCAAGCTCTCATTGCCCATCACCAAAAAAATGGTGAAGGAGAGACCAGAGGACGTAAATATAGCTTTGAGGAGGATGCGCCTAGACTAGAACTAGATTTTGACAGGCCACCTTCTGTCGCGCAAAGATTAGAGGCTCTTGTTGCCAATGGAGCAGATAGGGAGAGGCGTAAGTCCCAAGGACCCAGTCGCTCAGGTGAAATACTGAGCGAAGATGTCCTTCAAGTTATACGAAGTCTTAAGGATAGCGTCGCTCAAGGAGGTGGGCTTACCGCTGAAGTCAAGGCATTGGTCCGAGAACTCCGTGGTGAGGTTTTGGGTATGGGAAGAGAGATTGGGAGGAAACTAGACCAGGCCAGTAAAGATGGAGTTTCCAATGGTGCCGATGTCACTGGTGTTATTCAAAATGGTCTGGAGGAATTGAAAGAGCATATGAACCAACTAATTCGGGAAAGTCGTCGACAAAATTCGGCCTCTGCTGCCACGCAAAAGATCGACTACAAAGAAGTCTATAGCGTGGTACGGTCAGCAGTAACGGAAAAATCTGAATCGAAAGAAGATATCATCGATGCAGTCAGGGAAGCGTGGGAAAATTATAAACCCGACATCGAGTTGCAACATTTTGGTCTCGAGAGAGAAGAACTTTTGGCATGCTTAAAAGAAGGTATCCAAGAGTTTGCGCCTCAAAACGAACCAGGAGCAACGAGGGATGAAGTCTTTGCTGCAGTCATCGAAGGATTGAAGCATTTTACTCCACCTCGAGTCGACTCTGAATCTCTTTCTAGAGACGAAATTCTCGATGCAGTTCGTGAGTGCCTTGAAGAGTTTGAGTTTCCCGCTGCACCAATGCCGGAGCCTCGTGAACCTGAAATTACCAGGGACGATATGCTTAATGCTGTCGCTGAAGGCCTTCGAACCTTTGACTTCTCTGCAAACCCAACGGCACTAAGTGCGGAGGTTCTCCAAGGATTCACGCAAACTGAAATGATTCAAGCTGTTAGGGAAGGTCTCAAAGAGTTTGACTTTGCTGCTCTTGATCGCGACAATGATGGCATCACACGGGCCGATGTGGTGACGGCTATTAGGGAAGGACTTCAATCATTTGGCCTTGCCAATCAGAATCGTGAGATTGACGGAGGTGTTACCCGAGATGATGTGGTGGGCGCAGTCATTGAAAGCCTACATACATTTGACTTTTCCGCCAACATGCCTCATCACAATGAAGAAGCCATTACTCGCAACGACATGTTTGAAGCTGTAAGAGCAGGTCTTGAAAGTTATGAATTCCCCACTTTAAGTAGAGAGGTGGGAGAAAGTATTACACGTGCAGACGTCTTCGATGCCGTGAAAGAAAGCCTTCACAACTTTAACTTTAGTGCACTACTCCCAGCATCTGACCCGGATGAAAGCGAAACGGGAATTTCTCGCGAGGATGTCTTTGAGGCTGTTAAGGATGGGTTACAAACATTTGATTTCGCCCTTACACGTGATGTTGGTGGCAACACTGGCATTAACAGGGATGACATCTTTGATGCTGTAAAAGAGGGTCTTCATACCTTCGATTCTGCTCTGACTAGGGACGTTAATGGAAGCGGTAGCCTTACACGTAATGATGTGATGGATGCTGTCAAGGACGTTTTGACCACCTTTGATTCCGCTCTTACCCGCGGAAATACCGAAATTGGTGCAACTCGTGCCGAAATTGTTGATGCAATGCAGGAAGTTATGACCAAGTTCCATGGCTCTACTATAACTCAAGGCCCAAGCCAAGGCATCACTCGTGAAGATGTTGTTGATGCTGTACAAGAGGTTTTGCAAGGGTTCAATTCAGCATTGGCCAAAAAAGTTGGAGGTCATGCAACCCGTGATGAGGTTCTTGAAGCGATCAAAGTTGGTCTCAAATCACAGGAATCTACGGGAGGCATTACCCGGAATGACGTTCACGAAGTCATCAAAGAAAATCTGCAAGGCCATCATACTGAAAATGGCCTAACTCGGGATGAAGTTGTGGATGCTGTTCAAGAGGTCTTGAGATCATTTGATTCCGCATTAATTAGAGAGGCTTCCCCCAAAGTTACACGAGACGACATTCTTGGAGCTGTGAAAGAAGGACTTCAAGCACACACATCTAACGTCACTCGCGATGAAATTCTCCAGACAATCAAGGACGGCCTTCAATCGAGAGAACTGGCATCGGCTCGGGAGGATGTTGATTCTATCACTCGGGAAGATGTTTTCGATGCTGTGAAGAACGGATTTGAGATCCACGACATTGGTGGAAGTGTTACCCGGGATGATATTCTTGAAGCAGTTAAAAAGGCCAGTTTCACACGCGAAGATATACTTGATGCAGTTAAAGATGGCCTTCAAACCTTTGATTCAGCATTAACTAGAGGTGTCACTCCAACATGCACGAAGGCAGATGTGTTCGAGGCCGTACGAGTTGGTCTACAATCTCAAAGATTTCCTTCATCGGTCACACGCGAGGACGTTGTTGAAGCCGTTACGGATGGTCTTCAGACTTTCAACTCAGCCATTGTTAGCGTTAGAGAAGCAAATGCTAGCAAAGGAGATGTCTTTGACGCTGTCAAGGAAGGCTTCGAAACGTTCAATAACGCTCTTACCCTTGACATACCCGTGGGTGTCAGCCGTGATGACGTCTTGGATGCAGTGAAGGAGGGACTACAAACTTTTGACTCGGCGCTCACTCGGGGAAATGATGTCAAGGTTAACCGAGAAGATATGCTCGGGGCTGTCAAAGAAGGGCTTGAGAATTTTGATTTTACCGCTGCTAAGGCATCCACGGCATTAACCCGAGAAGTTACAGAAACCATTACCCGTGATGAAGTTATCCAAGCCGTAAAAGCAGGATTGGGAAACCCACCTCAGTCCGATGACAATTTCACAGCCCAAGTTTCTGCACGTATACATGAAATCATGGAATCTATGCGAAACGAGTTCAAGGCAGTGTCGGATGAAGCTAAGCAAAATGCTGCTGCGAATGGACGAGACACTGAGAAACTCCTTGATGCAACTAAAGATGGATTTGAGAAACTCCGCTCTGATATTGAGGCTTATGTTGATCGAGCCTCGGACGTCACAGGTAAAGATGAGATTCTTGAAAACATGCGAGATAACTTCGCTACGCTTCGTTCCGAGGTGGAGGAACTTATCTCCAAAAGCTCAACTAGTGGCTTTGAGAAAGTTAATGGAGAGCTTGAACATCTTCGAGGATCAATAGCGTCGTCATTAATTCGATCAGGAGCAAGCGATGGCAAGGATGAGATTCTTGACGCCTTAAAGGAAGGTTTCGATGGCATCAAAGCCAACATGGAAGCCTCGCGGTCACGAGAGGACGAGGAAGATAGTATGCCAGGCACTGGAGAGATCATTGACGCACTACAGGATGGCTTCACTGTCCTGAAAACCGAAATTGAAAAGGTTGCACAGACAAACCTGCTGATACGACTGTCAATCATGAGATCCTGAC